TGAACAAAATATGGGTGATAATAATTCAATTCTTACAGTCGTTCGGAGCTGAACACATAGTTTCCGGGAATGGGTTTTTTTCGAGAACATTTTGTAGTTGATTTATACGAGTTTCGTTCGACCTGCATTACGAACATTTTTCTTTACCACACGTATATTTATTGTAATAAACTCCTGGTTGCCGTTTGAATTTTATATTATAGTATTTGTCCATCTATCTCAAGCGTTGTCGCAGTTGGCGTTTTAATATTTATTTTTTGGTAACATGTGCAATTGTTAGTCCATGTAATCATATTTGCTACATGGGCGTAATAATTCCGTATTAAAACTATTCAGTTTTCGATAGTTTTGGGGGCGTATTATATAATTCGAAGAAAACTTTATTAAATCTTTGACAGTATATTATGCAACCACTTTGATAAAGCAGTTTATGAACGTGTTGCATACATTATTTTTTTACGTCCATTAGTTTTTGGAGCGCGAATCACGTGTCACATAACCAACCGAATTGATCAAACGTTAATCTGAGCTAAAATGTACCCAAAACTTCCGATCGCTCCGAAACCCATAACTAAAGTATCGGAGACGTCCAAGTGGCTCGCCACCGCATTTAACGAGTTAAAGTGAAACTTTGCTCGCGCTTGATCCATAATTGGGTATCGCGTAGGGAGATTATATTATATATATATATATATATATATATATATATATATATATATATATATATATATATATATATATATATATATATATATATATATATATATATATATATATATATATATATATATATATATATATATATATATATATATATATATATATATATATATATATATATTAAAATCTTTGAGTGATTTTAATTTCAATATGCGCCGTAATCTTCATCATTTTGGACTTACAGAGTGTTAAAGTTTTAAGAAAAAAAAATTATAATTTTCTTTTCAATCCAGATATTTTTATAAAATTTTATTCCTAATCTTTTAACCTGAATTTTTACCATTAAGGAGAATTATTTAAGGTAAAAGATTTTTTTATATTTTTAGCATTGACGTCCGTGGGGGGTTTTTAAGGAAAAAGAATATTATGCTACAGTTTTTTATAAAAATTAATATTATACTTGAAACCCTCATTTTTTAATCAAATTTGTGCTTACTCAAAAAACATTTTTTTTCTCTTCCTCTTAAGCATCGACACTTAATGATAAATCGCTTCCATTTTTTGCAAATACTCTTAAGAATAGATAGTATAGACGAGTATGATTAAATCACCAATTTTTTACCTTGCTGTCTTCAAAATACGTATAAATTCAGATTGGACAGTTTAAGAGGCAGTTTAAAAAGAGTTGGCACTCATTATCAGAGCTTTCTTGCCAAAGCACGCCTTTTAAATTCTCATTTTCTTCCGTGTCATTATCGTTTGTCTCTCAGTGATAGAGGCAATAGTTTTGGTTTAGTATCCTCTTCGTTAGTACTTTACAGTTCTCTCTTCGCCGTAATATCAGGTTTTATTCTCATCTATTTAAGATATTAACTGATATTATTATTGCTATAGATTCGGCAGTTGCCGTTCAGCTGGAATATATCTTGAGTTTAAAAGTACCGAAGGTTAAGAGAATTCGATTAGAATACAAAGCGAAAAGACAAGACATCTGGGCGGGAAAGCCTTTGGAAATTGCGGTGATTTGCATCGCAAAACCTGCCGCGGGAAAACATTTTGGGGCTGATTGAAAGTCCCAATGAGATCGACATTCTTTAAGTAGAACAGATGTGGCCCTATGAATTTATCGATTATATGAATTAATTGAAATTTTACGGCACTCGTAATAAGATCGAAGATAGATGATAAATGCGAAATCTGAAATGACATTCTTTAAATTTGAAAATCGTTTTTCGGCAAGTTTTCGTGTTTTAAATATTTTACCAAAACCCTATATATAATATTTGTATAATATTTAGTTCTGTGGAATGTGGAATGAAAAAGTTTTTACCAAATTATCCGAGTAGGTAGTTATTCGAAGAACTAAAAATGAAAGGAAATATATATAATAAAAATTTACAGCTATTTAGTTTTTTCATGAAAACAAAAAGTTACTAGTGGCTTATTTTTTGTAACTGTATTTTCTAATAATAAATGTCGGGTTTTTAGAAAATACACTTTCAAATTATTTAAGTAGTACATAATTGGGATACTTTTCTTTTTCATAAACGTGAAAACTGATGTCCGATAAGTATAATAAGTTATTGTTTGTTTAGTAAGTAGTTGTAATATATTTTAACTATTTTTAACAATCTAGTGTATGTAGAAAACCCATAATTTCATGCTGGTATTTATTATATTATTCAGAAAAAATCGGTATTTTGGTATTCTTTGCCTCTTGATTTAGCATAAATTTAAAAAGGAATTTTAAAATTTTAATCTTTTTCCCGAAAGAGAAAATATTGGTTAAATGTCCATATATAAGTAAATACGTTTGTATTTTGAGTATTTTGCGAAATAATACTATTACAATTTTTTACAAGCAGCTATCATATTTATCGTTTGCTGTAGCCTTAAAAAAGAATACCAAAATGGGTTTTTCTATTTATTTTAAGTAATAAATAAAGTCCCTTAGCCCTTATTACATACAGCATCAAGACAAGATACCTCAATAAAAAAAATTTAAACGCTATTTTCAATTTTCAATTATAATAATTTATATGTACTTTTTTCGGAGGTTTTTTAAGAATTTTAAAAATATATTTCTAGATCATCAAATAGTAGCAAATGATTTCAGGAGAATTATACCGGTAAATAGTGAACAAGACAAAGGCAAGGATACCTATTACTTATCGACCTTTTCTATTGTAAATTTTGATTAACTTTTTTATAACGCCACTGCCATTAGATCGAATTCATGGCCCCTTCTCCATTTTTAGCACCCTATAAATTAAAAATTAAGAAGTTGTTTAAAGAAGTTTTTTAAGAATTTTTCTTTTTACTTTCGGATGGTTCTACAATAATATATTTTGATTTTCTGATGTTTTCGAGATTGCTAAAAAAGTGCTGGGGTTTAGTGGCGTTTCTCTATTTGCACGGAGAAAATGTAAAAGTGAATTTTTATTCCACGTCAAAATTTTACTTCGGCTCATTTCATAAAATATATTTTATATTATGCAGCATGACAGTCCTGGCGCATGCCGCTGAAGCTTCAACTTAAATAATGATTTTAATTTGCAGTCGGGTCTAGTTTGCATCCTGTTGGTGTATATGAACGCGGGCGTAGGATCGTTCTTGATCCCCATACGAATCCCTGCTTTAACAGGCGCAGCAGAGATAGCGGCTAGGAAAATGATGGAGAGAATTTCTAATGATCATTTATTGCAAATTTTGGTTAGTTTCACTTAGACAGGGTGTTTGTTAAGAACGTAGTATCATGGTTACTCTTTAAAATTACTTTCATTCTATACAGAGTGTCCCAATAGAGTTAAAAGTATCAAATCAATTTTTTTGAAATAGAACCACTCTTATATTATTTTTGGTTTTTGTGATAAAATTTAGTGTGTGTTTCAATAAAATTTGTGTGACCTAAGTTTTAAGGGTTTTAACATAATTTTAGTTGTGTCAAATACATAACATATTTCTAAATTACGTTCGCGGAATTTGCAGTAGAATAATTATTAAAACTTCCAGTTTTGTACAGGATGGCAAAAAATGCAGCAAACGCTTCTTCAAGAACGCCATATTTCCAATTGCGTATTGTGTTAGAATATCTGATAGCGAACTCTTTGCGAAATGAAAGTTTTTGGTGCCATTTGGTGTATTACTTTTTGTAGTGTAAACAGTTGGATGCCCAGATTTAATACCAATATAAAGTCTTCATTTCTTAATTTTATTGTAGATGCATATGCATATAAATACATATATTTTTATTTTACCTTTAATTAGTTTTGGTTAGTTAGGTAGTTGTCATTATAGTCTTTCTAATTTTTAAATCTTATTATTTTCATAGTTGTGATAACACCTAGTGGTTTCACGTGTTGGTTTTTAAATATGCCATATGTTGTAATTAGTAATAATAAAAATTGCACAAATATAACACGTCAGAACAGTGTGTTCCCGCCTTTATTCAGCCTCCCCCGACAGTGGTGGCGCTTGATTATAAGTCTCTACTTAAATTAATAACGGTTGAACTCAAATTTTTAATAATTCATTTACAAACCAGTTATCTAAGTATATGCGTAGCATCGTAAGAATCTAGAATGATAGACTGCTATATTGATAAAAAATGCTGCGACATCCAACTTTAACAAAATAAAAATTAATGTATCATAGTCCTTATTGGTACAGCTGTGATTTTCAACAATGTCGGATGCAGAAAATATTTACGTTTGACGAAATAAAAAATCAAAATTCACACTTGGTTCAAGTAAAAGTTAACATGTTCTGACATTAATAATGCTATCGGCAACTTCTAAAATTAGCCAACTCCACCATAACACCGAAAAAATGTTGTTTTTTCCTTTCAACAATTTGAGTTAAAAGCAGCGGAACCGTTCCACAATTTCCGACTTCCGCCAGCCTCCATTAAGTGAGGCATTTGCGTAATCTGTTGTATTGGATCGCACATTTTAATATCTTTTGTGAAATAAATGACAAATCGTTGAATTTTTTTCACTTAATTTCGACAAATAAATCGATTTGTTTTCATTTGTTACGCAACGGGAATACCTGGGACGCTCAGTTCATTCTTATCCCCTTGCTTCTTATTTATTTTTATAAAATTTTCCCGAGATTCGTTTCGAGGAGGAAATTTCTTTGTAAGTTTTGGAACATATGCATTTTTCATGTTTGTTATTGCAGTTCTTGTGCAGTTATATGTATAATTTATAGCGGTAAATCGCAGCAAAGAATAGCATGCCTGGCAAAATGCGATAACCAAACTTAATCATACGTTCGACCTCTTATATTTATCGGCTGTCTTACAACACCACTGAGATAGAGACGTTGTTTGGGTGACGAATAAAAAGTTTTTTTGATTTATTTTTTTTATATTTACATTTTTGGCGTAAAAATTTAACGTTATGATCCTGGGTTGCGCCTGGCTGTACGAGGTGGTTTCCTGAAAAAGTCAAGGCTATGGTAGGTGCTCCTGTATTGGAGACGGGACAAAGAGATAGACTCCCATGGTTGTATGTGTAACTTTGAGTTAAGCTCTTCTTCCAGGGTTAACTCTAAAATATATTTTATTTTTAGTTTCCTAATTCTAAAAAAACGTAAATACTATAAAAACTCTACAGCATTTTTTTAAATCGAGAAGCCATTGGATTTCTTCTTCCAAAAAATTTTCATTTTTAAATTTTGGTGATATCTGCAGTTTTCTTACCTTCACACTTCAAATTGCATGTGCCCCCCGCAGTTCCAAATTTGCACAAATTCCTGCAGAAACACTGAAAATATGAAGGAATCTCTAAACAACGATAGCCAAAATATATTTGTTATTAAATTCTCAGCGGCATGGACTTCTTGTAAATGTAACGAAACTTATGTTATGTAAATGTAAAATTTTTAGACCTTAAAAGTTTTGCATATTACCCCAATTTTTTGTTTCCCTTCCCTGGCCCCTTGTCACTTATAAGTAAAAAATACATATATAATACATATACATCTATATAATTGTCATTACCATCCAGGCCTCGGCATTTGTGAGTTTGTCTCATAAGAAAGCTGGTCAGGTAACTAATTTACAGGAATAGCATTTTTCTATCCAAAACTAACCAAAACCTCGACAGGCCACTGTAATACTAATTTAAAAACTTTTATGTTCCTCCTGCGTCGGTTATTGATGAACCGAACGTTTCGCCAATCATCCTGTTGGCTTCTTCGTAGCTTAACAGAACAGCAAACTTGATTTATCAACAACCGAGGCAGAGAAGAACCCCGAAGATTTGTTATTGGAATGGCGTTGTTGTTTTTGTTATTGCAGTATAATGCGTTATTAAATAAAATAGCACCTTTTGCGATTTTTTTTTCGAAGATCTTTTCTTTTTTACTCTTGGGTTCATATCTCTACCAGCAAGTAAGGAGGTTTCGCCAAGCAAGTTGGGACCGCTGCAGTTCACCTTGCGATTTTCTTCGATATTGCAACCTGGAAATATTAAACGAGACTTTCAAAAGCCGTTGAAAAATTCAACTCCTAAAAATAATATAAAATATTTATTAAACATCTGCTCTGAATATTTTAATTGTTGAAATGCAATGTGTTGAAAATTAATAAAATAAATAACATTTATTAATAATCTAAAAATCGTACGGAATTATTTGGAACTTACCAACCAAGTGCCTTGGAGCAGTTTTTAGATTTTTAGAAAGATTAATTATTTTTTAGTAACCATAAATTTAATACAAATTATAAGCAAATATATATTTTGAATTTCGAATCTACCTCCAATACATTCTTGTATATATGTATATACAGGATGATTCATTAGAAATTGGAAATATGTAAATTGTAGATTCCTGAGCTCAAAATACTATAATTTAACTCAAATCACTTGGTTAAAATGTGGCTCCTAAATGTTATAATATTTTTTAATTTTCAAAAAGTATCCAAAAGACTTTTTGACAACTTAAATTCAAAAATTGGGGTGCGGGAATCTAAATGTTTTTGAGGATTTGTATATTTATCGCGAACGCAAGGCTCTATGTCATCTAACGTAACGGAAATCACGATTCCAAACGAAAAGTTGTCGATCGAATCAGTTATTCAGCACTCTTTCGTTGATCCAAATTTGGCGATGCGCCTTTACTTCTACTTCGGGCACGTACGACATCAGCGAATTCGCGCGCGCAAATGATAAAAAAACAACTTCTGTTTTAGTTTTAATTGAATAACTTCCAAAAGCTACCAGCGCCTTGTGCGGAATCAAAAAAAGCAGTGGCGTGCAAAACGAATTTGCCGGCACACGTTCGCGCTTAAAATATATTCGTATTCGGCACTCAAAAGTTTTAGGACACTTACTCGAATTTTACCCTAGTTGTAGCCAAATTTGATAACTTTAAAAAATCTCAAAGTTCGTCGGTAATTTTTGTCAAGTCTTGAAAATGCATTAGCAGAGAACAACGAATCCAATTCCACACGATAGTGTAGGTCAGTGAGCGACGAGCACATTAAGGTTGCCAACTCTGAGAAGCTCCCGGTTTTTTATAGAACGTCCCGGCTCCGGCGAATTTAAATAATCCTCTCGCTTTCCGGCTAATAAAATATACATTAATTTAAATTTTCCACCTATTTCTCAATTAAATTTTAAAAAACAGATACTTTTGTATAAATACTTTTGTATAAATATTTGTTTAATGGAGATATGTTTTGATGAAGGTTTTGTTTTTGGCGTTTTATAGTATGTTTTTTGCGTAGTTTACAGTTTTAAGAACACATATTCCTTTGTCTTGGAAAAATATGGTCAAAACTTAATAAACATCTACGAAAAACCGATCTTTATTTCTAGTTTTTTAATTTTTTTCATTATCTTATTATAAAATTTTAATGCTTCCTATGAAACATGCTGGATAATCAGGGCTTGACAGTTCATTGCTTTTATTATTATACCTTATTATTTGCACCTTGATTTAATTCTTTTATATTCCGAGCAAGTGTAGAATAACCCCCTACTTTACAACTTTTAACGAAGACCCAATTTTGGGTGGTTTGTGTCACATGAATTATTTTAACGCAAAATAAATTGACATTCACGACAGAACAGAAAATTCAAAATCTTTTTCTATGATTATTAACAGTAATAATTTTTATCTATATGAGCTTGTTCTGAAAGGAATTCCAAGCCAAGATCTCTGTTTTACAAATCGATCTGTCTTCAAACCTCATTCTTAAGTCGCATTAAGTGTCAATTAAAATTTAAATTAAGCAATGTGCAAACCAAATTGCTTTTAATTGCGGTTTGCAAATAACTGTGATAATTGCTGTATCTAAGGAGTATCCTAAACCGTTTAATTAACAAATGTATAAGTGTACTTACCCCTTGTTGGATTTTTCACGCACCCATTAATAATTTGCGGCATTTTATTTTCTCTATCGATCTTTTTTATTGTGTAAAACCACATTTTGAAATGTATATATGTATATAATTCCTAATCAACACGTTCTGTATGCTACCTCGAACCAAAATGAATTGGGCTGCTGCATCCAAAAGGGTGGGTTTTGAATGAAAAGAGCAGGTAGACAGGTCCTGTCTGTCCAAATATAGCCCGAAGGTATTGTATTTCAAGTTGCCTATCTTATTTCATTTCTGTTGATATGGAATAGCTATACGAAGAAATGAAATAATGACCCTTATGGGCAAACCAAAATAATTATGAACTAATCTTTCGAATTGAAGAAATAAGATGTAGGTAGTTTTCATTTTTTGTGCATCTACAGATTAGATACATTAATTTACGGGGTATTTGATCAGTCAATGATCGGTCACGCTTCATACTATGATTTATTAGCTGCTTATAAGTAAAAAAAAATTATTATCTAAATTTTTGATATGACTTTTCAAATGGTTTCTAGTTGTCCCCACAGATTATGTAGCAGCACAAGTCGTCAACCGAATTCTAAGCCTTGAAGTAAATAAAAAGAAACAAACAAATAACAGCTTACGGGATCCCAACAGTTTGCAACAAATGAAAGGCTAGGTGTACCCCATTTTTAGCGCCAAAATTTTATTTCTTTCATTGTTAAGTAAATAGTTCTGGGAAAAGTAGGTATATTATTCGATTTTGTCGCTAGGGACAAGCAGTCGATTTTGCGTTTTCTCCAAGGAAGGCGAATTAAATAAAATTATTTTACGAGTCTAAACAACATAAGAAAAATAAGTCAATAAGAAGTCGTGTCACCGACATTTCGTACTTAAATTGTAGTGTATCATATTAACGCAATGGAAAACTTAACAACAGTGTCTGAGGGTGTGATGAAAATTTTCTAGGAGATAAAATGTTCAGTGCCTTACATCTTAAATATAACAATTTTAAAAGTAAATTAAAGTCAGACCGACCATGTATCATCACAATGTAATGTAACAGCGCTAAAGACATCACTTACAGAAAGGGAGTTAAAATGGTTAAAAATTGAGAACGTTACAACAACAGGCAACTGTATGCAAAATGATATTATTGTTTTTGCTTTAATAACTTTTTAATGTAGTCAAGGTATTAATAACGATATCGGAAAAAAAGAAAAACGTCTTAAACTAGTATGTTATGCATCACGCGCGATAAACGGGATTTGACTCACGAGTTTATTTGACACGAGCGGAGCGAACGTGTTGAAAACTTTACTTTTTCTCCGACCGTTAGTGTTTGGGTACATTTTCGCAAAACAACACGAATATATTCACTGACATGACAGTCAGAATTTACAAACTTCAAAATTGAAAGCGTGGGAAATATCTCCGAAAACATCCGATTGCTCCCGAACCCGTGCGATAAAATCCCGGAAATGTCCGAAGTGGATGCTTCCCGCACGCTAGATCGGTGGGTAATTAGGTATTTTACAGACGAAAGTAGAAAATAGTATATTATGCAACAAGTGCGGTAAACGGCATTTGAATCACGAGTTTATTTGACATGAGCGGAGCGAGTGTTTAATATACGAGTGACTTAAAAAGTTCACCGAACGTGTTGCATACTATACTTTTTGTACGACCATTAGTTTTTGGGTACATTTTCGCAAAATAACACTGATATGGCCGTCAGAATTGACAAACGTCAAAATTCAAAGCGTGGGAAATATCTCCGAAAACATCCGATTGCTCCCAAACCCGTGCGGTAAAATCTCGGACGCGTCCGAAGTGGCTCGGATCCGTGGGAAACGAAACTGACATGGTAAAGTGACGCTTCCCACACGCTAGATTGGTGTGTAATTAGGTATTTTACAGACGGGAGTAGAAAAACAAATAAACTAAACCATTTTTATTTGAAAGCAATTTTTGCTGTAAGTTTACTGAGAATTTAATCATTAAATTTGTTATTCATTACATTATATCTGAAATAATGATAATGATTTTTTGTAGTATTGTATTAACGCTATTAAAAAAAAGTAATTTAAAACTGAGAAATTGATAGATTGATAGATTTTAATAAACAGTTATGAGCAAATATTTGGTATTTGCTAGTGTCTTTTTGTTATTAATGTACTTTGCTATATATTGACCGCAAATAGAGAAATTCATTATTACAGAATGACACCAAACTGACAGTTGACGGGTTCCGAACTACTTAGAAGACTTCTAGAATTATTTTTCTTAAGCATTAATTTCTACTGACTTCAATTATTGTACAGAACTCATTGTAATTTTTAAACCAAAATAACATTTTTGTTGGGGTTTGTGTCAGAACTGGCCCGATTGCATTTCGGGTTTATTTTAAGAAAGTTCTTGGGCCGCCCGAGAACAGGCCAAACCAGTCTTCTCAAGCAGGAATTTGTTTTTAGCCCATAATCCAGTCAGTCTTTCAAGAATAGAATTATTTTTGTTTATATTTTTTTCTTGTGTTAAACTTTTTTATGGCTGGATTAGATTTAATAAATAATATTTTAATGATAATGCAGAATTTTGGTATTGTTTCATTTTACCCGTCGTTTTTACACGTGTCTACACAAAAATATTGATTGAATCTCCTCTATTCCGATTTTTATTCGAAATTATTATAAATTATAATTTTAGTTAGTTTGTGTCACGGTATCTGTTGTGTGATTTATAGAGTCATTCAAAGACAATTCTCTTTAAACCCTTTAAACATTGTACCAAAAAGGAATTCCCGTTAGATTAAAGCAATGGGAATTTCTCGCTATTTCTAGAATTACCTCAATGATGTTCAGATTTTTTCAAACGCGGTCGTTTGTTATGTGAATTTCAGAAAGGAATAAAGGAATACTTTAGAAATTTGGGTCCAATAGTTCTAAAACCTTAAGTGACATACCTACTTGCCGAAAGCGTACAATTCAATTATTAACCCAAATCCACAATAAGACCAAGAAGTCGAATAGGGCAAAACGTAATTCAAGTGTTCTAATTTAACGAATCAATTAACGTTTATCCGCCAATATTGTGAATATGTTGTATTAACTACTTCAATCCATATACAAAACTATACCCACGAATTCTAAGAATAGCTATTCAGAATAATTAAGGAATAATCAGGTAGAAAATCTTTACTTACATGACATTTGCGTACCCACGATTTCCGCTGCGGTCTCGCATTCTTACTCCAACAGCCAATGAAGAAATAAACGTTGCACAAGATTATGATAATTTCACGGTGATTATTTACACTTTCTTAAACTCATTAAAAGTTTTTCGTGACACGTGCGCCACCTGACATGATAGCTACATCAAGACCGATGATTTGAAACGATCATATAGAGCCGCGTAGGTTCTCCGGCGAAGCATCAAGAATAACATCATTATCGACTTGCGTGCGTTAATCAGATACAATGGAGAGTTTGATTTAATTATAGTCGTTTTTGATTTGCGGGATACGCAACACGATGGACCGCCCAAGAGAACATCAATGCTTTTTAAGTGTTTCAATGGTTCTTACCAAAGGAGACACTTTGTACTCCTATTTTGAGAACCATTAAATATGAACATTTCTATTATTCGTGTATCTTTAATGGCTCTCAAGATACTTTATAAAGAACAGCGAATTTAGGATTCACTGTATAGGATGGTCGTTTAATATTAAAATAGCAAATAGTAAAATCCCATTTCTAAATAAATAAATAAATGATTTTTTGTAATATATATATATATATATATATATATATATATATATATATATATATATATATATATATATATATATATATATATATATATATTCTCACGTATTGATTCACGGATGGAAAAATGTGATGACACTATATTCCAGGATATCATCCGTTCGCTCGTTGAACTCCGACTGGAATCCTGCATCCGACTGGAATCCTGCAAATCCTGCATCCGACTGGAATCCTGCAGACGTTTCGCCAAAATCTCACTTGGCATCTTCAATGCTCGCGCTCCGAGTGTTCGAAGTGTTTTCGAATATATAATATATATATATATATATATATATATATATATATATATATATATATATATATATATATATATATATATATATATATATATATATATATATATATATATATATATATATATATATATATATATATATATATATATATATATATGAATATAGTAAAAATTTTATGCTGAAAAAAGGATCCAGAAAATATTATAAATTATTATCATTATGATCCTCGTGGTAAAAACATTGTGAATAAGCGTATGTTTAAGATGAATGAATTAAATACAAAATACAATTGAAAATTTTCTCTTCTTGTATGAATAAAAGGAACAATACCGAAGTAGTAATTTTTATGTCAAATAGAAAGAAAATAAAATAGTCAGGTTATCTATAGAATGTGCCCATTAAATAATTTTTGTATTTTAAGTGAAACTTTTTTGGGTTTTTGGGTTTGGTGTGAGTACCTGTCATAAAAATAAATTTTGTATTTTGTGTGGAACTTTTTTGGGTTTCTGGGTTTGTTGTGAGTACCTGTCATCAATAATTACAAAGATATGAGGCAATTTTTGGTTAGGTGTATCTGGGTCATACATATAGCTCAGCTGTCATTGTCAAGACAATCTTTAGTTTCCAACTTAAGTTTTAATAGTATATTATGCAACAAGTGCTGTAAACGGCATTTGACTCACGAGTTTGTTACAAAGTGATTCAAAAAGTTTACCGAACGCGTTGCATACTATACTTTTTCTACTACCGTTAGTTTTTGTAAAACAACACGAATACATTCACTGACATGACCGTCAGAAATGACAAACGTCAAAATTCAAAGCGTGCGAAATATCCCCGAAAACATCCGATCCGAAGTGGCTCGGATTCATGGGAAAGGAAACTGGCGTGTTAAAGCGACGCTTCCCGCACGCTAGATCAGTGGGTAATTAGGTATTTTACAGACGGGAGTAGAAAAAATTGTTTAGTAATTTAAAACGACAACCCAGAAAAACTTTACCTTAAAATAGTCTAATCTAATTAATTTCTAAAAAAATAATCCTGAAAGGTGCAATCCAACGGCTATATGAATTAACAAAAAAATTGACTACGTCATTAGATTTTACTAAAAAAAGAGAACTACTGTCTTATCCTATGCAGGAATTTCTATGATCAAAAAGCCACAACAATTTTCAAAATGAGTAAAAATTAAAACATCTCCCTGTATCCCGGTTGGTAGTGAAAATCCAATAAGTATTTATACGTTTATAAGTTTTTTCTACTCCCGCCTATAAAATATCTAATTACACACCAATCTAGCGTGTGAGAAGCGTCACTTTACTACGTCATGTCGTCATGATTTTACCGCACAGGTTTGGGAGTAATCGGATATTTTCAGAGATATTTCCCACGCCTTGAATTTTGACGTTTGTCAATTCTGACGGTCATGTCAGTGAATGTATAAGTGTAGTATGTAATGTAAAAATATAGTATGCAACACGTTCGGTAAACTTTTTAAGTCACTCCTTTATCAAACAATCGCTCCGCTGTGCTCCGCTCGCGTCAAATAAACTCGTGAGTCAAATGCCGTTTACCGCACTTGTTGCATAATATATTATTTCCTATTTAAACTCATCTAATTACAAATACCCTTTACTATACAGCCCATCTGAAATTCACGTCCATTATGCGCTATCTTTTAAACCATCGGAGATAAACATTTTTAACTTGGATATTGTTTTAATGGCGCTCATTTGGAAATCACCCAGCAATTTTGGAATTGCTGGGTGATTTCAAGATTAATGCAATTTTTGAGGGTAGCCTGTGGGTCGATAGTCTCTAAAAAGATAAAAACTGCTACAATTGCTATTTTTTGGTCTAACAAATAGCATTTAAAAAAAGTGCGTATGCAGTGGGTAATGCGATATACTAAAAAACTTTTTTGCTTGCGAACCAACGTTACAAATGTTAATGGTTATCATAACTTATTAGGATACCCCACAGGGGCAAACAATTTAGGATGCACTGTGTCTTGGAAATTAAAAAGGATATTTGGACAAAGATTTCTAAAAAAACTAAGTCGACAAACAGTAAGGGCAAAATGGGAACATGTGTCTAGTTATTTTAATGTAATACAAGTATTCCTAGTTGTAATGCGATTCATCGATTTCGTCCAATAAATCTTAAATAATCCGCAGTGAAAATTTACAGTCTCATAAAGATTAAAATCTCCCTCGACAAGCAAAAAGACGGCTTTAATTTTGCCAACATTTATGGCTATACCAACTTTGATTCAGCGTACAGCGTTCTTGTTACCGGCGAAGTCACATTTTCAATTGTGCCCTAATAAGGCATAAGGTGAGTTCCTTTATGCAACCATTCGGGTTTATTGATGCTTTTGTTTTAAGAAGCTGCCGTAGCCATACAGTAAATTAACGAAACTTTAAAGCGGCATCGAATTTTTGCTTATCTCTTTTTTTACAATTTAATTTTTTATTTCTCCTTTTCGAGAAAAAGCATTTCCTTTTTAAAATTGTCAACGAAATATTGGTAAAAATTAGTTTTTATTAGAAATTAGAATTAGGTATCTGGTTAGGTAGTATGGTAAAAATTGATAAGAAATGCTTCATATATGTTTTTTGCTGAACGCCGCTAGGACTTATTGGTTAAAAACATAATGAATACTGATAATACAAGAACTTATGAGGCAACTACGACAGTCTATTCGACATCTTCGTTTTTAACGAATGACCTTCAGGCATTAACCAGAGAACATGGCCGCTGATAGATCGACAAAAGATCTCCAAATCCTATTAAATCTTCAGGCAAAAAGAATTAAGTGTGTGGATATCGCAGTTTACATAGAAAATCATTACCTTCTCTACGAAAATAACAATGCTCTGTGCGGGTCATCAATTTTTGCCGTCCTGAGGCCACAGTTTTATCTAATAGCTATTTGGTTGAACATGAGAGTTTAAATGATCTCAATATTTTTTTTGTTATTTAGACACGGCATTTATATATCTAGTATGCGGTTGAAATGACCTCGTATTTATTTCGTTTTTGTCAAAACCTATCTGAAGCACATCCGTGCCCATTACTTTAATGATACGAAATCTATTGATATAAGTTATTAAACAGATATGTTGGATTGCGGATATGATCTAAGTCTTAGATTCGCAGAGATAAAGTTATTTATAATTTTCTTACATTTCAGAATGTGGTGGCTAGTATTCGCCCTCGTTTGGTGGAGCGGTACTTCGGCGATACCATCTCCTGGTCCTCAAACGCCACCGCCTTCTGAGGAATGGAAATGCCCCGAAATTTCTGAACAGCCGATCGTCGAATGCAGCTGCGATATGCCACATACGCTTAGATGTACCGGAGACAAATCCGCATTCCAAATTATAGGTTGGTTTGCCCGATTATTCACAATATAAGTAAAAATAATTTGCACACAAAAAAATTAAGTAGCATTCGACAAATTTGAGAGAAGTGTATGCAAAAGTTATATAACAAGGAGTTTTGGTCTTTTTTTATAAGCTATCAAATGCAGCGGACAAACTATAGGAGGAGGTATTTTAAAATGCGACGTTTTCAAAAATTTTGCGCGTCAAATAGGAAATTTTTTTAAAGATAAGTGACCCCAAAGATGTATCGAACATGGATACCGTGTGCAGTGTGTTCCATTTTTTATGATTTTACGGCGTGTCTCCCTCATTACGTTACCAAAGTCGACTTTTTCATGAAACGAATGGAAACACGGAAATGTCATATGCAGGGTGATAGTTATCGAAAAGGTGAAAACTGCTCTGGACTAGGTTTTTACGTAGGACTCAGTGACGTGTTTTCTTCTGGCACTCACCAATTTTGATATATAAAATCAACTTATTTTTTTTTTGTTTTTAAATAACTGAAGTGAAAGAGTACAAACGTACTATATATTATAAGGGGTTATTAGCATTGAGTGTCCTATTAGAATGGAGACGTAAATTTATTTTATTTTTCAAGTTTCTCGTGTGCCATGATCTAACTTTTTAAAATACTTACGTACCTGCAGCCGAATTAGCTACGAAGACGAACAGCTAAGTCTTGATGGGAGTGTAATAGAATGTGCCAGGCAATTTAAATGTTTGGGAAGTAGGATAACAGACCCAGAAGATGGAATAGGATGTCGGGTCCAAATGCCAAAACCAACTTCTCAACACTTTTGTGCGACGATAACCTGAACCTTGAAATGTGCCAGCATATGGTGATGTGTTTTATTTGGTCAGTTTTTCTGTATGGGGGGACCTTAAAGGTCAGCTTAATAAATCGGCTAGAAGCATTTGAAATATCGATTTATCGCAGAGTGCTTCCTCCCTGTTTCGTAAAAAAGTACCATCTTCTCCAGTTAATCATGAAAGGAATAGTAGAAGGCAAGCGCTGTTTTGGCCGAAGGCGAATCTCTTGGCTCAGAAACAACAGAGAATAGACGCGCATTCAAGGGGCTGCAGTTATGTTCAGGGTTGCAGAAGATTGAGACGTACGGGCGACTGGGCATGGCACCTGAAGAAGCAGATCGGCAGCGTTGCCAATTCACCTTTAAACAGACGACAATATTGAAAATTCAAATTGTATGTTATATTAATATGTTGTTATATTAATATATTGCATTTATAATAGTGCGTTTTCTGGGTTTCCACAAAATTCTAAGTAACTTTTGTTAACATTTCCCTACCTTATTTCTTTCCCTTACTTCGGATTTCTTTTTTACAAAAAAGCAACCTTATCTTTTTGTGCTAACTATAAAAAGTCTTTTTTTATTCAATTCCACATATTTGAAGTTGAATAATTTTTCTACAAAATCTCCATAGATAATTTCTATACTCATTACGTCTACGTTACGTTTCTTAGATTCGAGTGAATAATAGTTTTTGCTCATTTTAAAAATCCAGTTAAGAAAGATTTCTATCAAAAGCTATTGGCTAGAAAACTATTTGACATCGACAAGTAGTTTTAAATAAAGTAAGAAAAATCAACCCTAAAAAATCATGAACAATTTTTATTGATTCAAATCTAAGAAACGGCGATATCTATTAGGGACAGGTATGGAGATTTTGTAAAGTATTGAACTTATAAACAGTTATGTCGAATATGTACGGTTTCATAAAAAAAAAATAGTTTTTATTGTTATTAATTTTTTTCAGAAATGTAAATCTTTGAGACTCCCTCTATGACTTACCATCAAAATCACCTATTGGTTGAAGTAAATCTATTAGGGAACCCTTGCAAAATTTTGAAATAGCTAACTTACGCAAAAAAATATTAAATTTTAATAAATTGATGGTTTCTCTGCAAATATATTTTTTCCGAAGTAAGGAAAAGAGATACTCATAGTAACATGACAACAAAGGTTACTTAGACTTTCGACTGAAACGGCGAATATAATATAATATACTAATATGCATACATGGTGTCAACTCACTGGGAAAATGTTTTTGTGGCCCAGAAGAACAGATATTGAAATCCATAACACACTTTGTTGGATTTTTTATCTTTAACCATTTTTGAACCTTTTTGTGGCAATTCCTACATAAATTGTAAATTTGTCTTATTCAAATAAACTGAACTGAATTGTAATGTTCCATTTGAATTTCCAAACTTGTTTGCTTCGAGTTGAACTGGCTGCAGGTGCGTAAATATCTTAGAAAGATCATGGCGCGCTATGGCCATTACTTGAAAAAAACCTATTTAGTTCTCCAAAGCGTGAATCACCCTTTCTATTAAATTGATTATTTTCGCGTTACAGCGAGGACTTTGCGGTCTCTTCAATCTGCGTCGGTATCTCTCTTGGACTGTACCGTACAAAACGTTTCGGCGATTTCCGGTCCGTTACTCGAAGATATCTCGTTACACGGGCTGGTTATCTCGTCCGGGGAAATCAGAGAAGTGAATCCGCACGCGTTCCAAGGTTTGGCATCGCCTTTACAGGCTTTGGGACTTCCGAATAATCAGCTTACGGCGGTACCGACTCAAGCACTTAAGTACCTTCCGGAACTTGACAGATTAGATTTATCGGGAAACAAAATGAAAACGATCGACGGTGCTTCCTTTAAGGTTTGTACAAAAAATGCTATATTTTTGAGTAATACGGTCTGCTATGGAATACGTAAACAGGAATGCATTTCTCTGCTTGTCTATATTCGTCATAAGCCATGATGATTCAGTATGTAAAATTTATGCCAACCATGTAGCTATAGGCAATCGCTATTTCTGATAATACGGAAACTTATGAAGCAACTATGTAAACATTTTTGAGAAGGTCCATTCATCGTGGGCATTTCTAACCTCAACGGGGGGCCAAATGTAAAGACATGCGCGAAAGATCATTCCCATCTTTACGAAATAATCGTAGCCACCTGAGGCGTAAACATTTTTGCCGTGCTATATTATTTAATGGCTATATGGTGCCAACCAAAGGGATTATATCCAAAGGAGACACGATCTGTGGAAATATTATTGACTTGTCGGGTCTTTGATGGTAACTCTCAATAATTATTAGCAGTTTTGTCTCAGCAATGCCAATATTTAATCTTAATAATTTTATTGTTACTTAAAAAAAAAGTAACGTTAATACTTTTTAATTTTTTTTAAAAGTTATTCTATTAAAATAAACGCAAAGCATTACCCCGATTTCGAAAAATAACAGGAAATATTTCAATCAGTTTAATTTGTTTTAAATTAATTTTAAAATAATAACTATTTTATTAATTGATTAGATGTACATTTTTGATCACAATTTTTTTTACTGAAATGATCAAAAATATTATGTCCAGTCAGAATTACATTTTCGAAAATTGTTTGCCGTTTTCTTATATACGCCATATTAGATTTTCGTAGCATTAAGCAGGCGAAAAATATCATTTCTTTGTTGTATCGTATCTTATATTAAAAAATATATAATAAAATATAAAATTCGTGCACCCTTTATATCACCCACTCCTTACAGCGACTGTTAGATACGGAGTTTTCATGCCCTAACCCGGGACATCGTTTAATCTTGTAAATAACAAACTGTTGAATTATTTAACACTCTTTGAATAAAACAGAGATGCTGTTTCAGCCTCAGTTTTATTTTGTATCGTCCCTATCTCGACAATAATGCAATTTTCTATAATATATTAACAGTAACGTACGAGTATAGTGATTTGATGTAGGGTGTTCGCTGCTAAAGACCTTCTATTTATTAAAGTCTTTGTTAAAATATTTCTATTTTCTGGCCCAAAAGCAGTGATCAACTTGCTTGGCTACTGTATTATTACATTTTTTAATTCTTTTGGAAATTTTAGACTTTAGATTTAAGTCTGATCATTTCTGTTGAAAAATAGGAATGAAAGTTATATTTAAAAACTTGACGAAATTTTCTTTTGAAATGTTGAATTTTCTATTGAAATTATAGTAGCTTGAAGGACTTCCCAGTGAGACGCCTTGTATTTTTGATTTCAGGGCTTGCGAAACTTGTCATTCATCGATTTGAGCAATAATCTTCTGACGAAAATTTCGCCCAACACATTCGACGACGAACTCGAACTGAAAATACTACGACTGCGAGGCAATCGGCTAGGTCTATTGGTCATTAATAAACTGAACCCATTACCAACGGTGGATGAACTCGATCTTTCAGAAAACCTACTAATGGGTCCCCTAGGGCCAAAAACGTTTCCCAAGATGGATTCGTTGAAGGACCTTCAGTTGTCTTACAATTCCCTCAGCAGTATCAAGATGGGGGCTCTTCAGGGTCTGCCGAACCTGACTTCGCTTCGCCTTCAGCATAATTTGATCGACGTGATTGAAGATCACGCGTTTATCCATCTATCGTCCGTGGTGGAACTAGACTTGGCTCACAATCGCATTGTAGCAGTATCCGGTGCTTCTTTGGCCCATCTAAGTCGCCTTACCGATCTTGATTTAAGGCACAACTTTCTCAGGGCTCTTACGGCCGACTTAATCCACCCGTTAAAATCTTTAAAGATACTAAAACTAGACGAAAACGATATTTCAATTATAGCCAGCGATGCGATGAAATCTACTACGATTTTTAAGCACTTTACTCTTTCGGAAAATCCCCTAAACTGTGATTGTAGTCTTATAGAATTCAGCACTTGGCTAAACAATTCGAGTCTGACAAGGGATGACAAGTCCACCGCAGTTTGTGCAACTCCGCCGTCCTTGGAAAACGGATTGTTGACCGATATTCCCAACGAGCACCTTGTGTGTGGTGAAGACGAACAAGAAACCCTTATGGCACCTCTGTCGACATCGCCTAGAGCAAAAATTTCCCTTCAAGAGTTTCTTTACGACGGCAACGACGTAAAACTTATTTGGAGCGTAGACGAGACAACGTTGCCTTACAGTTGTGACGCCATATTCGTGTACGAAGAAATCGGTTTAAACGAAGTACTACTCGAGTCCAATTCGATCAAGTGTAACTCGTCGGAACTGGAAGATCCGAAACGTTTAGAAGTTACGGTACCGGCTAGTCTGCAGCTCCAAAACAATCACAAGTACCGTTACTGTGTGGTTTTATTCGCGTCCGGAAACACTGACGATATATCCATAGTACCCGGATGTTCCGACATGATTTCGTTGATACAGAACGCTCAGTACCAGCAGAATTACGTGGGGCAAGCGACCAAGATTGCGTCGATCGAGGCAAATTTATCTAGTCAAGGGAGTTTGTCAATGGACGTTGTTCTTTATCCTCAAATAAAAGACTGCGACTTAAACGTTGCCATCTTGGAACAAAATACGTTGCTTTCGCAGAGAAAGATAACCTGCCAGGAGCCAAGGTACACGTTTGTAGGACTCGAACGAGGTCCTTATCGAGTATGCGCCAACGTGCTGCAGCCAGGACCGGCGCTTGATTTTGTTAAACCCAGATGCGTGACTGTCTTTAAAGAGCAAGTGCGCAGGTTCTCCGGTTTGGACGTAGCGTTTGTGTCAATATTTTTAGTTTTGTGCGTGTTGGTAATCGGACTGATCTGGGGAGTGCGAAGAATTCTTTTGAAACCGAAAATCCAAACTCACCAGTGTTTTCTGCCGCCGGAATGCGACGATCAAATTCAGCATAATCGGTATGTGAAGTTGCAGGCGACCACGAAGTTATAAGTGTTGAAAGGATTGAGTTACTCAGTGCCATAATAGCAGTCGCGAGTGACGTTGTATTAACGATTTAAATGACTTTTTTTGGATTTTTTGTGTCGTTGTGATCGCAATTTTTGTACCATTCAAAATGCCAGGTAGTCGGGGCCTGGAGTCTGATGATTAGAAAATAATTTTTGCTCTGAAAAGTGTCGTTATTTTTGCTACTCTTAATATTCTAGTCATCTTGCTACTAGGTAAATTGAATATAGATGCTTTATCTATATTACAACAAATTTTGTTGCGATCGCCACATCAAAACACTTCCCAGGATTCCATTAGTATTCCATTACATAGTAATGTGAAATATATACACGCCTGGAAGAACCATTCGACTCTGGCTAAAAAATTCATAACTTCCGCTAGTTTGTAAATTTTACCTTATTCACTTGCCTCTATATTCAATTTATATGGTTCCAATAGTTCTTTCCACCTAACCTTGTTTTCAATTGCCGACTCAAGCAAACGCAAATTTTACTAGTAACATTGAAAGCCATTTTTTAATAACCGCCAATTTTTACATACACTGATACACTTTAAATTGAATATGCCCCATTAATGATAGCCAACCTTCTGATTAAGTTGAAAAACAAAAATAGTTACAATTAATGAAACTTTAAAAAGTGTAAAATAAATGATTGAGCTTATATGTTCTTTCACTTTTATACGGAATGGTTGGTTACAAATCTTCTGGATTCCTTCCGAACCGAAGTTGTTGATGTTTCACCAATCATCCTGCCGACTTCTTCACAGCTTAACTGAAATTGGCTCGCATTCTACTCTGTACCTGCTAATATACAGTTTGAGGGGGGCGGAGCTAAAAGAGGGACATGAACATTGTCTCGAATGGCTCCCATATTGGTAAAAGGTAAGGAACTGATTCTGGGTTAAGATTGTTTGGTTGTTTAGAGATTTCTATTGATTCCTGGACTTATCTTTGGCAGAAGGATTGAATAGTTTTGTCGAATAAGATTTGATGTCTGCTTTCATGATTGTGTTGCACAACTGCCGATGAGCTTACTTGTCGTCGTGTTGTCGTAAGGCTCTTTCATGTGCTTTTACCCTAGTTAATATTTTTCGTTCTGTTTGTTGAAATAGCAGCAGTTTACAGCATTGTTGAGGTTACAGAATGCGAGCCCGTTGCAGTTAACCTCTGAAGAAACCAACAGGATGCTTGGTGAAACGTCAGCTAGTTCGAATTTTCAACATCCGACGCAGGACAAATCCAGAAATTTTGTAAATTATTCTTTTGTAAATTTCTTTCTAAAAAAACATTTGCAAGAACAAGAGTTATGGGGGATAAAGTTAACCCTTCTGAACATACAGAAATACCTGTCTAATTATCTTTTTAGTTTTGCAAAGAGCGAACTTGTTTCAAGGTGTAGTAAATATATTTTCAATAAATTCAAAACTATATTTTGGTGTGGTGAAAACAAACAAGCTATAAAATCTACTTTTTTTCTGTTTGTTTCTTCAAACAGTAATATTTTGGTCTCAATCAAACAAAAGCCCGAATCACTTTCGAAAATGTTGTTAGTTTTATCACAGTTCAGAAACTCAACGCATGTCACTCTCATTACCCAGAGTTCAGCTTTCTGAAATAAACATATTTTTCTTTGAAACATTCAAATTTTTGAAACTAGCGATCCTAGTTTGCGATAAATAGAAATGGCATTAAAAATTGTCGATTAATTTTGTACCAATGCCAATTGAAATTATTGCCAATTTTCTGACTTTGTAGCAATTTGTATACATTTATTGCTTTATGATTTTATTGTACATGTTATGTTCGTTTGGGTTACTTGCGTACCTTGGTCGCCCATAAGCGAAAGCGAACATAACTAATTCAATAATTAATCAATCACTTGTAATATCGGAATAATCGGAAATTGTTTACTGTGAAGAAAAATGTACCTAATTGGAAAAGCAAATGTCGTCGACCATAAAGAGGGTTTGTCTATCTTTGTAAATATGTATGCGTCGTAAACTAATATGTAACACTAATATACGGAGTAACTCTAATATCGTTCTTGTAGATCGTGTTCTTCATGCTTTAATTTCCAAAGTAATTTTAGTTTTGTAAATACATCAAATTCGCTCTTGTCGTATGCTTTAAAATCAATATGTATTTTTTACTTTTAAGTTATTAACTGAACTGATTAACTTTTAGTTTGTATATTGTAGATATGTTAGAGTGTCACTAACGCTTGTTTTATATTTTGTTAAAAATTGTTGTTTTTTTATTGTGCCGCCTCGGAAATAAAAAAAAGTTCTTGCCATTTGGTTTTGCTTTTATTACTACAATTTTGCTAGATCGATTGCGATCACTTTTTAAACGCTAGTTATTACAGAAACAATGAGCCTTTTATAATCTCAAAATTTCGAAATTCGTAATAGGAAACAGTAGTAGAAACACGAAATGAAAAATATCTGTAAATTAAGTCGTGGTAGAAACTTCGAAAACTATTAGAAGAACCAGTTTTGTTTCCTCTTTTATTATCATACTTTTGCTCATGAGACGAAGAGATAAAATAAATAAGTTTTAAATAATTTTCTTAAATTTCCAAAATTTAACAACATGGTTTTCGAAGTAAATTTATATTTTTGATTCCAAGCACTCCGCTTGACTTCTAAGAACAATGACAAATTATTGTAGATATTGCAAAGTTGTCGCTTACTCATTGTTTAACTTTCCAAGTTTATAATTCTTTTCTCTCTTTCTTTTTTGGGTTCATAGACAAAAGATGCCTTCTATAAACAAAAACAATTTAATGTGGTATCTACTAAAGTATTGTACATCATTCACCCTATGCGAGGAATACAAACGCTAGCAATGTGCGACGGATATGCTCCGCCGATAACAACTACGGACCCATCCCTCCCATGCACGGAAGCCAAGTTCGCTTTGGACCATCTTCGCACAGATTGAATCGTCCCCAATATCTTCATCCAATAAATCTGTTGAATGAAAAAAGTGTCTATTATTGCTTTGCTATAATGCTTTGTATAATTTTGATATTTTATTTATGCCACCGATAAGTAACAATATCGTGGTTTTTCAAATTCGCATTCTGATCACACACTGTATGTGACAATAAGGTAAGTGTTTGTAACACGCTTTACCCCCAGAAAGTAATTACGACCTTCTTACCTGTTGTTGCTGGATAAACCCAAAAACCAATAATTTCTTCATAGGCAAGGAACAAGATAAGGGCGAATCATGTAGACCACGTGTCAGCTTACATCAGTGGCAGCGTTTTACCGAATATATCACTAATTTTTATGTCGCTTCGAAATCGCATCATTAGATGCGAAACAGTTGTGAAAAATGTGTATTAGTGTTTAATTAACAGAGGATTCATGAAACAAGAAGCTTTAAAAGAAACTTGCATACTTGTAAAAACACCAATATCCTCGATAAATGATATTGTTAACAGTGAATCATTGAATGAAAGAAAATAACGTAGTGATTCTCGATATTAATCCCGGAGAATAGTGATAAAGATCTGATCAGAAGGAAAATATTATCTTTATCAAAACCAGATTATTCTTTGGATAAACCAATATAGTTATTAGAAGTGCCAGCATTGAGATATTTGTAAAATAGAATTTAAACACCGCAAAATAGACAAAAAAACTCAACCTAGCACAACCGAATAATGCATAAAACAAAGAACAAAAAAGGCATTTTTGGAACTGTTAAACTCAGATACCATTAGAAATCAATGTGATAGTTTAGCTGAACAGATAGGGAATTGTGTTTTATGTTTTCTTCTATATCGTTGTATATTCCACCTCATTATCGGCACCAATTAAAATCGAATGCGAGAGCAGAAAATGTTAGTCCCGGTGTAATAAACTTAATTAAAATATTATATAATTAATAACATAACATGATGAGGGCTGAAAAATACGGTATACACACATTTTAAAACTTGTATACAAAATAACATAGACCCCATTTTAATTAATCTTTATGATTACTTAATCAGTGGAACGGGATTAGATTTTCAATAAAAACGTACTTATTTAGATAATTGATAATTTGATAATTTATATATAATGTGGTCTGATCGTATACTAATGTGACTTTATTATACCGGAATGACATGACATTTAATCTTTATATTTTTAAATCACCTTAAAAGTTTATCCCTGTGTTTTATTTATTATTTAAATAATTGCCGTCACAATACCATAGATATACTTCAAATACACTGTATAGTGTAAATACAAAATATGCACTGCTATGAAACGATAAATATTAGAAAATATGCAAATCAGAAATCATAATAGAAAATGCAAGAACCATCATACAATGTCACCACCTTTAATTTCCTTTGTTAGGAAAATCACAAAAACAAATTAATTTCCGATGTCACATAAGTGTCATCTTTTATTTCGTTCAAAAATATGCGGTTTAGGGTAATGGAAGCATTCCTCGCAAAATTGGCGTTTATTAAATTTATTTTTATTCATATTTAATACATTCCACCCATATTGTTAAACGCATCATCATAACCACCATTTTTCAAATGAAGAAACTTAAGTTATATGCTGAATCCAGACCGGCTAAATGGTTTTTAAAATTGTCGTATATTGCTTATCGGCCAACAAGCGGCCGCCGATGATGTCCTTAATAAATTAACTCTTTAAATTTTTGAAACAAATATTATTGAAATATATGTCTACGTATTTAATAACCAAAATAAATTTCTCTTAATTAGTCCTGTCCATTTGTCTAAAGACCTTGGTAGAAATTGTGTTTTCCAATATTCCAATATTTTTTTAAAACCAAATGAAATGTCTACGTAGGTAGTTTTATAACTTCTAATATAGTATATTTTAATACCTAACTTGCTTAAAACATCCTTAGCGAATAATTTTTACTTTAAAATCATCTGAAAAACAATTATAATTTTCGTAGAGCTTGTGTTTTTACGAGTTTTGGTTAGTTTTGCTACTGTTTGGCTTTCGAATATTAAATCCAAAATGAATAAAACATGTTTTTTTTTTCAGTAGACACCTCTTAAGATTTATGACGTGCATCGTAATCATCAAATTGACCACGCAAAATATTTATTGTCATGCACACCTTCCCACTTCATATTTCTAGTCCTCCATGATGGTTCCAAACTGCTTGGAATTAAATGTTGAACGGTCATCAAAACTTTTTTATTATCGACTTCCTAAAAACGTTCCATTGATAATGATGATGAATGATAATGATTAAGAAAATTTTGGAAATAAATTTACCGGGAAACGGTCTATTTCATAAAACAATAGTAGAAAACAATTTTCATATCGAAAATTCCCCCAAAATGACATTTACCACAATCGTCTGCTTTTGAGCTTTTTAAGTTTTTATACGTCAATAGCTGATTCGTGAAACTTCACGTAAAGTGAGTATCCATTACCGAATTCTGTTTATTCCAGGGTGGTCAAAATAATCATAGACAGACAGCGCATACCTATGTTTTTATATTTTCACCTTTTAATTTATATTACTTTTGTAATTACGAATTGAAAGTGCTTCAAATGCCCATATTTGACAAATAATTTTTTGAGAAAACCGCACTGAAAAAATTATTTTTTATTATCTGTTTCTCTCGCTCTGTCTCTCTCTCTCTCTCTCTCTCTCTCTCTCTCTCTTTCTCTCTTTCTCTGTCTCTCCCTCTGTAGGATTTACAATTTAAAGAAGCCATACTTTACTTATTTATAATACTTTATTTGCATCATAGTATCGCATAACATTAGCACGGTTCTTTACATACCTAACTTTAGTTAAGTACACTAGCATGTGATTAAGGTAGGTATAGAAATATGGTTATAGGTATAAACAAGAGCGACAACATAATTTATATTTATTTTATAAATTTGGGCAATTGGGAAATGGTATGTTTCTCCCGTAGCAGTTTCTAACCCAGCCTTCCCAAAAGCGAAAACCCATTTCCTTGTAGATCTGTTTGGCACACAATGAGTCTAAGCAAATATCGTCGTCAATTAAATCTGTGGATATGAAAACAATAAGCACATATTTGAAATTACTTAAGATCAGAAGAAAAATGTGATTGGAATATTTAATTTTAAATTCACAGAGAATAATACATATAGCAAATTAATGATTGAAGAGACTGACTCCTTAGCTAGCCTACTAATTTTGCTGGTTTTATTGCATAAGCGATACACGTACTTATTTTGTCGTTAGTATACAAGTAACAAAAAAATTGTACTAAAACGTTGATCTACCTATCTGAAACTAATTTATAGAATCCCAGCATGTAGAATTAGTCACAATCAGCTGTACAAACTCCTCTATTTCAATTCATAGTCAGTCAAAGCTTTTTTTTGTTTCGTCTTCAATGCAAACATGGCGATTTTAGCTTGCGTTTGTTATGGAAAACCAACTATTACCCAAAAAATTACTGCCGGTAATAACAACCATATTTTCAATGTAACAACGCACACGGCAATTTCATTATTTTGCATAAAAATTCATATTGGCTCGGTTTTGTTGGCAGGAAGTAATTCCAAGGCCAAAATTTTCGATAATAATTCGGCATTATTAGTTAGTGACAGAGTTACTCAAAGAACTTAGATTTGGGGAATTGGACGAAAAAAAGGCAAAGAGAATTTTAAAAATTACAATTAATTATGCAATTAGTTAATAATTTTTGTATAAATATTTAACCTATTTCAGGTGGGTGGGTTCGCTGTAAATACCGTAAAACTGATGTACCATGCCTATAATATTCTAGTATAGTAGGAAATGATCTTCAGCCTATGTCCTTAATTTTTACACATTAACTTTTGGACATTTTTTTTCTAACCAGCGATCTCCACACACTTTTACACTAGTTTTTTCGGGGAAAATTTAATTAGATTTGGATATATTGAGGCCATGTTGATTGCTGAACGCCGCAAATTTCACGAAATTTATATTGGTTTAGCAATATAATTTGCTAAATTTAATTTGACAAATTTTAAGAGAATTTGAAGAGTATTGTGGTACTAAGAAACTTAGATTTTTTACGTTATTATGCTATTATCAACTGAGGAAGACCTTCAAGCTATCGCATTACTAACAACTAGACGATGAGAAACAATCAACAAATAACTACCACACATAAGCGTGCAACATCAAAAGCAAGACTTCAATATCCACCAACTTTTTGTTTTTTGTGCAACATTCGAAATCGCATATGCACCTGTCTAAGATGACAAATTAGGACAGGAAGGTAGTGGCAGCTTCCGGCCGTAGCAGCTTCTCATCCAACCCTCCCATGTTCGAAAGCCTAATTCTTGCTGAATTATTTTCGCGCAAACAGAATCGTCTGAGATGTCGTCGGTGAGTAAATCTGTTGAAAATTATCCGATTCGAGGTTTTTCGCATTTACAATATTTTCTAAAACACGATATTGATTTTGGGCTGATAAATTAAGCCACATTCTAAAACCCATTCCACGCTATAGCTGTGAGAGTTAAACTTATGTTAGCTGCCGATTCCTAGCATTACAGTTTCAAAGCAAATTACCTTTGGATACTAAGTCGCTGGAAGTAGTTTTTTATTCCACATATCGAAAGTTGTGTGTGTATAACACATTTATGCGATAATTAATTTATGACCATTCGTTCCTAGTATGAGCGTCAAATCATGTGAAAAATATGTAACTTAATCTAAGGTCAAATGGTAGTCAAGTTTAAGGTCATTAGGGTTAACTAAGCAATTCCTACAGGATGTTCCTATCAGTCAATAGTAGAACGAATTTACTGTTTTTTTACTATTTTTCGAAAATATACAGTACATATCCGTTATGATTAAAATAATTTGATTTGGGTGTTTTACCATCTACCGTAACAAATATTTAAAAGCAAAAAAATATAAAAATCGTTTTTTTATTTTGAATTTCAAACAAGATAAGCTAAAATTAGAATAGAAAAAATATTAAAATTTAGTGAAAGCAACATAGCAATATTAAATGTTTCAATTAAAGCAGACCTAAAAATTTTATAAAAAATGTACATTCTCTAAAAAATCTTTTTCAAGTTCTACAGATTAAAATTTTAATTTAAAATTAAAATCATTCAAAATTATGCTCTATTCTCGTCCTATCATAAAACCGTGCAAATTCGATACAAATTTTTAAATACCAGTGAGGATATAAATTAATTTTGTATTACCTTCGCATTTTATATTACATTTTCCTCCTTTTGAACCAAATTTGCACCAGTCTTTGCTGTTGATCTGAAAAAAAAACTTATTTCGTATTCGTAGTTTACTTTACTGTTTTATTGTTATTTCAGTAAAAGTGTAATGAAGATTATTTAAAATTACCTGGAATAGTCCTAAACTTTTACTTCCATTAGCTTTGACAATAACTTTGGAAGTGTTCTTTGCGCTCTCACTTTCGATGAGACAAACCCCTGTAATAATGACAAAATAATGTTTATTTATTTCATTATTAAAACTAATAGCATGTACTACTCCAGTATTTCCAGTATACTAATTACTAAAATACTAAATTCTGGTAAGCGGTGGATAAAATTTCTTTGCGTGACTAAGCAATTGTAATTATAGTATTGTATATAAATTAAGATTTCGCAGAAGCCAAATTGATTAAGAACTATGTATATCAGTTATTATGAACGCGTAATATCTAATATGGCGCTAAAGGAATATTCCAAATAAATGTAATTGTAAATAAATATTACAAAATATTGTTATCAGGTATTTTTGCACCATAAATACAATCGAACGAAAAGAATATGATAAAAGTGTGCTCAATAATATTCAAAGAGTTACAAGACAGTAATAAAATATTAACAATTTAATTATCAGATGATTTATGACCAAATAGACTCATAAAACATTAAACTTTGTAGAAAGGCATTGTACAGGGCCGGGCCTACCGTATATCCCATATACAGTGTTATTCCAGCTATACGACAGGGAATATTGTAACCAAAATACAAGCTTTTCAAAAGGTTTTACTTCTGGGATGTGTAGAGTCCTATTATGCCAACTTATATTTTCATACTATACGAGTTGTTCCAAAGTTGTTAAAAATATCAAAGTTGTATTTTCTGAAATGAAGCCCCCTGTATATGATAGCACATGTTTCAATAAGGTTAACGACACGCAAACCTTAAGGTTTTTAAAAATAATTTGAATTTAGTCCCATGTAACCATGGACAATATCTTAATGAAAGGCATGCCATGCCACCTTACACATGGTTGCTAAAAATTTATGCTATACTAATAGTAACTTCAAGTGGCCACAACTTATTTTAAATGAAACAGCATATTTTTCAATTTACCAGAGAATGTACTTTTCAATTACTTATTGAATGGCGTTAGAGTGTCCGGGATTTATTTCTAGTTGCCTAAGACATTTAGAAATCGATCAAAAAAGTTCTCAATTTCTGCCGCTTTAGGTAACACCTACATACAAAATTCAATTTACTTATCAAAATCATTTCCATAAAGTTCTTATCAATGCGGCATGTTATTTTATCAATATTTGTGTTATATTTGGATTTTCTATAGCCGAACCGATGAGCATAAACTCGAAAAGTTAATCAACAAATTTTATTACATTCTCCAAAGATAAAAACTCAAATAAAAATCATATCAATACGCTTTTCTTTTGGGTAAATCTTAATTTGGACTAAACAACAAACCACATTACAACAATTATAATAAATAATGAGAGATGAGACAGAATTGATGCCTAAATAATAGTATATTATCCAACAAGTGCGGTGAGCGGCATTTGAGTCACAGTTTATTTGGCACAAGCGCAGCGCAGTGGAGCGAGTGTTTAATAAACGAGTGAGTGTACCAAACGTGTTGCATACTATACTTTTTCTACGACCGTTAGTTTTTTGATACACAAACAAATTGACAAACGTCAAAATTCAAGCTGTACAGTAATATCTCCGGAAGCATCCGATTGCTTACAAAACCGTACGGTCATATCCCGGAAATATCTGAAGGAACTCGGATCCGTGGGACAAGAAACTCACGTGGTAAAGTGACGCTTTCCGCACGTTAGATCGGTGTTATAATTAGGTATTTTACAGAAGGGAGTAAAAAGAAATATTTTCTGAAATAACTATTTCAGTCAGGAAAGTGTCCGATTACTTTATTTTTACTTTATTTTACTTCAAGTATATATATTTATTTTTTTAAGCTGGTCTCGAATAGTATATTATGCAACAAGTGCGGCAAATGGCATTTGACTCACGAGTTTATTTCACACGAGCGGAGCGAGTGTTTAATAAACGACTGACCGTAAAAGTTTACCGAACGTGTTGCATACTATACTTTTACTATGACCGTTAATTTTTGGGTACATTTTTTCAAAACAATACGATACATTCACTGACATCCGATTGCTCCCAAATCCGTGCGGTAATATCCCGGAAATGTCCGAAGGGTTTCGGATCCGAGGGACAAGAAACTCATCTGGTAAAGTGACGCTTCCCGCGCGCTAGATCGGTGTATAATTAGATATTTTACAGAAGGGAGTAGAAAAATTATATGACTTTTCCATAGACAACCGGAAACAGTAATATTCTTATTTAGAAAACACCAAATGACGCCAAAAAAATAATTTTGTGAACATCTATAGCCACCTAAAATTATTATTAGGTTAGGATATTCTATATAAATTGGGAAGTATTTTATAATTGAGGTATAAAATATGGTCTACTGTTGGACCCTACTGTATTTGAGAAATTCAAATTACCTTTCCGAAAACCTGGAAGATTTAGGTATGAAACACATTGAACATTATTGAAACACACGAGTATTTACATGTATGATATGAAAGTAAAGTAAAAGGTAACAATAATAGTACTTCATGTATATGTATATAATAGTATTATTTGCAAATCTTCTGGATTCGTCCTGCGTCGGTTGTTTATAAATCAAGCTTGCTGATGTTTCTCCAATCATCATGTTGGCTTCTTCAGAGCTTAACTGAACAAAACAATTTCAGTTAAGTTAAGCTCTGGAGAAGCCAACAGGATGATTGACAACAACCGATGCTTGAGGAATGCATGCAGAATGCAGATTTTTAAATAGTACAGTTACAGTAGTCTGTGGAAGTTTCTTTGAAAGAAAAGTACTTCACATATCCAAAAAGCAAACCTTTTCGAAAACCTTATATTTTGACCACAACATTCCGTGTCGTATGTATGTCCGGTTTTGCTAGTTGATGGGATACAAGTTTTTAACTCTCGATAGATGATAAATGTTCCTTCTTTTGTTGGTGTTTCGGGGTTATTATTAACCGCTAAAATTTGGCAATTTCTTATATTAATGGTATTAAACGACTCATTTTAAATTGAATTCCGGTCTGTTCATAGATATAAGAAAGTCACCAATTGCTTTTGAATGGAATTATAAATAAATATTGTTTAGTATCTTTCCTAACAAAACCCCAAATAATTAAATTCTAAGCAAAGTACGGACCTGTTCGGCCATATTTCATTCTTACAGCGGGTCTTTCCTTAACTCCTATCAGTTAGTCGCTTTCTTATATCTATGAACATACTTTACCTAGTGTTTTCTTTAAACAATTGTTTCAATTGCATATTTCGCATTAATTCTTAATTTTTATGATCAACTACATTTTATAATAAACATTTAATTGCTAAGTTCCTATGTTAAAAAAAAATGAACCTAATTGTAAAAGTATTTGCTAAATATTTCCATTTTTCCCGGAGGTGTTTACGTAGCGTATCGAAAACCGATTTTCATGCGCACAAATTTCAATTTACTTTGCACGTATTTTAATACTAATTTTATCTGTTACTTTATGTGTAATTTGGTAGAAGACATGTTGCAATATTTTCTGCAAAAACTACACCGTGTGTCTTAATTACATTAATCGTTTTATAGAATTCGAAGTTTATAAACTATGAAAGACTTACAATTTCCCACAAGAGTCCTGTCGAATTTATTTTGCAGCAACTCTTTCGTTAAACCGCATTTGGTAAATACCTTTGATTCGAATTCGGGCACGTAAACCGACACAAACACGAATCCCACGAAAAACCAAACTTTGCTCATGTTGTTTGTTTTATATTCGAACTTTAGGAAAAGGACGCACCGCTGCCGACGAGCCGGAACTCACCGAGCGAATTAATTAATTGATGCACGATTAATGAATTCGAATTATTAACCGCATTTAATCGGGAGATACATAAAAACGGCTTATCAATTGTTAAACACATAAATTTGCATTCTAATTTACCATTATATTCTTGTGCAAACAAAATTATATTTCCTACCACATATTTTTCTGTTTGAAAAAAATCCGCAGTACAAACCGTTTAGGTCTATGGGTACCGTGTGTACGTTAGTAGGTGGCCATTATCACGCCGATTATAAAGTACGCGTAACAATTACTTAGTGAGGACTCAAATGCTCAAAAATCAATTTTTGTGTTTTTTTAACTTACATTTTTTTGAGGAGGAGGAAGTGCTTCACGCATACCATTATCCTTTGCGGTTGTTTTACTTTTCCACCCGGAACAGTCTCTTACAAATTTTCACTTGCAACCATCAGCATTCACTCTTGGCCCTGCCTTATTGTTATTTATTGTCTTTCAAGTTCTTCTTTGGTTTATAATTTATATTACTTGAACCTTATAACTCGGCATTTTTTTTTCATTTTTTAAGGTTTTCGGCGCCAGTACGTTTGGATCTAAAACGCAGCCTATGTTTCTTGACTTATCTGGTACCATTTGGAGCACTGAAATGCAGTTAGGCGATATCAGTCTTGGAACATTATAGCCAGCTCTCCGTGTCTTTCCTTTAAATCTTTTGGCGAAAGGTCCAAAACAATCATGTTCAAGTTCAAGTAAGGTACGTATTAAGGTTTGGTATGAGATTTTTGGTCCACTGGGACTTTAAGGTTATGTTGAGTCTTTTTCTTCAAACTTTTTGCATAAAACGATCTGCAAAAATTGTTATGATTTGATGTGATTCAAATCCGATCTACCGGTGGTACATTTTGCCGTGGGCTAATGTTTTGAATATAAAAAATAAACCTTGAATTCTGTATTAATCGATACATACACGGTGAGAAGCAAAATACACTGGTATACAGAATGGTCCCATCATTGGTATATTCGAAAAGAAAGTAGCTTTTTTGACACCTTTTCAGAAATTTATTTAATCTTACTTTAAAGAAAAATGCTTACATATCTCAATCCTTTCCCACGTTATTGCGAAAAATCCGAAAATTCAATTTTTCTGTCTTCTTTCTTTGAACACTATACGCGATTTTCATGCTGTTAAATAGAAAAAAGAAACTGATATATTTGTGAATATCTGCTGATGAATATATATGTTAAAATAATATGATGTACCAGAAAGCAAGTTTTCGAGGGTATTGATTTGTTGAACATGGACTTAAACGTCTGGGTTGTCTTTCTCGTTAAATTTTAACATATCCCACCAAAGCAGAGATGTTGAATTCTTGATGATCACAATATATATAAAATAATATCAGTGTAAAGTATTTTTTTATGTAAAATTAAGTACAAAATCCTCAATAAAAATTATTATTCTAAAAGAAACTCCGCGCTAGTGGTACTTGGCCTCGAATACCCGGAGGAAGATTCCGAAATCAACTGATCTTCTAAACGGCATTTGATTTTCTTATAATAATTTTTGCCTTTTTTCGTTTCCGGCGCTTGCAGCTTATTAGACAATTTTAGTTCTTCGATATAGTGTAGATCCAATGCTAAATATGGAGCTCCCTTAGCCACTTTGTCGACCATCTAAAATTGCAAAATAAAAAAAAACTTTATAGTGACTCGAAATCAAATCTTAGGATGTGTAGGATAAGAAGGACAATAAGTTGGCTGCTATTAAAAGTCTTCTTGCATCCTCTCAAACAAATCCCGTACTCTTACATCAAGCAGGCTTTGCACCATAATCTCACCATAACCATTCACCAGTGGCAAAAGCTAAGCTTCTCTGAGAAACATTTTGGAACATATTTTTAAATAACTTTTATATTATAGAAGTTTACGTAACGATTCCCGAAAATGCCATTTTACTGTAAGAGATCGAAGCCTTCGAAGACTGAAATATTTTAACATTGAAGGCGGTTTAATTAAAATTTAATAATATTAATAAAATAATATAAAATTTCATTTTAAAAAAATGTATTGTACACAACAAAGTCCTGAGAGTGCTATTTTACTTTAAGAGCGGGCAAATTCCAAGAGTCTTAGGTCGAAGGTATTAGGGAGTTATTATCTGTAATACTATTTCTTGGTCCATAAAAAAGTATTATTCAAAAACCAGATAAAAAAATTAAATTTTACAGCTCAGAACTCCAATGCAAAGCTTTCAGAATACTTAATTAATCAGTGAGATGACTTCTTCAAGACGCAACAAGATTTTGTGGTGTATATACATCCTTTACGTTCGTACCCACCTATCAGTTAAAAGATACATTACCTGCTTCTTTTTAGACTCCAAAACAGCAATCTTGAAATTAATTTTGCTCTGCGCGGCACTGTTTTCCAGTATATTTCTTTTTAATATAAAATCTATTTCCTTCAACTGTTCATCTATATTTGATTCCAAGAATTTTTCACTCCTACAATATTTGATAAGCTTGATAAATGAAACGACACTTTAGTGTTGACACGAGCGGAACGAGTAAATTGTACATAAATTTATGATGGTCTTATATCTTCGAATGCTGAATTTAATAACTTCTTACAGGGGAATTACAACATTTTAAAGTGTATTCGATTTTCACCATAACAAAATTTAACTACTTTGCTTACCTTTCAACACTGTCATCGCACAACAAAGTCCAGTCGGAGGGGATTAAAACGCTACTCTGGAGTGGAGGTGGCGGCAAAACAGGAAAGGAAAAACTAAATTCCATCTCGGGAGCGTTAAAATTCAGTTCAATTTTGGCTACACAATTGCAACAACTAATCAGCAAGGACGACCGCTCCCAGACATTCGGATTTGATCTGAAAACAATATCAGATTGAGTGCTCCAATGCTAGTTTGAAATAACTCTTTAGCAAAGCCAACATTTTATTGTTTACAGGTTCCTGCGTTTTCCACGTCCTTTGAAATAAACAGGTTCATTTTAAGACCGACCTTTCTAAAGATTCCCCGTCGATATTTTTCATCTCGGAGATATCCTCAATACCGAAACAGTTTTTCTTGTTTTCTCTGGCCTCCGAACCGTTCGGGTTTTGCCTTTTGGGACCGGGATAAATACAGTTAATCCCCCATTCGATAAGTTTCCCCTGGACACGGAAAACGGGAAATTTCAATCGTAAACGCTGTAAGCAGGCATGTTCTTTCAAATCCCAAACCTTTAAAGTCTAAAACGGTTTATTGGATTTTTGATATCGTCCTGTTCTCGTTCAAAATTCATTTTAAAATCGCACTTTAAATACAAATTTGGCCATCTAGATAAAATGAATCAAATTTGTATACATTCTTCTCACACACGTAGAACCTTCAGAATTGACAAACATCAAAATATCATCAATGTTTTAATAGTAAATTATTTAATGTTTTGTTCGTTTCGATCAGTTTTGGTTAGTTAATAAAAGAGTGACGTAGTCAACAGTATATTATGCAATAAGTGTGTTAAACGGCATTTGAGTCACGACTGCACACTACGTACGTGTTGCATACTCTATTTTTGTACGTCTATTAGTTTTTAGGTACATTTTTGCTAAACAACACTAATCAATTCATTGACATAACCGTAAGAATTAATGAAAACTTCAAGCCGTGGGTAATAATCTCCGAAAACATCTGATTGCTTCCAAACCCGTGTACTAATATCTCACAAATATACGAAGTGCCTCGCAGCCTAGGAAACAACACTGACGTCGTAAAATGATACTTTGCACAGAATTGACAAACATCCGATTGCTTCCAAACCCGTGCGGTAAAATCATGGAAATGTCCGAAGTGGCTCGGATCCAGGGGAAACGAAGCTGACGTGGTAAAGTGACGCTTCCCGCACGCTAGATTAGTAGGTAATTAGGTATTATAGAGAAGGGAATAGAAAAGGCATAGTTACAACAGGTTTGGTAAACTTTCACCTGTTAATTAAACTAACCAACAAATGCTGTTCTTCTACTCCCTTCTGTAAAATACCTAATTATACACCGATCTAGCATGGGAAAAGCGTCACTTTATCACGTGAGTTTATTGTCCCACAGATCCCAGCCCCTTGGGCATTTCCGGGATATAACCACACGAAATTTGGGAGCAATCGGATGTTTTCGGAGATTTTATCGCACGGCTTGAATTTTGACGTTTGTCAATTTTGACAGTCATGTCAGTGAATGTATCGTATTGTTTTGCAAAAATGTACCCAAAAACTAACGGTCATAGAAAAAGTATAGTATGCATAAAGTGACCATACGTCCCGTTTTGAATGGGACTGTCCCTTTTATAGGTCACCTGTCCCGTTGTCCCCAAACAAAGCTCCGGGACGTAAAATTGTCCCGTTTTTTAACCGTTAAAAGACTATTGTTTGAGCATTGAAAAATGTCCCAAAACGCAGTGGATATATTGATTGAAAAGGGATATATTCACTGTAATAAAGATACAGAAGTGTTTGACGAATTCACATTAATTTCAAACTACGTCACTACCCAAAAAATTACCGAACGGGGTAATTTAAAAGTCTCAACAGAAACTCGTTGGGTGGAAGTATTCAAACACTTTCGTTCTAACAATCTTAAACATGAAAATTTTTGTATTTTAATTGAATACATTTTATGTCTACCTGGAACAAATGCTCCAGTAGAAAGAGTCTTTTCTCTCATGAACAAACTGTGGACATCCGAAAAAAATCATTTACAGGTTCTAGTGTTGAAAGCGATGTTGATAACTAAGGTTAATGTAAAAAAAACGTGCCAAGAATTTTATTCTTATTTAAAGTCATCGCAAACTTTATTAAAGCAAATTTGTTCCTCTGAAAAGTATAAAAACAATTTAAAAAAAAATGCGTTGCATATATTTTAATAATTATTGACAGATCAAAGTTCCTTGATTAGTAAAGCTGGTGATTGATTTTAATTTTTCACTACTTATTATTTTTTTAATTACTTAATTATTATCAAAATAATTATAGTGTATAATTCCATTAAGTAACACTTATTCTAAATAAAGAAAATTAAAAAGTTGTGTTTATTTTCTTTGTTAGCCTGAAGGCTAAATCTAAAGGTCTGGCGGGAAATTTAAATTTTAAACTGTTTTTAAATATTAATATTAAATAAAAATACTGTTTAAAATTTGAATTTCCCGCCAGACGTTTAACCTGAAGCTTAAATTTTTTTGTCCCGTTTTGAGTTTGAAAATAAATGGTCACTTAAAGTATGCAACACGTTCTGTAAACTTTTCAGGTCACTCGTTTATTGAACACTCGCTCCGCTCGTGTCAGATAAACTCGTGACTCAAATGCGGTTTACCGCACTTGTTGCATAATATACTATTACCACACTTGTTGCATAATGCACTATTACTTATTGTTTTTTTTTTCAATTTTAATTATTTGTATAATCCTTATTTAATATTTAAAAATGGATGTTCAAAATGTTAGCAAAAAAAAATCACTGACCCTATTCTAGTTACGTTGCAAAAAAAAACACAGGAAAATCCTCTGCATTTATTCGATAATACTTACTCCGTCCCTGGAACAACTGATAAAGAGATGCTGCCGCTCAAATATTTGAATATCCAAAATGTCGCACTGATGTTCCGAAATTAAACCAATTGGTTTCGAAGTGAGAACCGAATTCCAAATTCGAATGAGACCGTTCGTGCTGCCCGTAATAAGAAGTTTGAATTTTGCGCTCAATGCAAAACAGCTGGCACCCTAAAATTGAGCTCAGAAAACATTAACAATACAAAAAAAATTAACTCGGACTCACTCTGGACATTCTGAAAACGGCCGGCTTCGTTTTGTTTCCAACATGTTTAATAATAACGGATTTCGCAGGATCTTTACTGCAAGTGATGAGGCAGTTCATATCGCTAACATATTGGATATGGTTGATACAGTCTTGGTGTATTGCTGCGGATCTTTGAATTAAGACATGTTTCGTCTGTTTTAACAGCACCTATAAACGAAATGAAGTAAAATTGATTGAAAATTATAGGAAGTTTGAAGAATGGTTATACGAGAGGAGATTAAAATAATAAAAAGTTTTTTGGTCTTGGATGGTAAGTACCGAAGTAGGTTACCTATAGATTAATATCCAAAAATGTATTAGTTATTAAACTTGGACCAAATGGAAAAACATTTTTTTTTCTAATACATACGAGATGGATTTTGACTAAAAATGTTTAAGGTACTTACATCCCAATAGAATATTGTTACTTCTTCATTGCGTTTGCGTCGAAGTAATTCAGTTTCTGGCTGTAGAAATTCAAAACTAACAATTTCTCCGTAATCGTCGCCACAGTATAAGATACATTTTCCATTACGTCTTTTTCCGTATTTGTACAATTTGTAGGATAAACACTGAAATGAGTAGAAACCCCTAAATTTTTAAGAATTTAAGAATTGATTATTTTATTTTGACTAAAGAAAAGATTTTTTTTTTGGTAGATCTTGCAACGTTAAATTTGCAAATATTTTTCAAAGATAAATTAGCACCTAATATGGTAATATGTCGTATACTTCGTTCTCTGCTTTCCGTGTCTAAAAGAAAATTACTATAAACAATTTATGTCCCTCAAAATTCAATAAAAGTTATTTTTTAGTACGATATGTATGAAAATAAAATCTAAAAATAAAATTTAAATTTAAATTGGCTTAAAAATTAAACAAGGCTGTAAAGCGTAAAAGATAGTTTAATGTTCTTGTCGACGTGATTAAAATAGTGCTTTTTATTAATAGCATTGGTTTGACTTTTAATATCGGTGTACATTTCTAAGTTTATTGATAAACTGTATTCATTAAAAATTTTTTTTGTCATCTAACCTATGATATCGAACATAAAATAATATTCGCTGCTGATGGCAGTTCGCAATTCGAGTTCAAATACCGTCACAGAAAAATATATGTTGAATTTCGTGACTTTTTAAGCACTCGAAAAATTGGTTTTCTTGTGTGTAGTCTACTATGTATGTAGAAGAATCTTATTTGCGCCTTAATGAAATGGCCCTTTAAATTTTCGTTATAGATGTTTCACTAAGTTGTTGTAAAATATCCCCTTTAAAGGTAACTGTTAAACTTTTATCTTGAGTTTCATTTTTTTTAAATAGGCGTTTACATTAGTTTGTTTTCATGTAGTGTAAAGAATATTAATTTATTTTCTAATCAACAGATCAATTTCACGATATGCATTAGCAGATATATAGTTAAACCTATATTTACTATTTTTTCAAATAAAAATGTGCCCACGGCATTTTTCGTTGATGTATAAGTGGCTATGGACGACACTTAATTGATCACAGAGACTCTTTAAAGAATAATTTAAATAACCGTAGAAAGTTCAAGGCTAGGGTCAAGCGTTTGCTTCCATCAATCATGTAGAACTATTAAATAGTTTCCCTTAAGTACGAAAAATTGTGTATTGCAAAGAATGTAAATACCTACATTGAAATAACCTAATGTCTAACCACAACACATAACTTATTTTAGTTTAAATGTTATTATTCTTTTGCTCTAATAATTTCGCTTATTATGATAAAGCAATGTGTCAATATATACAGTGTGATTCTGAAGTAGTATAAAATATTAAAATCAAATACATATTAAAATCGAAGTAATTTTTTAAACGAGGATACTTGGAATATTAATACATAAATAAAAATGTCTTATATCTCCGCTATTTACAATGACCAGATTATATTATTAAATTTAAACAAAATTGAAATCTGGCATTAGTTTATTCTTCAACTTTCGATAAAAAAATCATGTAGCCAAATTTTTATTTTTGCATAAATATCATCATGCACACAACTTACCTGTAAAATATTTGGCGTATCAAGAATCAGCCAGCACGGCACGTGATTTAGACCAGACGCTTCGTAAATTATCAAACTTCTAGCGGTGCTGGTTATTATAAACATCAGAATATCGGGACAAAAAATCGCATCCGTTATCCAGCGATTTCGTCTGCGTCTTTCGTTTTCAGGACGCGTTAGATCTTCCCTGGTTATGATCGCATGATATGACGTTAGGAAATTGAAATTTCCATCGTAAAGGCCCACTCTTCCATGCTTCAAAATTACGGCGTAACAAAAATACTTGTCGGTTTCAATGAGAACTATTTTGGCAATGGATTCATTCTGCAATTTTTTTATGGAAAAGTACTTTTTTTTACTAACTACAAATATTGTATTCTTAATTTTTTTTACGTTGAATTTGTCTAAATTTTTTTTTAGAAACTGAGTTTTAAAATTCAAGATAACAATTAAGTCCCCCGGTGACCATTTCAGAAAGTTGAAAATAATTTCGAACATTTTGTCTTGGTCGATTTACTGAATAATTTTAACGGGTGACACAAGAAAGTGGGAACACTCTATAACTGTTAAACCGCTGGAGGTAGCGATTTGAAGTTTCGAAGGGTTAATATAGCCTGAGTGTCCAATTTTTTGACAATATGTAGTCAATGTTTGCACTTCTGGTTTGAGCGAAAACAACAGTAAATTTAGAATTTTAAATGGCGCAACCCATTTTTTTTTGCATTTTTGGATTCAGGATATCATTCTAAGTAGGATATGATGGTTTTTCTCTTTTTTTTTGTTTTTAAATTTATATTTAATTTTCGAAAATTGTGTCTAGGAGGCTGTGACCATCATACTATTTAGCGGGTCCCCTGATCATGAGACAAATTGTAAATGAAATTTTTCTTTACTTGTCTAATAGCAAATGTAATGAACTATTAATTGTTTAGGATAACCTAGTTTTTTCAAATAGCACCCTAGTCGGAACAAAAACTTTTGAAATCCCGTACGTTTTTTGCAATATTTTGACATTGTGAGTGTGGCGCTTCACTGTTTCAAAAATTTATTTCTACCTTTCCGTGAGCTACAGCCTCTATACAAGGCCTACCGAGCCTTAAATTTGCTTCCTTGGTCGGAAGCATATTTTGCAGTAAAAAATCCAAAAAATCGTTCCATGTGATTGTTTCTTTTGCGTTGTGACTGATGCTGTCAAACAGCATCAAACTTTGCAAGGAATATTCGGGTCCATCTACAAAAGAATACCCAATCAGGATAATATGCAGGGTCTTCGGAAATTGAGTTCGGAAACTTGGAGGAAAAGTTCAACGTGGTACGAAATCATAATATCTTTTGAGTTATAGCTTGTCAAAAGTCAATTTTTTCAATTTTATTTTTAACGCAGCAAATAAGCTGATATTTTACATAAAGCCCTAATTTAGTAAAAGACAACGTTACAAAATAAAAGCATTTCAGAAATCTGTCACTAGAGGGCACTTCACCTAGAACATTTTTTAAATTTTCCCTGTATTTTATTTATTTATACCGATATTGCAAAATAGAACAGATTGCTTTAAGTAGAATCGAAAGTTTACAATGCCATCACGACTGAATGCAGTCTCGTCAGTGAACAAAATAACAATTAAGAATTGCGCGTAATTTTGAATTTTTCCTAACATTTGATTGCATAAAATGACTCAATTGCTCATCATCCTCATATAGCGCTTGAACCGTTTGAACATGAAACAGCCGAAGATAATTTTCATGCAAAACTTCCCAAACTGTAGAGCAAGAATTCTTTGCCCAGCAGCAAGTTTTTTTGTTACTCGTTGAGGCTCTCTTGCAGTCGTTCTTTTATACCTTGGTCTCTCTTTTGTGTATGTTGATGAATGTCTTCGCAGGTGGAACGTTTCTATTGGCATAAACCTAGATATAAAGCCGCTGTGCTTGATCTGCATTTTCATTTCCTCTTCCGTAGCACAAATGCATATCGCGATATTCAGTATTTGAATATTCCAGATTTGACATCACAGTTGCAATTCGATAGTAAGCTCTTTCAATAGATACTAATTTTTAACGGATTGTGACAATGACTTTTTCAAATTTCATTAATTCCTGTAAGGTAAAATCACATTTACAGGTAAAATTCGAGCCGAGAATAAAAAGTCGATTTGTGACTTAACACTCATCGACTCAAAACGAGAGTAACAATTTTTGAGGATTTGTGATTCTGCTTAAGGCAATCGGTCCTATTTTGCAGTATCGGTATAAATAAATAAAATACAGGGAAAATAAAAAAAATGTTCTCGGTAAAGTGCCCTCTAGTGACAGATTTCTGAAACACTTTTATTTTGTAACGACGACTTTTACTCAATCAGGGCTGTGTGTAAAATAGCGTTAAAAACAAAATTTTAAAAAATGATTTTTGAGAAGTTATAACTCGGAAAATATTAAGATTTGGTTTTTTTTATATGACTTACTGTTTTTACATGATTTACGCTGTTAAGATTATTGCAAAGATGTAATTTTATCGCTTCTACTCTATAAACAAACAAAATAGTTTGCTGAATTTATTTACATCATTTTCCGAATATCCATATTTTTTATTTCGATACTTATTACGTGTTTGTTCTTCTTGTAACATTATAATTACAAAATAATTTGTGAAAGCCTGTTTGAATTTAACATTTTTTAAGTCATTTCAAAATACTATAAAAATAGGTTATTGAGACTTACCAAAAAATTTAATATCAAATAATTTCTTACCATACAGAGAACAAATTGCTTGCAGAAATTCTGTTTTGGTCAGTCCAACCTCTCCTTCGCATTCGTTATAATTACTCCTAAATATTCCCTCGAGTTTCTCCAAATTTGCACCAGACAAATTTTGTATAAGACTGTGCCAGACATTTTCGCCATCTTCTTCCACTGCGTCAAAACTGAAAGAAAAGTGTGGAAACGGCACTACACACGTTGGTGGTCACTTTTTCAATAAGATTGTATAAGATAACGTTTAAACCATTAGAGATAGGGGTACGGTTGATTGGGATACAAGTTGCATATTTCGATGATTAATGTCCTGAAGCTGTCACAATTAAATTAAATTATCTTTCTAGCACATTTATCGCAATACAACAGCACAAAAATTGTACAAAAGTCATAAGGTTTAAAATAAGTATCTCTACGGAATTCACTTTTTTACATAGTGTACCAATTTTGAATGTAATAAGTGAAGGAAGTGTCGCTATGCCATACAAACATAAAAAATTAAATATCATCATAAAGTGATATACCGCCACTCATACGAAAGCTTCTGGACGATTAAAATGCTGATAGAAAAAAGCAAACCGTTTTCTTGCAATATCCAACATAAACGAAAAGAAATGTTTTTTGAGAAACGCAGCCAATTGTACATTATGTAACAAGTGTGGTAAGGGGCGAGTTTTCGTCGTGGAAAACGAATTTGATTTTTTAAAAAACTTTATTCAAGCGAGATGACAAAAAAGCTAGCGACGTGGTTCGCACCGTGGTTTTATACAGACAAATTGCTGACGCTTTGAGAAACAAGTAATATAATATGTATGGGAACCTTTACTCAGCAGTTTACAGTATTAAAGCGTTTATAACTCCTCCGCCCTTAGATAAAAGCACGGGTACAACAAGTGCTTTTAAATAACAATATTTTCTTTTTGTTTATTAATTTTAGATTTAAATGGAAAATATTTATATAATAAATAAATCAAGATTAATATAAGTATTACGTATAACAAAATTGTCCAAACACTAGTTCTCGTAGAATAGATACGTGATGACATCTTTCCAAGGTTTTCTTTTGCTTCGTCCATTTGGATTTGCAGCTCCTTTATTTCCTTTAGGTTAATCGTGTCCAATGTGAGTTCTGGTGGATCGAAGATTATTTTCTGTTAATGTAGTAGTGAGAGATTCACTTCCGGTAGACGAGTGTCATCAAATCTCAATCGATTAGGGGTATAGGTTCTTAGTTCAGTTTTTCCAATTTGTACTTTGCAAATTGGGGAGGATTCAATAAGGTGGGATCCAAATAATGGAACAGTATTAATGTCGTCATTACATTGTACTGTTGCTATTATCTTCTTAGGTGTCACAATAATCCATTTTCCATTTTGGATTTTAAAAATTTTTATTTCTTGAAGTTGGATTTTAATTGGTTTACAGTTTGTTATATTAGTCTTGTGAGTTATTATTTCCACTGAACAAGGCGGGTGTTCCTTCATATAGGTAATATGTATATTTTTACACATGAACTCATTTTTTAGTAGCTTTACACATTCAGAGTCCATAAATGAGTACATATTTCCACTCAATGCAAGATATGGTTTGATCGGTATATTAACGTAATATTGCAGTTCTTGTTCACTATTCACTGGTAGCGGATACAACTGGTAATATTGATAAATTTCTGATTCTAGTAGCGGTAGTTCCAAAATAAATGTTATTATTAGTCCTCTAGAGCAGCTTTTTATTTCTATAATTTTTTCAAAATTTAATATATTTTCGATAGATAACTCGAACGGCAGTTGATTTTCTTTTAATTATTTTTTTATGTTTTTAATTTCTTCGAATAGATCAGACGGATCAATTATCGAATTATGTAAAGTGTTTAATTTGGCAAAACTAATTGCGGTTTCAATTTTCTCAAAAATATTATATATTAAATTATACATAAAGGTAATTTGATTCATTACTACATGTATTTGGAAATACTCATAGTCATTCGTTTGTTCAATGGTTATCTTTTTAATTACTTGATCAATTTGTAATATTTTAGATTTAAGGATAAGTTGATTATGAGAAATATTTGATATCGAATTTTTAAATGAGTTGATTGTTTTTTCTAACAATTTTATTTGATTAATTGAATTGGTTCTTAAATTATTTTGGTTTTCTTGCAGTTGTTTGATTTCTACATCGTATTTTTCCGCGTCAGATTGGTCTAAGTTTCCAGTAATACATTTAATAATAGAACCGATTGGGTTTAATAAGCCTCTTTTACTTCTTATAGATAATGGATTGAGTTGACTAATTTGATTTTCAATACGTTTTTCTAATGTTACAAGAGGGATGACTGAATTAGAATATTCGTGAAAATAATTAGTATTATTTTTAATCTGACTAATTAATATTTTTACTTGATTATAGATTACATAGAATTCAGCAACAGCTGGGTTTAAATCAAAAATTTGTATAAAGGAAAAATGGTTGGAGGTTATTTTTGCGGTACCTAGTTTATAAGGAAGGATTCCTGGATAGTTGTTCAGGTTGTGGATTTTTTGTCAATCTCTTTTGCTAGATAGTAATTTTTATTTGGTTGAATTTGATTTATACGGGTATTGCCTGATGAAGTATCCATAGGTTCCGGTTTGTCAAATTTTGGGGTAGGATTTTGGTTATATTGATTAAACATCGGTCTTGTAATTGAATGCATAGGTCTTTGCATAAATGGGTAAGGTCTTGGATTAAATTGATGTCTTTGGATCATCGGGTTAATTCTTTGAATATTCGGGAAGTTTTGTCTTTGATTATTTTGGAAATTTGGTCTTGGAATATTCTGAAAATAAGGTCTTGTTTGGAAATTATTTTGAAATCTCGGGGGGTTAAAATTATTAAAACTTGGTCGAATTGTTGGCGGTTGAAATGGGCTAGTGAAATTTTGTGGAGCTAATGGGTAATTAATTGGGTATTGACCTAATAGAGGTTTTGGCTTATTTTGCATTGCAACAGGTGTAGTTTTGGTTGAAATATCAACACGATTTTTATAAGCGATAAAATTTTCTTCTTCTAACGAGAACGACATGGCTTCTTCGAGAGATTTTGGATTTCTTAAACGTACAACTAACTGCATATGGTAATTAAGACCGTTTATAAATGTTTTTAAAATTAGATCTTCAAATTGGATAATTTTTAGAGTTTTTATATTGATATCTTCGCATGTAGAGTTAATTTTTGAAAATAAAATACTACGGGCATCTTGCAAGCGTAAACCAAAATTATGCGCACTTTCGCTACTATTGGGTTTCATTGAAATTATATCCTGTAAAAGACAATCAACTGATCTTTGATCGGAGAACGTTGCCAGAAGGGCTGTTTTAATTTTTAACCAACTATCGAGTTCAGAACGAGAAGCTATTAAATCAGCTGCTCTGCCAATTAATTTACTAATTATTGTATCGATTAAACAAACATTTATTGAAGCATTTGGGTTATTTACATTTTGATGATTAGTTAGAAAATTTTCGCAGATTCTAATAAAACGATTTATTTGTTTAGGATTGCCGTCGAAATGAGGGATGTTATCCGCTTGGTACCTAACTAATTGAAGATTCACCGTATCCGGCATTGTGTTTAAATTAATGTCAGAATCGGAATCGGAATCAGATGATGTATTAAAATTATCGACAGAAGCTACTCTAGGTTTTAACTCTAATGTTTCAAAACGAGAAATTAATCTTTCCAGTTTGAATCAGAAAAATATTTACAAAAGAAAAACTTACATTAATAGTGAGAGAACGACGATTTTCATTCCTGGTTGTTTCGTTTCTTAATCTAGTTTTCCAATAGGATGAGCGATGCTTGTCTCTTCCCTGGGCTACGTATGAAATTCGGACGATTTTTGTTCCTTATTTCGCACCAATAGGGTTGTGGACGATGCTTGTTCCTTCCCCTGGCCAATTGAGCACTTTGCACCCACTTGAACAGTTTTTTGTGATGTTCGGATTTCGCGAATAAACTCTTGAGAGAGACCAAACAGTGTCGATTTTGGAATGCTTGTTTCACGGAAATCCTACCGACTGCGCCAGTTTTCGTCGTGGAAAACGAATTTGATTTTTTAAAAAACTTTATTCAAGCGAGATGACAAAAAAGCTAGCGACGTGGTTCGCACCGTGGTTTTATACAGACAAATTGCTGACGCTTTGAGAAACAAGTAATATAATATGTATGGGAACCTTTACTCAGCAGTTTACAGTATTAAAGCGTTTATAACTGGCGTTTGAGTCACGACTTTGTTTGGCATGTGCGGAGCGCAGCGTTGCCAAGTTTACCAAACGTGTTGCATAATATACTTTTTCTGCGCCAGTTAGTTTTTGGGTACATTTTTGCAAAACAACACCAATACATTCACTAACATGACCGTCAAAATTGACATACGTCAAAATTCAAGCTGTGCGGTAAAATCTTCGAAAACATCTGATTGCTTCCAAACCCGTGTAGTATTATCCCGGAAATGTCGGACACGTGGGCCAAGAAACTTACGTGGTAAAGTGACGTTTCCCGCACGCTAAATACGTCTATAATTAGGTATTTTACAGAAGGGAGTAAATGTTTATTATTAGCTATGTTGCCAATTCTCAATTTTAATATATAACACAAAAGCAATCATAAAAATGAGCAAACAAGATTATTTACCTTATTTTTGTTATTTCTTTTGGAAAAGCAGCATTTCCGTACGCCATTATCGATCAAACTATGTAAGGTTAAATATATAAACCGACGGACAAGATCAAATAGGTGCAGATAATTTATGTTCAATTCAAAATTCGAAATTTAGAACTATCGGACTGTTAGTATTAAATTTTTAGAGAACAAAGACAAGTATTATGTACTGAAAAATATAAAAGATATTTTCTATAACAACGAATAATATCATTATCATCCTTACATTGTAAAATAAATCAATAAATTATTTTAATTATATAAGTTATATTAAAACTTGATTATCCTCCAACCAAAATAAACAAACATTATTTTTCCAATTGCTTTTTGTATCGGGATTCAAAAATATATTTGAAATTGTTGATTAAAATTTATTTGAAATTCGAACGCTTTACAAATAATATAAAATGTTAAAACTTTGACGCCACGTATATACCAGTTGCGTAGCTGATTAATATCAGAAAAACTAAAAATGCGACTCGATCGATGACGACTCCAAGCAGAATCCACATACACTGGTTTTTATCCTCGTCCTTTGAAACCTGGTTTAACTCGCCGTATTCATCTGGCATCTAAAATTTTACGTTCGTATCAATGAGAACAATACAAACGCTATACTGTGTATTTCTACTTGCATACTATATGTGCAGCATGATCAGATCTGACCAATCACTTACCACTATGTTTGGCAAAAATAACACCCCCTTGATTACTTTAGATGTGAGAATATTACAAAACACGTGGGAAAGAATGGCTCGATGTTTGTTTCGTGATAAATTAATTACTACCACGGCAATAATTAAGGACATTAAGCCCCCAATGAAGCTATAGCAGTATAGCGATACTGAAAAAAAAAAGAAACAGCATCACTGTCGTGTAGAAAAATCGGTTTAAGCTAGCATTAATGACGTAAAAAACAAAAGAATATTAAGCCTAATAATACTAATAAGCACCAAAAAATAATAAAAGGGAAATAGTTGAATTTGTAATTACTTCTATAAAAAAAATACGGATGCTGTTTAGAAAGGTAACTCCCCTTGCTCATATATCAGCTATTAGATTACTGCTGTAACTAAATTATACTAGTAAAAAACACTACGCTAAAATGAGTCGATATTTCGTTTTATTTATTCATTTTTTCTATTGGTATATTGCTGCTGGTCAGCTTTTTTTCCTTTAAACTGAAAACTGTACGGTGAATGATGCATCTCTATGTCAAATTAATTGGCACACACAAAATGTAGTTTAACCTACCTTTCAAGTTCATTTAAACGTGACTTACAATGCAGCTACAGTGCCATAATTACTTACGCAAGTACGGAACATCTTTCGAACTATTCGGGACAAATATTGCCATAGCTATTAACATTATGGTCCCCATTAACATAGCAGCGCATCCTAATGAGATTTTCATATGCCCAAAGGGACTAAGCCAGAATGATAACAGCAGGGATGTTGCAATAACTAAAAAGAGTTATTTTAGAACCAACTAAGTGGGTCCAAGGGTCGATTTCACCTAAGAACGGAGTAAAGAATACCGTGTTGTATATGGTCGAAGATCTCTTCACAGTAAACGAAAGAACAAATGCTGGTGGATCGAGTGTCTCGGTTGAAAAATTAAGCATTAAAGCGGCTTCCAAAACCAACCATTCAGATGACTGGTGATGCGTCTGAAGTAGTTATTAAAACTTTAGAGTTTGTATATAGAGGAATCCAATAGATCAGCAGAACCACGTCTACAGTGTGGTTACTTAAGTGTTCAACATGTTGCAAATTGTTGTAATAATTACCCACCAAAAGACAAATTACAATTTGTGATTAAAAGTTTCAAATATCAAAATATAGCCTGCCAAGCAATTTTTTTCTTAAAAAACATAATTCGTTTCTATTTTTTGTTTTGTGTGTTTAACCCCTGCAGCGATACCAAAAACAGTTATAATATTTCGAAATATTTAGGGTAAAACTTGAGTAATAATTAATTCTAATTAATTCTAAATTAATTAAATTAATTAAATTAATTAAACCTTCGTCTAACTAATTTGGTTCGCCTTGTATATGCGTGATTGTTATATGCTTTCATTAACAAAGTTATATAAGAATTGATAATAAATATTCGGTAGTCAAAGTTCAAATTTAATTTTAAAACAAAAGTGCGTGTTTTGCAGAATTGTCTTCCATTTTGATTGGTTTTGTTACATCAAAACGAATAAAATCTGAGCGAACGTTTGGTTGGTTATTCAAAGTTCTTACCATTGAACTATTGTAATAGTCAAATTCTAGTTTAATAAACTCGGGTTCCCTTGGAATTAAGAAATATACTTGACAGATATGGCTATCTCTAGGCCATTCTTTTAAATTTTGATTCTCGCACCACGCGGTGATCCTAATAATAGCACTCCACTCGACTAGTCCCGTGTTATGTGCCACCATCATGCTGTCTTCTAAAATATCTTTAGAATGATCGACGGCACTAAAATTTTCAAAAATCAAACACTCATTGTTCAAATAACAAGTTAGTCGTTACCACTAACAAAAGAAGTATTATAATAGTTATACAAATACCTCCGGCAATTTTTTTAAAAATAATTTCAAAATCTAATTATGGAATACTTTTAGGAGTGGCAAATTTCAACTCACTTGAGGCAAATCAAATGCGGTTGCCAAATCTCCTTTCTGAAGATATGGATATTGCGAATATGGTCGTAATTTTCTGCATTCCATTTCAATTTTTCATCATGCCAAATCTTAAAAACAAACTCAGTTTAATTGCCATATGAACGTAAAGTATAACTGTAGACAATTCATATTCTGACAAACAATTTGTAGTAGTGTACATTTAACATAAGACAAACTTGTTTCCAAGAACATGTACTTACTAGTTTGGTCTCTCCCGCAAAGTCAATAGTGGATTCATACTCATTCTAGAATAAAATCACTGTAGTTTTTGAATAGGTCAACAATTTTTATCGCATAAATTGGTCAATATATTTCTTTTACGCACCAAATTTAAATAAGTTAATACTATGCTCATCGATATCGTGGTTACGGTGGACATATCCATGACTGGCCTTACTACCGGGTCGTACTCTGTAAGTAAATCCCTGCGTAATTTTTCCAGTGTCGTCATCTTCTTTTCCAGTTCCTACAAACAAAATACATTAAATTATACTCAAATTTTGCAAGATTATCATTTGCCTCCCAGTTTCCAGATCTGTCGCAGTTGTAGAACCATTTAGCTTCAATTCCTGACCAAGTACTGAAACTAAACACTTTTAGTGACAGGGGGTCCGGATCAGACCACGAAATAAAGGATGTGCTGTTCCCTTCAACGCCCACTTCAATCAAGCCATCTGCAATATTTTAACGATTAAAATTATTTTAACTGGCAATTTTCTCAGATACTGTATAAGTATGCTTTGTACTTTTTGAACATTTCGAAAATTATGCGCTCGATTTTAAAAAGTATTCGAATTTTAAACTAACTAATTTAAAAACTAACTTAAAAAATATATACTTTTATAATTAATTTTAACACGACATATAGATTAATAAATATTTCTTGTTTAATTTTAAAACGAAGCTCTGTGAAAATCGATGATATGTTTTCAATAGTTCAGTTTAACAAAACCCCTAAAACGTTTCTGTTACCTGCCAACTACCTATCCTAACTATCTAAAAAAATTTAGTTCAAGATAGTAAGTAAATTGACAACAATATTTAAAATAAATAATATAAACAATTTAGCCACCCAACCCCTGTATCACAGAAACCAACACAAATTGGACAACATGACAATGTTGAAGGCACCCTGTATTGAAAAATAATTGATTGTTGAAGTTATGGACACGGATTGAGGTTTATGATAATGAAAAATAGACAATGTAGAATGCAGAATTTTCAGAATCAAGACTTACATGTTTAACTGCATCTGTTTTGAAAAAGTAAGGGTGATCACAAAGGAATTTTTAACAATTTGTCATCTCACTTAATTAGTAACAATTTAGGTACAGCGAATGCAGTGTTAAACGAATAAGTCTAATTATCGTAATACGTGGTTCCTTGCAGTTCCTGCGAAGAAATTTGGGGTAGATATTGCACATTACCTTTGCTGATATGCAACCAGAAGAAATGCGGATCCAATCCCGACAACAACCCCTTTATCCTCACTGACGCTTTCACTTCGGATTTCTGCATCCTCCGAATATCACAAAAGGTATTTCCTCCTGCACCAATCACGATTTCGTATACAGGGGCGTCTTTTTCGATATCTGCTGAAGACGCTAAGAGAATGTGAGCGTCGCTCGATGCCATTACCCCAAAATGAAAATCCAGGATATAACTCGTGTTATGATTGACCGGTAGATTGTAGAAATCTTTGTAGACGCTCCCGGATTTCGCATAATGGACATCACACCTATCCAGGTCTTTAGAATCGGATAAAGATTAATAAGATTAAACCAAATATATTTATTGGCGGGAAATGATAAAAATCTCTAATGCAAGACTAACATAATTCATGTTGTGGTGGTCTTGTATTTTTCAATAGGCAAATAAGGCTGCCAAAAAACAGCACCATATGCATCAAAACGTACCCTAATTATATTTTTATATTTATTGACCATGCCCATTTGCTTTGCCTCATGGCCGCTGACGAAGTGTCAGTAAATTTGGATGCGGCATTTTTACAGCAGTATTCCCTCAAAATGTGACCAGATTCCATTAAATCTTCAGAAAAAAAGTTAAGTGTGTGTATTTTAGTTTGAAAGTCACTTATATAATATATAATAAATATTTCAAACCAGAATGTGTGAGGGAGCTACACGGCCACTCGGTCTCAGCCATAATAAATAAAAATGTTTAATATAATAATAACTGAACTTCTACCTGTTGTATTCGATTTGTAAAAGACGGCGTTTGCGGAGTATAAACTACAAGCCACCAACAAGATAAAGCGCATTGTTGTTTTGCTGTTGTCTGAAGATAACTAAAACGTTTTGTTGTGAAATCTCATATATCGGTACTTCCTGTGAGAGTTTCCGCTTACCAGCTCAACGAATTAATCGAAGAGTTAGAGTATATTTTGCATTGAGGTTCAAAATATCTTGTTTTCTTGAATGTTCTCTATATTCACGCAGAGAAAAAAATTAGAAAAAATGTTTTATTTCTCAAAATTATGTTTTTCAATGCCTTGAATTTGGATCAACCTCGTATTTAATTACAAATAACTATTAATTACTAATTCTAAAAATACATTTTTTTTCCTGTGTGACTCCTTAAATATACGTGATGTTCATTAGGTTTGCATATTACAGAACTTCAATATCAATAATATTGTAAACTCATAGATATTCCTATCAATCATATAGCTCTAACGCCATTTTCTTTCTAAATAGCGATTTCTACATACTTAACTCGTTTTTCTATAATATTTAACGAGATCTAGGCATATTTTGAAGCATTATACTGTCGAAATTTTAAGTCTCGTACATGCGCACGTCGAAGCATGGACAGGACTCCTAAATTTCTAATAGTTATATGGTATCAAGATATAACTATAATAGCATTGAAACGGCAGGTATCAATAATACAGTAAATAAATAATACAATAATACAACTACGACTGACACGGCACTTTGTTTCCGCTAGTTACACAGACAGAAAACGCTTTCTTTTTTGTTTAAGAACACATAAAACATTATTCTTTGTCTGGAACTAGCAAAGATTGGTTTTATTCTATGCTATTGATTTGGCGGGAAATTGTTCTGTGTGCGTGTGTGCCTGTGTGTGGGTGAGTGTAGTATGAATTATATTTGATGTATCTCCACAAAAGACTAGTCGCAACACTTTCGAGGTGTACCGCATCGAAATTTCTGACCGACGATTAATTAATTGAAAAGATAATTCAACGTATTTACTAACAAACATTTCGTTAGTTTGTGCATTATGTAGGTTATGTTTTGACAGCTGTTCGGATGTCCAGTCTGAGTATTGGGTGATAAGAAATCAAGAAAAAACAAACCCGCCCAACTTGTATACACAAAAAACAATTCAAACCGAAAACCGAACTTGAAATATTTGATCGTTGGCGCCAAATTTACTGAATTATTTTTGGAATCCACAGATTTCTTGATGCAGGTTCCCGCGTTTTGTAGGCGTTGTCCTAGGTATTGTTTAAAAGGCACAATTTTTTTGGGTTGACCGTGGTTGACCTGTTTTAAGAGAAAAATAGAGAAATGGTTCTCGCCGGGGAAAGAGATGATGAATTATTTAAAACACATCAAGATTTATGCAGTAAACTTAATTTGGATGAAAATATAATAACTACATCTTGGGAGACTTTTGAGAGTATTAACAAAAAGTTTGTTCTAGAGGTAAGTATTTAATTTTTGTTCTTTTGTTTCTCTTTCATGCATAACATTTTCAAAACCTATTTTAGGGTGAAAAACTTCAGTGGTTGGGCTGTTCAATTTATGTAGCGTGTTGTAGCACCGAGACGCCTACTTTAGATACTTCTGAAATTGTAAGAGGCAGTGGAGTGAACTTAACAAGCTTGTTGAGGCATAGCAATTTAAGGTAATAACATTTTTAATTAATTATTAATAATTAATAATTATTTTATAATTATTTTATTGAGTAGTCAGTTTCTGAGCATCTTTGGTTAGTTTAGAATTAGTTTTAATCTTTTGATTAAATAAAAAAATAGAATACTATACAGTTTGTTTTGTTAACATTGCTCAACATATAAAGTTTTATTGCAGCTTTGTGCAGTTTTTCTCCAATATTTCCAAGTGGCTAGATATGGTGCAGCTTTCAGATGACTTCCGTAATAAAGTCAACAATATAAGAAGCACTTTTAGTGTCGCATATAACACTTTTAAGAAATATTTGCCATCATTTGTCGAAATATTTGTTTCTCCCATTATGAATTCTCAAGATATAGATGCATCCAAACATAGAAACAGGAAAATGAGGTAAGAATTTACATCCTTAGAATCTTAGCGGTTCATAGCCTTCTACTTTTCAATTGAATAACACCCAATATGACCATTAAGCCTATGATTAGGTAACTAATAAATTTTTTTAGGCCAATACCTTACACTTCATTCAAAATTTTTGAATTTATTTGGAACATGTTTATTCTGCTGAAGTCTGAAGAAAATTATTTGGGAACAGAACTTATAAAGTGCCACCATTTATTATACTGTTGCATAGATCTTGCCCTGAGGAATGTTCTTATGTCCAACCGACGAGATTTGGTTAATCCCAACTTTGTTCAGGAATTTGCTATTGCAAATATTGAAAATGGGGATCAGGAATGGCCATGCATTGTCACCAAATTCTGCAATTGCGATTCTGTCATTAAAGAAGCCTTGCATATGAAAATTTACACATTTCGTGATTTGGTTCACAAATTAATTAGAAATGGGACATTAGTCGGCAATGAAGAGAGTTTTAATGATATTTTAAGCGTTGAAAACTTTGATAGCAATTTTAGATCTGTTACTAAAGCTTATGAAGCTCATTTACTAAGCAAGGGTGATTTTGATGAGAGAATATTTTTGGGTAATCTATTTTGCTATTTTTCAACTCTTTTGTTATGCTTGTTATTTCTAGCTGAATACAAACGACAGTTAATAGAAAAAGAGCAGCTATCAAATAACTGGACAACTATTAAAACATTTCCTCCTGGAGACTGTGGTAAGAATATGTTAATCTGATTTTTAGGTGTTCATAAACATTATTTGCTGCAGGTGATACATCAGTAATGGAGTCACCAAGAAACAGTGTTGGAATGGTAAGCATAGCTCTCTGTTTCTAGTTATTTATAGATTTGATAGAAGCAGTGGCAGTCAGACCACAAGTCCACCTTGCACACCCAAATCTCTATTCACAACAATAAAAGCAAAAATTTTATTTTTATATTCTACTTCAGGTTCATTCATTTGCTGTTCGAATTTGTTTTAATGATGTCAAATGATATCAAAAAGTAATATATTGCAAAAAGCTTCTAAAAATGTTGCGTTTTACAAGGTAAAGATAAAAAATTAAATAAAAAATAAATAGTTAAACCATAAAACCAAGTGCTGCAGATATGAATTTGCGTTTTTAAGGGTAAGTTCACATTGAATTGATACCAGTAATTTTAATTAAGAATTATAATAAAGAAATTAGCAGAAAATCCCATTTTTTTGATGCCCTTTGAAGATTATTATACAGTATAGTCAAATTGTGATTGGTTTCTGAGACACAGCGTCATTAGTGCAGTAGTTCAACTCAAGTGCCCTCTGCAGATAGAAATCAATTTACAGGTCACTCCAAATCAGTTACTTGATACTCCACTTACGGGCCGAAAGTTTTTGGGCCCTCGAGAAGCAGATCAACCTATCTTAGGAGACAAATCACTATCTGAAAAAATGAGTAGACTTCATGCTCTCATTGTTAATCGATGTGCTAAGCCCAGCGAATCCCTACAGCATCTATTTAGGTAAAAAAAATATTATTACAAATGATAGACTACTAAAATACATTACAAAAAATACATACATGTCTTTACACAGTCAGTGTCAAAGTGATCCAAGTGAACGAATCGAACGAATTCTCTTGACCAACAATGAAAAATTGATTGAGGCGTTTTTGAACTGCGGCTGTTCCAAAGAAGATGCGCAAAATTACTTGGATATTGGCGTAACTCTTTTTTATAAATACGTCGAGTCTGTCCTGCATACTGAAAAAAATATTTCGGCGGAAATTTCGGTAATTCTTTAAGGATCCGAATAATTTCATTTTTTACAATTTTGAAAATGATTTTAGGCTTTGGTGGAAAAAGATCTGTTCTTTCAGTGCATGTTTGTCTGTTGTATGGAGATGGTATTTTTTAGTTACAATTTTTCAAAAAAATTTCCCTGGATACTGGAAACACTTGAAGTCAAACCGATTCACTTTGTAAAAGTCATAGAGCTAATTGTTCGTTCCAAAGATCATTTATTTCGAGAATTAATAAAACATTTAAATAGGGTAAGTATCATTTGACATTAATTGCGGGAAACTTTTAACAGCGATTTCTTGAACACGTAATGTATTTTTTAGATTGAGGAAACAGTCATGGAAAGTTTAGCGTGGAGGTCCGATAGTCCCATTTGGGATGCGATTGCAAATTCTGACCAGGGTATTCCTAGATTTGAAGATATTGCACTTCCTGGTCACCTTCTACACAATGACGTTGATGATACTGAACCAACAGGTAAAATAAAATTCTTCTATTCTTCTAATTGTTTCCAATTATTCGACGTAACTGTTTGTCCATTAACGAAGGAAGATAAATTAACAAAATAAGCTTGGTTGTCTACAGAAAATAATTGGTAAGACCTATTAGAGGCTATTTTTATTGTTTTATGTTTGTATTGATACTAAGGTTGAAATTAAAGATAATTAGAATGAATGTTACAAAAATATCTTTTTGCGTTGTACCAGAGTATCCAAGTGCAACTTCCCTTGGACATTTTTTATTTTTCTAATCGACGATTGAAAATACTTCCATCATTCAGTGAGAAATTCTCTTATGCATGTTTTCGATTTATCATAATACATACATCTTTTACTTGCAAAAGAAAATAATGTAATAATAACCGGAAAGTAATGTTGCGAATATTTGTTCATCACTTATTTTATAACGGTACACTTTAGAACGTCGTCAGGATACATTTAAAAGTAAGAGAGAAAGATTGACCTGCCATCATTAAAAAAAAAAATACTTTAAACAATTTTCATAGAAATAGCAAGTGACATACCTGACGAGTTGCATATTCGCCATTGTATGCTGTTTCAATTCAGGGTGGGCAATAATAACAACTGCTACAAAAAACATTTGTGATATTTACCCAAGTACGATAAATGTTCGCAAATGCCAAAGGTAGTTTGCAAGCACTTAACCACAACCTTGGTCATTCAAGGGCATTTGGTACAGATAGGTAAGCGAAGCAGAGCAGTTGATTGGGTTCCGCATGACTTATCCAAGATAAACAAAGCTAATCGGACTACCACATGCAGTTTTTTGCTAGAAAGGCACAAAAAGGAAGAGTTTTTGGATCGTTTGATTATAGGGGATAAGAGAGGTCTTACATGACAATCTTAAACGCAAAAGACAATGGCTGTCCCCAAATGAAACACCAAAACTGGGCCTTAATGCAAGGAAGGCGCTCTTGTGTGTTTGGTGGAGTATTCACGGAATTGTACACTTTGACCTTTATTGTCAACAGTTGGATCGTGTCAACAAGTCTGACCAATACAATGTCCAGCTTTGGTAAACAGAAAAATGCATTATTCTGCACCATGACAATGCCACACCACAGCGCATATAAGACCGTTGAAAAAAATTAACGATCTGGGTTTAGAGCTACAGCCTCATCCGCCATACTCACCTGACATTGCGCCATCTGATTATCATTTGTTTAGGTCACTGTAAAGCTTCCTAGCCGGAAAAAAAATTTAACAATGTGGATGATATCATTCAACCAAATATTTTTTAAAATCGGCGGGTGAAAATTTATTAAAAAGATGGCAAAAGGTCATTGACAATGATGGCAATTATGTTATTGATTAAAAATAAAATAAACACAAACGTGTAGTTTAATTTAATGATAAAAAAGCGAAGTTCCTTTCCGGTCCCCCTATATTTTGATATATCAACTAAATATAAAGGTTTTTAATTTGATGAGTTTTATTATACTTAAAAGAGATGAGTTGTTTTATGTTTTATTATCTGGTAAATTTCAGCCATAAGATCGCCAGGTCTATCTGCTGTGGATTGTTTTCAGTCTCCTATTTCCCAGGTCAGTAGGAATTTGTTTCCGACGACAGCGCAAACGGGACAATCTGTATTGCAAAAGCACACGCATTTAAGTATGTTTTAGTACACGAGAGCAAATTCGAATTGTAAAAATTAACCGGTTTGGTGATGATTATTTCAGTGATCCCAGGAAAGGATGGTAACATGAAGATAATACCTATTGTTGATCCCGAGAGAACAAAAGATGTTGTCGTCCAGCCTCTAAAAACTGAATCTGCAACGGAGTCGGTAACACCTAGAAAAACTGGCAGTCTAATGCTTATTTTTAGAAAGGTAACTTTTTTCAGTTTAAAAAATCCACACAACCTATTTAAATTAAAAACAGTAAAAATAAAATAAATTTAAAATTAAATTTGATTATTGCTTTTTTAAGTTCTACAATTTGGCGGGTGTGCGTCTGCAGCATCTTTGTTTAAATCTGGGATTCACTGATTTTGAACTGAAGCGAAAAATTTGGACAATTTTTGAGGACTCAATTCGACATACCGACCTTATCAAAGATAGACACTTGGATCAGTTACTCATGTGTGCAATATATGTAATCTGCAAAGCCTGCAATATCAACAATTATGAAAATCTCTTTGCGATTATAATGAAGTTTTACAGACAGCAGCCCCAAGCGTCCAGTTCTGTCTACAGGGATGTTTTGATTGAAAGAGGAAAAATAGAGGGTGAAGATTTTTCTACAGTTATTTTTAGAGATTAGTTATGTGAATCTGAAACCTTTTTTTTAGATGGTAAGGCGATTCCTGAAAAGAGAAATGATCTTATTCAGTTTTACAACTCAGTCTATGTCAAGGCGATGCAGGCTTATGCTATTAGGTTCCAGCCAAACAGTAACTCAAATGTAAGTAGGATTATTTTTTGCGTTTTTACATTTTTTCTTTAGTTTGTGAAATAATAAAAATTAAAAATGATCTAAAAGATTAAATAATTTGAACATTCCAATTCATATGAATAAAAACTTGTGTTCACTATTTTTAGAGCAACGTTCTTTTAAGTCCTTTGCCTGCAATTAGAAGAAATATGGTCTCTCCAAATATTAACACGCAAGTCGTTGGAAATGTATTTGTGAAACCATTAGAAAGCTCGGTAATCCAAGTCGGTTCCAGTTATAATTATTTTTTCAGCCGAAGCCCATCTAAAGTGAGTATAATCTCCATTTCACAAGTCAGTGTTATTTTGTTAATGTGCTTAAGAATAATCTTTTCAGGAACTGAAAAATATCAATAGAGCAATTAACAATAACGTAATTCGGGGCAAGAGGCTACTTGGTGAAGATGTATTAGAAATGCCAAGCAATAAACGAATATCAAATAGGAAAATTCAATCGCTAGTAGAAGAAAGAAGAAGTCAAAATTTGGAGTGAGGGGATAATTTTAGATTGAGAATTATTTGTAAATATTTTTAATAATTAGTGTTCATTGAGTTTCGATGATTTTAAGTGAGATTAGTTTTGATTTTTTGTATTTTAATTTTTCAATATTTAATGAATGTGGAAGGAGTATTATAAATAAGAAAAGTTTCATTGTTTTAGAACATAAATATAATTAGTACATATCCATCATCCCTTTATAATAAAAACAGCAGGATTCTGTTTAGAATATACATTTATCTGAATTTAATATTTGCCACCAAATTAGTAACAATTATAAAGGGTTTCTGATGAAAATGTATTAACAGAATATTTAGTCCAACAGTCGGTATATCAAACATTAAATTATAGAAAAAACCACATTGTAGGAAGAATTGTGTGATTACATTTTTGTTCTATTCTCTGATAAAATTCAAATTTGAATTTATTCAAAACTAATTTTTTGTTACATATGTGTTTTATTAATTCCACTTTGCGCAATTGTGTTATTCAATTTAAGTTTCAGTTAGTCAATGCAATTTTTTAGAGATTTTAATAAACCCTCTACTAATAGTGCCAGTTTTTTATTTTTATGTCTTTATGGATTTACAGCATATCCATAAGTCGCAAGGGTTTCTAATGTTGCTGCCCCAAAAAATTGGGTACTATAAAGAACTACAAAAGGAAAAAGGATGTTTTAAAAAGGTGCAATGACATCTTTTCATCATTTCATTTTATTTTCAAAATCTTCAATTATTGTAGGGTGGTAGGGTCATAATAGGAAGAAGTTGGGTTACCATAAGCTGGTTGTTAATCTTTACTCTGACTTTATTCACAGAATTTTTACAGTCCTTCCTAGAAATCTTGATCCTAGAAGAATAACCCATATGTAAAAATCCAATGGATGTACTTGATTATCATGCGAATATTTCATTGTTAGCAAAAAAATATTTAGATTAATACAGAGGACTTATTTTATCTTTAAATATTTTTTTTTTATATAATTTAGGGAATGATTCTTATTGTTTCATCAATAGTGAGAGATCAAAAGAAAGCGAAAGCCGGCCGTTTCACATGTTCTAAAACCCAGAAGTGTAGTTTTAATAATATGAAATTGTGTGTCGATTCGTGGCGAAACGGGTTATCATATGTGAGAATGTTAAATATAAACTTTCACAAATATGCGTAAGTGTATGTCAGTCGTTAAGCTATAAAGCAAAATTTTCAAAGGGATCGTGGTTTATCTGAAATTAAGGCTAGCATTAAATTCAAAAAAACCTTTAGCATTTAGAAAGTGCCCTTTTTATTCAATTTGCAAATGAAAGATACCTACGCACTATTAGATCGTCTAAAACCGGTCTTATACAACTGGCGTTAAATTGGCGCGTTCACCGCCCGCTTTACTTAGCAGACAAGGGGTGGATTTGTTCTTGTTTGTCGATCAGAATGGGCATGCGCGTTTCCGATATCGGCGCGCCCCAAGCGGCAGATCGGTAGGCACCTGTTACTCACTTGCCCGCTGGTAGAATAGTTAGGCAGACGCTGCAATCTCTTATTATTCGAAAAGCCGGCCGGTTAGTTATCCGATTCGTCCGCATATTCATCCACGCGAGTGCATATTCATTGCCAAAATGTCCGAACAAGAGAATACCGCCTCGGCAGCAACGAACGAGGAACAAAAGAACGGCGAAACAGCGTCCGCCGAAAACAAAGAAGTAACCGAAAATGGCACTAACGATTCCGCCGAACCTGTTGCAGAAACGGAAAACGAAATGCCGAAAAAAGAAATGAGGGCAGTCGTTTTGACCGGCTTCGGAGGCCTGAAGTCGGTTAAAATAATGAAAAAACCAGAACCAACCGCAAACGAAGGAGAAGTTGTAATTAGAGTCAAAGCTTGGTAAGTGCCTAGATACCAAAATAAGTTATTTTTTGCAGGCATTTTGCATAGCGTCTAAAAAAAAGAGGGAACTTCTTTAATAAAAACAGGAAGTTTTGTTGTTTATTCTCCAATTTTTTGTCGTCGTCATAAATTAACAGATTGAAGCCATAGGGGTCGATCAATATTATACGGCTTTTATCAGAATTTCCGCCTTCGTATAGGGCACTGCAGGGTGGGTTTTTAAAAATATTTAAATTGCATCTGATTTCTTCGTTTACTGTGATAAACTCGATCCAATTTTTTGTAAGGATGGTTATGATACTACCGAAAACATTTGGATTTCTTTTAACAGGAAGAAACTATTAATTAACCAAAAATTTCTATACATATAAATATATATATAAAACACCCTCTCGCATTCAAATCATGTCTAGACTCCAGTTGTCCAATTCATGACGTGAAGTTGGTTTCGTTTCATTGAAAAAAGTTGGCAGATGGAATGATCTGAATAAAAACAGCTTTTTTTAACATTTGTCGTATCAATGCATTGGATTTTGGTGATTTCAATTAATATTGTAATAACAAAATAATTTTACTTCACCTGAATTACTCAATAAAATGGAGCGGGCTGATACTAGATACATTTTAGATTGTATGAGCACAAGTAAATATAGTAATCACAATCAAATTATTACGTTTATCACCATTGGACGCGGATGAGTCATGTATGTAATCACGACTCGTCCAATTTCTACGTTTTGCGGTATTATCTACGATAGCTAATATTTGACAATCGATTGCCAAGGAACATAAACTATAATTAGATGAACTATTAGAAATTTAAAAAAAAAAAAGTTAAGAACAATTTCTCTTTCTTTTACGCGAACAAAGGGAAATATTGGAACGAAAAATGTATATATAAACTGTATGTTTATCGCAAGAGTTTGATTTAATTAATTTATTATCACAACGAAAAGTGATTCTGCGAACATCGTTTGTATGGGGATATTAATAACCTCGTATATTTAATCAGTCGCAACGGACAATGCCTAGTAAATTAATGAACATGTTTGTGTTGGGATTATCTTCCGATTCATCGCTGCGTGAAATGAAAACATTGCTCGCAAAAGTGCTAAATGCAAAACTGGGGCTTTTTAAAACAAAATAAATAATTCATGAACTCTTGCTGCGCAATTTTTGTATCACTTCGGTATTGTTCCTAGATAACGCGCTGGTATTGGTTCTGGCTCTTTTATGAGAAGACTGGAAAAATCCAGGATCTAAATTTCCCAACTTAATTTTTATATTAGTAGTCATTTTTGTTCTTTCGATTTTTATGAAACATCCTCTTTTGTCTATTAGCTTACCTAATTGTTTTATTTGTATAATCATTTTTGGTTTGGTTTTACGTAGCACTTTTCAAATGCATAGGAGTGCGATATGGTAATTTTATGGTGTTGTGTAGAGTGTCAACAAATTGAAATCTTTTTTATTTTACCCTTTTATTATTATTTTATACCTTAGTTAACTCCCAGGGCCACACTTTGAATTGGTGTTATTGAACAATTTTTATCACATCATATTTGTTGTTTCTGTTACAGGATACCGCAATGGTGTAGCAAAGTATATATTTTGATTCAGTTTTTCCTGTTGTATGAAATCAAATGGTATGGGTAAAAATATTCTCACTTATATAGGGTGTGTGAATACAAAATTTAATTTGTTGAAAATGGATATTACGATTTCACCAAGAAATATGTATGACACTGTGATTGTTTTTCAATTTTAATGTTTTTTTATGATCTATATCTTTCAACCTGTTGCCTTTATAATATTAAAAATAGTACAGTTAAATGCATTACTAAGAATAAGAATTTTTTAATGAAGTGCCGGTACCGGTATTTTTTTATATCTTGCCAAGTTGTAATCTAAACTAACTTTCTCTGATTTTTTAAATGGAACGCCTTCGTTTAATGCAGTATTTTGCCCAAAACATAGTTTTTCTTTTGTATGTCTAATTTGAAATATTTTTGAACTATATCTATCTGTATTTATACCAGATAAAAAAAAGCGCTACAAGCATTTTTATATGGAAAAACCTATTTTGTGGCAGATACTTTTCTTCTTGTGTTATTTCAAAGGCCTTGAAAAACCTGAATCCTTGGATAATTAGGATACTACCTTTAAAATATATTATCTTTTTGTGAAGCCGTCAGTTATAAGCATTTCTTTCCAAATTCATAGTTTGTTGTCGTCAAAGTATTTATTTTCTAATATCATATCTATAAAATAAAAAATGCAAAGGATCCAGTTCACAAGTTTGGGATAATGCAATAAAAAGACCCAGAAGCTGGTAAGTCAATCCCCCTTTAAAAAGGCGTAGCGGCAATAAATGAGATCATAAAGTGTCTGATAAGAGTGAATATAATGTTATTTGAAGAAACGGCAAGTGGTCCCGTCTCGTCTGGCTGAGTTATGCGTGGCTTCCGGTGGTGTCAACGTTATTGGGCTTGACACAGATTAAATTAGTTGAGACGTCTTACGAAGACAAGCCATATTCTCTAGCCGGACTAATTACATAAATTCTTGACGTGTGTCGTCACACTAATGCAAGGAAATATTTTCCCTTGTAGGTTGGTTATTGTTTGGATTTTAAGCTTATAATTATTGTTCTTTATCTCTATTTACCTCTCATCGATACATCCGCAAATACCATTTAAGCCTGCCGTTAAATACCTGGGCACGTTCGGAGGCTATTATTCGGTGACATTAAAAATTTTGATAATCTGCTCAAGACTTTGGGCGGATATAAGACTGGAGCGTACTTTTTGTAAGTGTTTATTTTTACACTAAATATCTGATGGAGTCCACGCTGTAGAAATGTCGGAGAATTTAAATGTTAGGGAACGGTCTTCAATTATCCAAAAGTTCGGCACCCGCAATTTCCCTTAAGCCGTCATTTTTATTACTTAGGACAGTATTTTCTGCTAATTAACTGTTAATTGCTTTGGTTTTATGTTGCACTTTTACTTTAAAAAAATGCATTAAACGCAAAAAAAGGGAAACACTCCGCGTTAAGTCTAGCCCACCCAAGTGTGTTCAATATTTTCGATTTTTTTTTTTGCTTTTTTCTTGTATCAAAGTGTCTTTGAAAGTAATGTTGTATCAAAGTGTCTTTGAAAGTAATGTTTTTTTTTTCAAATTAACAGGCTTTTGATTTTTGGTTTGGTTGTCCTAATTAAATTTACACATTCCGTATAAAAATTTTGTTTATGTGATATAAGAATTATTCTTGCGCATGTTTTTCGGACCTCTGGATCACTTCTCTGGGATCAATACCGGATATTTCTCGAAAGAAAATATTCTACGGAAACACTCGTATGGTGGCGATAAAATTTGCAATGTAATTTAACAGACCCTAAATTATTGCGGAGTCGCTCGTTCTGTATATATCGTAAGTTTGATTTATAACCGAATTAACAGATTTTATGGCATACGTATGGCTTCCTTAGACTCTCAAAAAGTCAATAAAGTAAAATTAGGGCAGTTTGAAAACTTGACTAAAATTATCTAAGACGGTTAATTTGTAATCAGTTCAAGCTGTACGATTTTTGCGGTATTACCGTAAACATTTTTTAATTTTTCCTTTTATAAGTCTTAATTGTTTTTTAGTTCTATCTGTACTTGTTGCTATCGTAGTCTTTGACGACTCTGTCCTTTCCAGAGTTGATAGAAGGACAAGTTTTGTATAATATTTATTTTCTCTGCTGCCACAGTTTCAATAATAAAGATTCGATCAAACATTACCCACTATGCCATTCTTATTACACTAGAAAAAATTGCGACCTGTCTGTTGTCAATTTCTAAACTTATTCAATTGAATTACATGAAACCAAATACCAATAAGACACAGGTTAAAAGTGGCAATCCTATAAAATTAAAAAGTTACCAAAATTATGAAACATTCGTTTTCACACCTTCGTGTTTGAACTGTATCTCCGAACATATTTTTTTTTTATAAATGTAATGCTAAAATCATTTTCGTGAGATGTTGAGGTTTCTATGTACTTCCGATAATGCTTTATGTTATAATGTATTTTTTACACCAAATCAGTTATCGGGAAAAAGGCACATTCTGATTTAATTATCGTTATCGATTTTTAGCCTTCCGTAGTCATCGCTCTTATAAGCAATATTTGAATCAAAGTAAACTCATAGATGTATTTATCCACCGATGTGATTAGAGTGTTAATAGAAATTTCACACGATTGTCTCACCCCCGCGTTTTGCATAATTGCATGAATTGCGTCGAGTTCAGTTTTCTTTTCTTTGCCTTTCTTCTATTGGTGCACGGACGTCTGCACCACAAGGGGTAAATGCACTTCCGGGACAATGAGGCGCCGCATGTAATACTTTTATTATTTTCACGTTTCCAAGGCTGCTTAGGGGAATATATTATCTTTCCATAAAACTTTATTGACTTTGTGATGAATATTTCTTTCATGTGGAGGTCTAGGGATGAATAGGTACAAGGTAGGCTCAATCTAAGAGTAGAGGTTTGTTAAATGGCGACTAAGTGAAAGGCGATTCCAAAAAATATAAGAATGTTTTTCTAAAAAACTATGTTGCCTGTTCATAGGGTTGCGGAACTGCCTGGTCAATTTTTTTTGACCGAAATAATTTTTAAAATACAATGAAATTCATATATTTATTTATTTTAGATTGATTTTTATTGTGGAGTCGATATTTTTATTGGGATTCCCCGAATCGCCAAGTATCGTATTCGGCTATTCCTTAAAGAGTGTTATAGGTAAATTGGACATCACAAATGTATAGTAATTTATTATAAAATATATATTATTATTAAATAATGATAGATAACACTCTACAATTGCAAGATGTTATTTAAAACATTTTGGACATTAAGGACCTCTTATAATATTTCAACCTTATGTCACTTTATTGGGTTAGTTTGGATTCTCTGACGTTATTTTGTATTCAACATTTGCGCTTTAAAGTTACAAGAAACTTAGGTTTCTTTCTATATTTTCTGTTTATCGCATTTGTTGAAGTTCTAAGAAGCAGAAGAGCGCTTGACTTGGTTTACAATCACAACTTTATAAGAAATAATATTTTGGCCGATATTTTTGATAATCAACCCCTCAATGAGGTTCAAGACAGATCTCCTTTCAATTTGTAAAAAATGTTAGGGACCTAGCATGTTCCTGAATTATATCAGCTTTCAAATATTGTTCATATTCAAAAAATCAAAAAGAAAACTACATACGTCTCCGCTACTAAAATTTATCTTCATTGACTCGAAGTCGTAACGATCATATAAACCACTTATTTGGGATTACGAAGTTAGATGGTGTCTAGGTTTTTATGATTTTTTTAGAATAAACAAGGAAAAACTAGTTAAATAAAAATATTTAAAAGGTGTATCAGTTGAAGTACGATGAGCAATAGCTTCAATAAGTAAATCTTTATTTTTTTTAAGTCATTATCCAAAATATTTTGCTATTTTAGAAACTTCTCGTATTACTACTGACAAATACCGCCTACCTTTTAAACTTTAGTAAAGGGAACCTTATTGCACCATGTGCACGCTTCAAATAAGGGCGCAATAAGTTCCTATTAATACAGATTATCTGCAAAATCCAAAAGTATATTTTGTATTGAATAGTGGAAACAAGAAGAAAGTAGTCGAATAAAAATATATGAAAGGTGACAGTTCAAGTTCAATGAGCAATACAATAAGCAAATCTTTTTTTTTTAATTCAGTAACCAACACATTTGCTATTGTAGAAACTTCTCATATTACTACGGACCACACCGCCTACATTTTAAACTTTAATAAAGGGAACCTTATTTCACCGTACACATAAGGGTCGAAGAGAGATTTTGTATTGTATTGAATAATTTCTTCCAAAATGCTGCACAACAAAAATAAAAATAAGAAAAAATTACCCGCTAAACCAATAATCATCGGGTTGGTTGCTTTATTTTACAGTTTCATAAGTCTAGAGAAACGTAGTGTTTCCAATTAAAACGACATTACTTTTCATTTCTGCCTATAGCGTTAAGACACTATAGTATTTTTTTTTTTAGTACCAGGGCTGTTGGATTTGAGCATAATATTGTTGTGATCAAAAAAGTAAAGTTCGTAATGGGGTGATCAGCTATTAGTTTACATTGTCCGTTGCGGCTCAATAGTGGCCACTCTTCTAGTAATATAGATGATTGGATAATGACTTTAATACACTGAATCACAAACTGCATTAAAATTCCTTCTCATGTATCCACCGTATTAAATACAGGCATTCTTTCGTCAATTGGTATAAGCTCATACGGGTTCAGTATTCTCACAATTTTTTAATAAATTAAAGTCTTAGTTCCCATGTATATTAGAAGCGGTTGCATCAATTTGATTAAAAAACATTTTACGCATGCATCTTGGTTCGGTTTCTAAATAGTTTTAGTTTTTAGAGTTATGTGTCACTGTTTAATACGATCGCAAACAGTGTTATTAACGAAAAGTTTTAATGTTCAAATACTAAACGTTTTATTTAGTTTTTTTTGTTATTTCATGTACACAATACATAATATAAATTTTGAGTTTGATAATTAATATTAGTAGTATGTAATTCAATGAAAATATGCAAAATATCTTCCACTTTTATCGTCCACAACAATGAACTTCGCTGGAAAGGCCACTTTCAAACGTCATACCGATATTCGATTTTTTTATTTTATGCGGGGACATTATGTTGTCTCAGATAATATAAGCTGCTGGAAAAGTTTGACAAGGTTGTAAGATATGAGGTGGAGGAGACTCGACAAGACCCAGCTCAGAAACAAAAAACTAAGCAACGAACTAATTCCCTTTTCTCTCCAGCGGTTACATGAATTACATACAGAGACAAAATGGTTCTAGCCAATTAAGTCATATCTTTGGATATGTAACGTCTAGGTTGTTCTCTTGAATACTTTAGTTATAAAAACAAAATCACTAACAAGCCTTAAATGGATGGAAGTTGTGAAAATCCGCCTTTAAACAAAATGGAAAATTTTGTTCTTTCATATTTAACATTATTGAGGTAAAATTGAGCTAATATTGTTCGTGTTTTGAGTAAATATTTTTGGTGTAAGTTGGTTAAAAAATCAGTTGTAGGTAACAATTTTTTGGTTTATTAAAATGTGCTACAAATATTGTTTTTTGATTTATCTAGTTTTTGGTTCTGACATAATAGATAGTGTCTTTTGTTTTATTAAAGGTTACGGTCAGAAAATAACAAATAAAATATCTTTTTCACTATTATAAATATTACCAGTCACCATTAACGTATTAACGCCTGGGAATTATTTGTAAGTGCAAATTTATTGAGACCCTGCAACAATTTTTACATATTGTGGCTAATTCATTGTAAATAAAAAGTGGAATTTGTTTTGCGCAAAAATCAAGGAGATTTGTTATTGAAAATTTTTGCCGAAATTGTGATGTAAATTGCATTTTAATCCAATTATGGTTTCCTTTTGCAGCGGTCTTAATTTCCAAGACTTAATGGTTAGACAAGGGGCCATTGATTCTCCACCCAAATGCCCTTTTATCCTGGGATTTGAGTGTGCCGGGGAGATAGAGCAAGTCGGCGAAGGCGTCGAAGATTTCGCAGTAAGTTTTTCATTGTGATAGGGACTGAATGACGTAAAGGAATCAGTTATATACATAACAAGCGAGCGAAGATTACTTTTGCTTGAAAAGTTCTTATTATTATTTTAATCCCGAAGCTTGTAAAATATTTAATCGCATTCGCGAGAGAAACACCGTGATTCCTCCTGTTGCTTGTTTTCTCCATGTGTTTTGTTTCAGCAATGATATTTCAAAACGTCGTTTGACTGGCAGATATTTACAAATTAACCTCTATGAAATAAAATGCGTTTTGTTTACAAACTGATAAGAGATATATGTGTATGCGTTTAGTTATTTTTAGAGATTTCTGACCCGGCGTACCTCTTGTTCGTGGACGGCTGTCGCTCGAGTTGAACAAGCAAATGTAAATGTTTACGTATTTTTCTTTCTTGTCTTCTTCATCGGGAAATAAGCGAGTAAACATTGTTCTGCGTCACATGTAAATAATTTCCTCTCGACGTGATTTTTATGGTGTGCTTAATTTTAATTACTAACGCATGCGTGTTAATTAAGTTACTATGTCACCATAGACTTCGTATATTTAATAAAATTATCTAGTTGGGGAAGGAAGATTTGCAGGCAGTCGTTCTCTAGGTCACTGAAGAAAAACCTTGGGTTAATCAGGGGTGTATGGGCTGGGTGGTGTCGTAATTTTGATGTTATTACGTCTTTTTCTTAAATGCTATTTTTTTAAATTTTTCCAATGTTTATGAGCCAATGAAATCAATGATATATAAAATAATATTTTCAATAATAGGAGAAAAAACTTGTATGTATAATAATTAGAGCGTTATGTTTTTCAAAGAAGTATTCAAGCCCAATAAATTGCAATTTATAAAATACTACATAACAATATTTTTAAAAAATAAAATGCTCAAATTCAGTTCCAACGGTTTGCACACAGACTTCATAATGTCTTAAAAGTTCTCCAGAGCAAGCTGCGTGTTTCATAGACATTCGAAAAATTCAAAAAAGTAATAGGGACGCTATTAAGAAAAAAACTTATTGGTGATGTTTAAGAGCCTTGCTAATCACTCAAAATATATTTTTATTGCAAGTGTTGGCCTTTCTTTATACTAGTTAAAAGCTCCTAGTTATATTTCTATAGTTATTGAGAAGATTTTTGAAATTATGAAAATACCATTTTCGATAGAAAGAAAAAACGTGAGTTTTGTGATAAAATTATACAAGGACTTTGTAAATACAATGAAGCACGTTCTATAAATTCTATCAAAGATGTTCCAAAAACATTTTAACATTTTTGTAAACATTGCCCGAATTACACATTAGTTTAGTTCGTTCATTTTTTAATATTTTGGTGCTTGTTTGACTATAATTTAACTATTACCACTAATATTCTCTCTAATGCCGATTTATTTCTTTAGAAACCAAAACATGTTTCAATTAAAATCATAAGTTATTTCGAGGTTCACTAGTTAAGTAGACACTTTGAGCTTTAGCATATGTGGTTTCTCTAATTTCATGTGTATGGAATAACCAAAAATCTTTTTTAGTTGATTTTTGGTCACTAATTTTCAAGGCCCATTTGCCTACTTCGACTTTGAGATCGCATAAAAAGTAAACACTGTTCATTTTTTTAGTCAAATTATGAATGTTTAAGGTTTAATCCGGTGCTGTTTAAATACAAAAAATTGTTTTTTTGTGCTTTTTAAAACAAAAAACAAACAAAAATGTTACAGGTTTGTACGTAAATAAATATAATATATAGGTACCCCGATAAAAATAACAAATGGTTTTTGAGTCCGAATAAATTTGTTCGATTCGAATAATCAAATTCACAGAAAAAATATGAGTTTGCTGTTCAGTTATAAATTCACGGATCAACTCGGCTTATAAATGGGTTGCGCTGTTGTTCTTCGAATGAAATCGATAAAAACATAAAGTAAGCAATTTCACGGTTTTGACTCAACGCGAGTTCAATTATTGTCAGACTTCAAGTAATAATATACGGGTTGGTAAGCAATATAACATCCAGTAACATTCGAACATTCGAACAAAAAGTTTAAATGACTATTATTTTCATTTTACACCAACTTTGGGGGGGGGGGGGGTTTGTATTAAACTTTCGCATTCGTTTTTTTTTTCTATTTAATCGTCTCCAATTTAGTATAGCTTATACCTCGTATCTCAAAATGATTAAAATGAATACAGAAACAAGTCAAAAATTTTTATTTATCTTATCTTACAAAAAAAGTTAGCTCAACGAAATCGGTCCTAGAGAAGTGTGAAGGCCATTCCAGGTTTAAAATTCACTTCAGATTTTTTTAACAAAGAAGTTGGGAGATATTTCCACCGTGGTGGGTATGTCATCTATCGACACGGCGATTAAATTTATTATGAAATAGTGCTTCACCAGTCATAAAGTAGCTCGACATTCCTCACAAACTCTAAACAATACAGATCTCAGAGGAGAATTTTCTGGCGGGAAGCGATCACGTCATAACGTTATAAGTTTTAAGATTTTTGCCGTTTGTCTCAATGACTAGATTAAGCAGTCAATTGCCAGATGTTGCAACTAGAAAATTGTAAAACTATACCATCGATTTTACGAAAGCAACAATCTAATTATGAAAAATGGATAGTATTTTAAGGCGGTTGTGTGCTTAAGAATTGTTTTAACATCCAGCGGCGTCCTTTGTCCGAATGTGATCTCTGAGTTTTGTAGTTCGTTGCGAGATAAGTATGTAGAAAAGTATAATAAAGGTATAATAAAATGTAGGCGGTTGCATTTTATAAAAAAATAAGAGTTCTCCATTTTGGAATTTCAAAATGCGTTTTCCTTATTGTAAAACAATAAAACATTGGGGAAAATTTTTGTCGAACCTCCCGTTTTATATTATTGCCATTTGGAGACTTCAAATAAATGTACGACGCAGAGTTGTAAACTGCTCTTGTTCGCGTCGTGATAGGACTTTCGTTTTTCGTTCAAACGAAAACGACGCACCGGGCGACGCGACGTCCGCCTAGTAACAAGGGGCGCAGGTCGATTTCCTAACCCTTCGTGAACATCACGTTTTAGATATAAAAGGGCGGAAACGAGGAGGAAGAAATATAGTGACCTTGGCGAAAGAAAATTTCCAGATTTCTTTAGCATACGGGGTATTTTTAGCATATCTTTTATGTTAAATGAGCGAAAACATATTTTTGTTTACCTTCAGTTAATTCGTTCTAAGAACTGAATAATATTACATATCTATAATCACACCGCAAATATATTTTTTAATTTTTCGAATAACGTATCTTTTTGATCGTACGTGTCAATTGTAAGGCGTAGGCACAAATAAAATTACTTGCCTGTATCGAGGAGACATTATTAAAAATTATCGAGCAGATATAAAATTTCTTTATTCAAAATTCTGAAAAAAAAAAACGTGTTTGTTTTGTTTGCTATACAAGCACTTTTTTCTTTGTCAGTATTGTTTGAAGAAGGGACACATGGACAAATATCGTATGGTTATTTTTCACTGCTTATATTAATAGTAGTTGTAGTATTTTTTATACCTATGGTTTTTAGTTGTTATTTCTATTAGAGTTAAGTTGTTTTTTAATCTGGTACAAAAGGTACGACAATACGACTAATGTATTTTTAACCGGTTGTTCCGCCAGTCCTAATAAGATGTAGGATTAGATAGGTGGTTTTTAATTGGAAAAAAAATGTCTTTCTACATCCAACGGATTTCATTTTGATTGTATTTTTATATCAACTTAGTTATTACCCGAATTGGCTAACAAAGACTCTTTCAAAACTTTCTCTGTAAAATTAGTCGAGTGGTATTAAAAATGATTCCGCGTATAAAAAAATTGTCAACGTCCCGCAAATGTCAACAAAAACCATTAAATGCATCAAAAACCGTGAAATTTTTTTTCATATATATGAAATAAATTTAGAAAACCCGCAAAGTCAACTTAATTTTTTCCCAAAATTGATAGTAATGAACTCTGTATTAAAACTCTCAAATAACCCATATAATGAAATTTAAAAGAGATACTTTGCCTAGGTCAGAAATTTCGTTCGACAAAAAAGGATACAGGATACACTAAACCTAATGTTTTTATAGGGTAATTATAAAAATCATCACATTAGGTGGTCCGGCCATGTGTTCCTTAAATTATAAGGCATAATAATTCTTATAATGATCAGTAGGTTATATTATAGAAACGGCAATTTAAGTATTTTTCAGGAATATCGATATTTTTCCTTCGGTAATAAAATTATGCTGACCCTTCCCATTTCAAGTATGGTCTGTTCATAGATATAAGAAAGTGCTTTTGAATGGGATTATCCAAGGGTTGTCATTAACATACAATGCAACAAGATTGTTACCTAAAGTTTCGGAATTTAAATTCAGTTAAAATTGTGGTCCGTAATAGAAAATAATTTTATACCTACCTATGTTTAATATTCTTTGGTTTGGTATACTACTTAGTTTAAGTTTATTACTAATCATTCTTATTTCGTGTGTAATACAGCGTGTGTTGAATCGTGTGCGAATATGTACGAGTCTAGTGTATCTCAGGAGATGCTCCCGCTCAAATGTAGAAAACACTATTCTATTGAGACTAAGGAAGTTATAAACAATGTTTATTTGATTCTCATTGAACGTGGTGCCAGCAAGCAAGCATCTTTAGAAAATACGGCCACATTGACGAAAATTCCAACATCAACTGTATGGAAAATTGGGAATAATCCCAATTCTGTGAGGAAAAAAAGAAGCAATGCTGACATTTTCTCGAGTGCAGATGAAAGTGATCAAGATATAATACGGCGTAAAATTTACCAGTTATACGAGGAACAAAGCGTGCCTACATTAGATACCTTAATTAGGAGGCTTGAAAAAGATGAAACCGGTGTTGAATGTGGCAGAACTATCTTATGGAAGTGTATTCAACACATGAGTTTTAGATTAAAAAAAAATGACAAAAGGCAAATTTTAATGGAATCTTTTAGAATTCGGAAATGACGACTGGAATATCTAGACAAAATTAGGATTTATAGGGAACAACAAAGGCCAATTATTTACTTGGATGAAACCTGATTCGACACTTATGATACCCCGGAAAAGGGTTGGGTTGACTCAACTGATAAGTGTAAAACAAACGCGCCATCAAAAAGAGGTGAAAGAATAACTATTTTGCATGCTGGCTCTAAAGATGGTTGGATTCCAAATGGACTTTCTCTGACTGCGAAAAATATTAAAGATTCTTCTCCGGATTACCATGAAGACACTACCGCTGATTTATTTGAAAGTTGGTCTAAAAACAAACTAGTTCCAAACATTCCTCCTAATAGCGTCATTGTAATGGACAATGCAAGTTATCACAGTAGATCGTTGACTAAAACCTCTTCCTCATGTGACACAAAGCAACAATCTAAAACTACATGTATAATAACGACATTTATGTTCACGAAGATTATACCAAAAAGCAATTAATTGAGGTTCTACAAAGCTTGAACCTACAAAAGAATACGTCCGTGATAATTGTGAAAAAAATCTAGGGCATACAGTTTTAAGGCTTCCACCTTACCACTGTATATTTAATCCCATTGAACATGCCAACTGAAATCTGCCATTCGTCGTAACAATGTTTTCCTCCGTTTTAACTACAATGTCCTCAAACTTATAGAAACCGAAGTTTTTAACATCCCTCCACAAAGTTGGGCAAATTCTGTTAAACATATAGAAAAAGCAGAACAATCGTATATCCATATCGCAAATAATATAGAACAAATAATAATTAGAACATTCGATGATAGCGATGGTGATACTGATATATTATGTGAATAATTTTAAGTAATTTAAGTAGGTAATAAAAATAATTTGTAATTTTATTTTAGATTTAAACATAAATACATAGATAAATAAATAAATATTGTTTAGTATCCTTCCTAAAAAAAACAAAAATAATTAAATTCTAAGCAAAGTACGGACCTGTTCGGCTATATTTCATTCTTACAGCTTGCCCGGGTCTTTCCTTAATTCGTATCAGTTAGTCACTTTCTTATATCTATGAACAGACTTTAAATTATTTTTATTTCTTTATAGGTCGGAGACCAGGTTGTAGCGCTTCCAGAATACCGAGCATGGGCCGAGTTGGTGTCCGTCCCCGCGAAATACGTCTACAAACTCCCCAAAGGGCTGTCCTATCTAGACGCCGTTACTATCACTATGAATTACACGGTTGCCTACATCTTGTTATTCGAAATTTCCGGCCTCTCTCGCGGAAAGTCCATTCTTGTCCATTCCGTAGGAGGTGGAGTGGTGAGTTTTTACTTTTCGAAATATAAATTGCACGTGTGTCGCATCATGTTTTTAAATATTCACTCTATGCGGATCATTCGCAAGTATATTGCCCTTCGAGCCGGAGCAAATTTTAGATACCAACGATAAACTAAACGGGTGCTTCTGAGAAGCGTTGCTTGGAATTAATAAAACTAAGAAAATATTAGTTAATTTTTGAACGCACAGCTTAAAAAAACCAATCAGTGATAGGGAAAAGTTTGATACAAAAGTTTTATAGCTAATTGATATATTTTAAGATATACTAGTTTCATTTATACCGGGTGTCCCCAATTTGCTGTAGCGGTATAAACTTGAAATTTTTAAATAAGGTTGGTTCATTTTTCAATTCTTCGTCAAAAACTAACGTAGTTTAATTATTTAAACTACGAGTATAGCCGAATTTTGCCGAGTTTTTAAGTATAGTTTCAATAATTTGAAATATCTTAAAAACTCCTTTATTCAAGGAGACTTTTAGAATATGATTCACCGTATTCAGAACCACGATGTCGGGCCAATTGGTGTGACTACCAAAATGATAGAAGAGGCTCTCTGTGATATAACGAAGACTGTAGAATAAACTAATGTCTACCAAACGTTCACAATCTATCAAAAAATAAATATTAAATAATCTAGATCTAAGGCGTAGAGAACAAATCACCAGCCGAAATAACGTGAAAGGTGATTTAGTTACCAGGTTATAGGCAAAGTACTAAACAATAAGATATTTTAAAATATTTGGTATTTTCTTAAGGAAGCCTATTTGTTTATCTACCGCATTAGGTTAGTATAAGGCTAGGTTAGGTTAGGTTAGGATAAAATAGCTTAAGCGTTTATTTGATTGTAGGTTTATGTTTGCTTTATTCGAGTTGGCAAGTTAAGCATTTTGTAAATGTTATTTTTTAATTTGATTGTAACAAATTCTGAAAAATACGTTTATTATGCCAATGTATTTATGACTTTCCAGTCGATTAATAAAAAAATAATTAAAAATTAATAAAAAAAATATTTTTGTTAATGGCCTCCAAATATTTTTAAATGCGGAAACGTGTACATTCGTTGGCCCCCTTTACCGTAGTACAGCGGTCGGCAACCGTTTCATGGGTGTGTGCCACTTTTTTAAATTTTTGTCTTCAAGAAGGGTAAAATTTTGCTTGTATTCGGTAAATTGTAAAGAAATTCTAAAGAACGTTACATATAAAGTTGACTTTTTAGGGGAAGAATTTCTATGCGCCGCAAAATATAAAAACAAAAAAAAATATAAAAAAACTGCAGAAAATTTGTTAGTTGCTTTGCCAAAACAAACCAAAAATCTAAAGTGTGCCATCTAGTGGCAAGCGTGCCTTAGGTTGCTGACTGATGCCTTAGTGATATTTATTCAATGCGATTAACAAATTTGGTACAGGTCGTGTATGTCTGCGTTGGCTGCGCAAGTAATAATCACTAAATTGTCCGAAATTTGTCATTTACTTTTCTTCAGTGTCACGAGAATATTCAATTGTAACTAGATTGAACCTAATAAGAAGTTTTAATTATTATAAATTTATTGAGAAATGATATTGAAAGGGGAGAAGAAGAGCGAGCTGACCCGGGGGACCAGGTTGCCAAACCCTGTTTTCTTCGCGTTTTGTCTTTTTTTTTAACATGCTCATCAATTTTCGCCAAGCAGACCGGCTTATCCGGATAATATTTTTTTCCCTCGATGATAAAACGGTGTGGAGTCGGAAGTTCTTATCGGAGAAAGTCGCTACGTACGCGAGGTCTTTCACCTTGGACCGACGCCAAAACTGCAACAGGTTGCTGCTGGCGTTTCGGCGGTGTCGGACGTCGCGACGTGCGGCGTCCTTTGGTCTAGGCCGCGACTTTTCGAGACTATCGATCGGGAGGGACTGTCGGGCCTTTAAAAGCTTATGCGATGCAGTCATCCTCTAATGACCTATGTCTGCTGGTTTGATTTCGGTTCTTCAATCGCAAAAATGTCCGCACCCAAGTACATTTTTAGTTTAATATCGGGTTTAGGAAGGTAACAATCACTGTGGGCAAACTTTTTAACGTAAAGTTAAACTTGTACTTAACTGCAAATGGATACTACGAAATTGCAATTGCAAGAAATGATATAGTCTGGATAAAATAAACTTTTAATCATAACCGACGAAGCTTGCCAATTTGTAGTCATGGCCTTTCTACAAAGGTTAGTTTTGCCAACAAGCTGAGGCGAGCCTCAAAACGTCCTTCGATTCTTTTTGAAATAGAACAACGTCTCATGGAAACATATTAAGCACAAAATTCATAAAATGGTTCGTCAAATCCCTTAAAATCGCAAAAAAAAACAAAAGTGATCGGCACCCAAGAAAGAAGAATAAATAAGTCCACCCCTAGTTAGATGATGTTTGTAAAAATAAGCGTTTTTATTTAGTAACTTTTAAGTTTGCAAACTGACAGCAAAGATGTTGAGTTATGACAGCCATTGCCATTCAACGTTTGTTGTTTTAATATATATTATAAATGCTGTATATCTTAAATTACCTAACATTGTCATATAATTTAAAATTCCAACGATTAGCATCAGATCAATGAGTTAAGTATACGCATTTAGCGTTAGCTAAACTTCACCCGTTTTTTTTATTTTGTGAATATTACGTCGCAAATATTATTATTTATTATTATTAAATTTAAATTTACCATCAAAGTCGTTGATAATATACAAGGCGATTCGAGACGTATTGCACTATGTAAAGAAATAAATATTAGTTTCGTTGTATTTTTAAAATGATTTCGGTCAATTGACACAAAAAAAATTCATCGCTAAAGTACCCCTACTTTTAGTTTCCAACTTTTAAATTGAATTTGAAGTACAAATTAATGCCAAACTGCACTTTAAGTTTATTTGTGAATATTAAAAAACTCTTCCCATATAATATTAATGTGAATAAGGATAATCGACTTTATTTAACAGAAAATAAAGTGACACTGATCATAGTACTCATTTTACGTATAAAATAAGTAGAAATAAATACACTGACATAGTCAAAAAATGTTGACGCAAACGGCGTTTTTTATTTTTCAAAAATTAATTAATGTGAATTTGAAGGACATTCGCGCGAACATTTCTATGATATTTAGATTTGGAGTTTCATTCAAAATATTCCATTTGGTTATGCGGTGATGTAAACCTATCGATTGTTCTCGACTTACAGTTCTGGATGCGCCTTCGATACGTAAACGCCTATGACGAACCGGGAAATCGAAAATTCTATATCGTGACTAATTCGCCATCTCTTTTGGCGGTTTCCTCTTGTCCTTTCAATTAGTAACGCCGAAAGGGATTTTTAACAGGCAACTTGATTTTGATCACATCTATTATTAATTTTTTATTCGCTTGTTAGATTAATATTTATTAAATTTAAACAAAAACAAACGACAAACATCAACGAAAACGTCAATTATTTTTTATGAAAACTAATTGATTTTTCTAAACAAATTTCAAAGTAATAATTTGTTACGCAGTTAACGCCAAACGCTTAAGGTCTTCTAATAATGATACCGAAAAAATATTAAGTCACGTGTCCTCTGATCGATTAATCCTTCGCTTGTACCCATGGAATATTTAGCGAATAAGTAGACTGCGCAGATGTGGACGTGCCTGTTTTATTTTATTTTGTCATCGGAGCTGTGGATTTTTCGATCAGTTTAGGGCGAGTAAGATTTCTAAGTCAGATAAAGCGGGATTATCGTATTTGGTTTGTAGAATATTAGACGTCAACAGTCTAAAAAGTCTGAAAGTAATAAACGTTCAATTATTATTAACGTTTTTTAAATTTTCCATTAATCTGCCCTGGAAATTGACTTTTATGAAAAGCTTATGCCGATAGACCGAACAGACTCTGAAATTGAGTTTACCGAGTTTTAATTATATCCCTTGCAGGTTTTAAAATTTCCAAAGTAAAAGAAATTGATTGATTTAATTCTAATTTTTTACGGAGCGGAACTCCGGTCAAATTAAGACCGTTATCTTTCGGATGTTTAAAGAGAGACTTGAAAAGGCGCAAGTATTTACTTAACATCTAATCAATATTTTGTGTTTCTTAGAAAAGGATTTTTTAAAAAAATTTATGACAGATATCGATTTAAATTTATCAAGTTATAGCCGCTTGAAATTCTCATTAAATTAAAATATTTTTTGGACACCCTGTATAAAATTGCAAATGTATTATAATGAGAATGTAAAATATGTATCAAATTATGTACCCCACTGGGTATTCATATTTACGTTTTTGTTGTTTCCAAAAGTGGGCATGTGGAATCCCGTCTACCACAACGTATCTTGAGAAGAACACGAAGTAATGCCAGGGTCCTAATTCTGAAAACTAGGGAACCACCATTCTTTGGAACGGATATTCTGTCCGGAAAATTATACCATGAACTTATAAATAAACTCTGCGGTGTTAAATTAACTGCTCGATAAATTTTGCTTCAACCGTAAGTTGGACATTTTTTCAGATTTTAAATTTAAAATGTCTTACGTCGGTATTTAAAAATTTCATCACACATGCTCCATTTTGATATAAGTGCTTCATCCTGAAGAAAAGTAACTATCGAAAATAGAAGAATAAAGGAATGTGTTGTCTTTCAGTTAAGTCACGCCGTGTGATTTTAAATTGTAATCATTAGGGGGGTTAATGGAAGAGTTGAATTTTGTACAATATGCAGGTATTACATTATCACATTGAAATTATAAAATTCCGTTCCGCACCAGTTATCGTTTCCTGTCACATAATGTATGTGTCACCGCGTCTTTTGTTTATTTGATATGCATTCTCGTTGCATCAGATGATTAATAATTTTGTGTACCAAATTAAATACGCACAATATTAGGAATTGCGATGTAAGGTGGGCATAGCACTGGTAGGTTTCAATGATCATCGCGGTTCCGAATGAATTAGAAAATGTATTTTTTAAATGCAGTCATTATATTTTCGACTTAAATATTTTTAAATTTGCTGCGGTTTGTACATAATACTTGCTATAAAAATTATACATACTTGAATGTACATTTTTGCGCATTTTTTGTTTTGGTAACTCTCAAAAAAGTTCGTTCTGTCATTTTTGGCTCCTATCAAGAAGTTCTTCCAAATATGGACAGCTATGGAATGGAATGTTTTTCAAACGTTATTCTCACGAATATACAGAATTTACTATATTGCCAGATAATTTCATTTTTATTCATTAAAAATTGTACCGCAACATTTTTACAGGGTCAAGCCGTTGCTCAATTAGCAAAAACTGTGCCGGATGTCACAATTTTTGGTATTTGCTCCAAGAGCAAACACGAAGCGCTAAAGGAAGCAAAATCACCCGTAGATCATTTGCTCGAAAGAGGGACTGACTATGTCAGTGAGGTCCGAAAGGTGAGATTTTTCTTCTAGAAGAAAAGAAGAAACCAGCCTCTTTTAATTGCGTTTTTTTTTTTTTAATTGCAGGTACTACCGGACGGAGTGGATATCGTATTAGATTGTTTGTGTGGAGAAGAATGCAACAAAGGCTATAATTTGCTAAAGCCAATGGGAAAATACGTTTTGTATGGTTCATCGAATGTCGTAACAGGAGAAACCAAGAGCTTCTTTAGTGCCGCAAGAGCAGTAAGTCTGTTATTAGCGGGACTCAAATCGTAAAAATCCTCCATTTTGATTTTGTACAATAAATCAGGTCAGAAAAATACGAAATGTAAATATACTGAACAATAGAATATGTTAATGTTTAGGTGGAGGTGGGTAAAATATTATTTCTCCATTATACTTAAATACGTAAATATTTAGACGGAAAAAGTAACGCTTTGGCCAAGAGATAAAAAATAACCTATATCAATTTGCATAAATCACCAGGGCCACACAGAATTTATTTTTGGATATTCCATATCAAACCACAGCCAGTCACGCCCCCAAATTTTTAATTTATTCTTATCAGTAAATATTCAGCAGTAATTTTTAATGTTCATAAATCGGATTCCAAACAACTTTTTTCTTTTTTAAAAAAGTGATTGATGGTCGACGTTAACAACATTGTCCATTCCAATAATAATATATTACATTGCTAACGTACATAGCATACCATATATTTAATAATTTTATTGACTACTTCTTTCTGATTAATTTTACTTAAGACTTCCCTTCACGTCAAAATTACTGATTTTAAACGCCCAGTATAATATGGAAGACGTTTATCTAGCTAATCAAAAAACAGCTACATTAAAATCAGAGAGAAAAGAAATAAAATAATTAATATTTCGAAAACTGCCCTTAGCAAAAAAAAGGTTCAGTTAAAAGAGAATGTCACAATCAGGTTCTATTTGTATATTTTTTTGAAGGTAACTCTAATTTTCTAGCTTGATATCTTTCACCGCGGGTTGAATTTAACAGCCGGATTATTGCTATCCAGTCACAATTTAACAATACCAATTTTTTATCAATAACAAGCTGATAAATGTCCAGTTTGGGCAACCTAATATCCATTTTAAATATTTTAGTGGTGGCAAGTTGATAAAGTCTCGCCGCTAAAACTTTTTGACGAGAACAAAACTTTAGCCGGATTTAATTTGCGCCACTTGATGTACCAACAAAATGGTGCTGCTTATGTTAAAGATACCGTCAACAAAGTTTTCCAATTATTCCAAGAGGGCAAAATCAAACCTTTGTTGGATTCAACGTGGGCCCTTGAAGATGTAAGTCTGACACGATTTTGTCTGTTATACCTCAAGTTCGACACTTAAATGCCCGTTAGGTCGCCGAAGGCATGCAAAAAATGCACGATCGCAAGAACATCGGTAAAATTATCTTAGACCCCAGCATGGAGCCAAAACCAAAACCAGCAACGCCTGCTAAGGGTAAAGACAAGAAGAAACAGTCATCAGAAGAGAAAAAAGAGAATGGCGAGAAAAAAGAAGATGATAAGAAGGAGGAAAAGAAAGAGAAAGACGATAAGGAGAAAAAGGAAGAATCCGTCACAAACGGCACAGGAGAGGCAGGCGACACTGGTAAGAATGAAGGCAAATAGGGTGAGAAAACTCATTAATTGTTAGGAGATTCTATTAGAATATATGTCATCCCAAATTTTAATTTTTAGCGTGTAAAAGTTTTAAAGCTACATTTATTGTTGTAGATTCCAAAGAAAAAGAAAGCTCCAGTTAATTTCCTTCAAATATTGTCGTCAAATTTTGTTTCGGCTGAAGTAATTTTCTTGTGGTAAACAAATAACAATCATAAATTTTTTTGGTAATTACAGATCAGCAGGGATCTCAATCTAACAACGTGTTGCTGTGTTAAATTTGATACCCTTATATAATGTAAACCATATATGCCAATAAGACCACAATAGTATGATGATATATTATAACATTTCCAGTGCTTTTTTTAACCTGTGCCGATTTGTTAAGTATTTGTTGTCTTGATAATTTATGTCTTGTATTATTGCGTAAATTACTTTGTAGATTTTTTATTTTATTACTTTTATAATTTCGTGTTGTCACCATTAGAATTAATTTAGCATTACATTTTCATTTAGGGATTAGAAGACCAGATACTTTTCACATTTCAAAACTCTTAAATAAAGCTTTAAACGGAATCGACAAACTTATTTTTATACATCTTTCACTAGATGCTTTATTTATATGTATATTTCGTGCTTGATTTTTTGAAATAACATATCTAATACTTATGGACGAAACCAGACCAAAATGTAGGTAGCGTTTTATAAAAAGTATTTTTTCATGCTTAGTGAAACAAATCAAAAACGAATTTTGATATCTACTGTACTATGCTTATATTGTATTTTTGCTATCAAAGCCATATCAGTAGATTTTTTTGGATAAATTTTATCAATTTTTTTATATTTCTAATTACGTTTAAAAAAATTATAAATGGAGTGGTCAGAAGATAGCAACACCAAAAGTCAAATTTTGTTTGCCTAACGACCTTTCGTAAGAACGTACCGTTTGGTAGATTGAGGTGTGGCTATTTTCAAAAACAAATTTCACAATTTAAAAATAATTGACGCTTTTGTGTATTTAATCTCTTTACTGCTGCTCACTTTGTGTAAAATTGTCTGTGCGCGCAAAATTCATTTTGCTAAAGGTACACATGGATCGGATTAAATTTGCGTGGAAGGTTAAGACGGCTGTTTCAATTGCTGTTATAAAATATATTAAATTGAGCTAAAACAATGTTAAATATCGCTTAAAAACTATATGTAAATGTAAGACTGATGTGTTAGCTACTGCAAATATTGTTTGGATGCCTGTATAATAAAATTGTATCATTACCCAATAGTACGTCTTTTGTTATTGATCAAAATACCTATACAAAATTAAAGCACCAACAATTTTACTTATTGATACTGTGGGTACGCCTGAATGTTTTCACTTAAAGTGTTTGGAATCATGTCTAACCTTTTATTTTTCAGTCCAAAACTAGACTTAATTTGATACTGTTGGATACCACCCCGGGTTTCGATAATTTTTGTTCAGATTTTATAAGTTTTCCAATTTTTTACATACAATATTGGTGAAACTTCCCTGTGTTGATCATGCACCTGCATTGAGTTTTCTTTGAGTCGTGAATTGGAATATACCCATAATAGTCAACAAATATTTTATTCAAAAACATGAATATTTAGTTGGAAAATATATACCGATTTTTCAGGCTTGTGTTCTTGTCCTTGGATTTGTCCGTCAGAACGTTTAGCGTAAGTTTTATTCCTCTGAATAATAAAAATAAAATAAAAGTTATATTTGTTAAATTATTAAAGTCAATATTTCCGTTTAAGTATTTAAAATAATATACTAAAAATACTATTTGCCTCATTAGAAAAAAATGAAAACCTACTTTTTGCCTTTCTCTTTTTTTTATGGTCTCGTTTTTGCTTTTGTTTCGGAGGCGGCAAAGTGGTATGCGGATAAAAGGACATGTAATCGTTGACTAATTCCACACAATCTATTGTTTTCTTATCTGCTGTAAATAATTGCATTAACGCTTCAATCAGGTCTTTATCCAGTTTGCGCAACTTTTGCCGCTGTATTTCTTTTTGGAACTCTTCTTTCGTGAGAGATCCGTCAGGCAAGGATAAAATGAAATGACTAAAAAATTTAATTAAACCAGATGGTGTGGGTGTACACCAACACCAATCAAAACCACTCACATTAAAATTATTCTTACCCAAAATCCTTTTTTGCTTTAGGGTTTTTTACTTTCGTTAAGACATATCTGCATCTATCGTAAATCAATTTGTTCGCGTTGGGCCCTCGAATGTCATAATCACTCAGTATATTTCCAATTTTCACGACTTTTCCGGCTCCATTGAGTCTATTTAAGACCTGAATGGTAAAATTAGTTTCGTTCGATTATTATTTTTTTTTGAATGGTAGAAATTAAAGAATATGCAGTTGGTACAAGCGTGGAATATCTCAGATTTCTTAGTAAGAGTTAAATTGACACATTTTTATCATTTTAATGAGACCATAATTTACATATCACATTATATTGAAGATCTGCGGAATAAGTATTATTATTATTATTACCGCTTTAGACTCCTTCCGAATCGACATATTCTCCAGATCCATCAACATCAGAGGGTGGTCGACTTTTCCAGCGAATGCCGTGAGTAACAAATGCGTTTCCTCAGGAGAAGAAATGTTATTTCCCAATTTTACAACTCGCAAACTGGTATTTCGGTGTATCGCATTTCGTATCGTCCTCAATGATAATCCGGACATTCTACGAAACCATATTACGGGTTGAAGTATTATGAAGAAATGAAAAAATTTGCGTTATACCTGTTATAGCTCAGATCTAGAAACTCTAGAATTCTGGAATTTCTAACGTACTGTGCAATAGGCCTCACACATTCATTGGAAGATATTGCGTTCCAAGCCAGGTTTAAAGTCTGGATCCGGTCACTAGTGCCAAGTGCACCAAACACTTTTCTATTCCCTGATATTAATTATAATTAATTAAAAAATAAAATTTCACGGTGGATTTATATTTATTTATTTATAATAATTCTTAGAATTGTTTTGTCATTATACAATTGTACAAACGTTGCTTAATAAATTGTATAGTATGGACGGACACTCATTACATGAATATTGTTAAACAATATTCATAACATAAAATTTATTACAGATTAATAAAGGTCATATGGTGCTTTCTTCTAGCAACAAATACTTTCACTTGAGCCCATATAAAATCTATTGGTAACCAAAACTAACCAATCCGGCTGAAATTTCGCTCGAAGATACTGAGTCGGGGGGGTATTAAAAAAAAATAGTCGGTTGTTTAATTATTAATTCCTTAGTCCTTCCGGAGGACGAAATACTGACAAAAAAAGATTTTTTGATAAAATGTTTTATATTTCGGTTATTTATAATTCTAAGAATTTAAAATTTATTCGTTATATACTTTAATCTTTTTTCTATTTAATGATTTCAAAAGATCTTACACAAGTTATACGGGTTTATGTCGGGAACGATTTTTGTCGGAGACTGCAATTTTTTAGAAAATTATATTACTTACAACTAAATGGTAGGAGGTAGGGAGAACTTTATAATTTTTATGGATAGACTTCATTGACCTTTATGTTCGGAAAAAATTTCAATGTTTTCGAAGCAATGTAGGTATTTTAAAAAAATGAAAAAGATAATTTTTGAGGAGCATCATGATATCCATGACAATTATAGACTGAGAATATTAACTAATGATGGAGGGGACTGGAGGCAGATTTTATGGTATTGGCGAATAGGCCTTATTGACCTCTAACTTCAATTAAAATTTCAATCTTCTCGGAGAAATGTAGATATTTTAAAAAATTAAAAATCTAAAATTTTTAAGGAAAAATATGATAAACATGAAAATAATAAATTGAAAATATTAACCGAAATGGAGGATTAGGGGGGGAGGGCATTATAGTATGTACGGATAGACCTCAATTGATGTGCATCTTCCGTAAAAATTTCAACCCTCCCGGACCAATATATGTTGAGAAATAATCTTAAAATCTCATTTTAAATGGAAAAATCAGCTTAAAAATCAATGATCAATTTTGAACGTTTTATATCTTATTTATTTATAATTTTGAGAAATTGAAATTTATACGTTAAATACTTTGGTCATTCCTCTATTTAATGATACCAAAATGATTCCCACAAGTTACACCGTTTGCCGTCGGGAGCAGTTTATGTGTGAAGATGCAAATTTTAAAAAAATAATTAATGATACTTAAATGGAGGGGGCTGGGGGAACTTTACGGTATCTGTGAATAGACCTCATTAACCTCCATCTTCGATAAAAAGTTCAACCTTCTCGGAGCCACGTAAGTATGTTAAAAAATTAAAAATCTAAATTTTTAAGGAAAATTATGACGATCATCAAATCTATAAATCGAAAATATTAACTAAAAATGGGGGGGCTGGGCGGGATTTTATAGTATCTGCGAATAGACCTTATTGACCTCTATCTTGAAAAAAATTTCAACCCTCTTGGAGTAAGTATTTTACAAAACCCTAGAAATGTAAATATTCTGAGAATAATGTTACTAATTCAGGAGTTGGCTAAGAGATTTACTTGTATCCTTTATTTTGATTGGTTCAGCGATTATACATGCCATTTTCTTAAGCTTTAATCCTATTGGTCTATGCGTTTGACTATAAACAGTAAGCTCTGTTCTCTGTATGTCGTCGAAGACTCATTACGTTATAGAATTTCGTTGGAATAACCGTTGTCATTACGACGGTATCGAAGCGTAAAATAATTTCAGATCTTTAAGGAAATTCCGGGGGTTTTGAGATGCGCTGAAGACGATGCAATGATTTAAAATTGTGTCCGAGGTTTCGTTTCAGCTGGAAGCCATCTTCAGAGCATTAATTCGTAATAATTCGAATTTCAAAGTGATTTCGGGGTTTTGAGGTGCGCTGAAGATGATGCAATAATTTAAAATTGCGTCCGGCGTTTCGTTTTAGCAGGAAGCCATCTTCAGAGCATTAATTTGTAACAATTGAAATTGGAAGGTGGTTCCGGGGGTTTTGAGGTGCGCTAAAGACGATGCAATGATTTAAAATTGTGTCCGATGTTTCGTTTTAGCAGGAAGCCATCTTCAGAGTATTAATACGTAATAATTGGAATTTGAAGGTGATTCCGGAGGTTTTGAGATGCGCTGAAGACGATGCAATGATTTAAAATTGCGTCCGACGTTTCGTTTTAGCAGGAAGCCATCTTCAGAGCATTAATTCGTAATATTTGGATTTTGAAGGTTGTTTGTGTGAGTTTTGAGGAATGCTGAAAACAAAGCAATTATTTAATATTGTGTCCTACGTTTCGATCAAATCAAGTGCTACAAATCGCAATTACTCGTAAAAAGTTTTATATTTAACAAAGTTTGCCACGATATTGAAACTCGGCTGGAAATGAACGACCCTTTATACAGGGTACAAACATAATAAAATTACATTTTGCGAAAGTTCCATAGTGGTCCGCAGGAGCACGATAGAAAAACAATGCTTTCTCTTAGGACAAGAAGCCGCGAAGCGGTTTTTCTGAAATACAAAGCCGCGGAGCGGCTTTGTAGACTGCGTAGCGCGGAGCAGTCGTCTCGCGCAGCGACGAGATTGCGAAAGTAATCTTGTTAAATCTATGTTCATTAAGTAAAAGTCACTTTATATAATCCACTTTCATTAATTTACATTTCATCAAGATATAAAATATTTGTTTGCTCTTTTCCTTCGCTAACAAACAATTTCAAATATTGTCCAAGCTCCATCAAAATTCTGTCTAATAGTGGGTATTATATTTCTGTCATCATCAAGAATTTTTGCATCAGTCATTCTGCATTATTATTATTTCTTCATTCTCAGCTTCTGCAAAACTGGTGTAATGGCGGGAAATACGGGCCTAAGCCAAAACATTTTCACCCCTCTAGAAATTTACGGGTGATTCGTGTGGTGCTCATAATGACGGCTTTCTACATTATTTGGATTCAATCCAACGGTTTTAACGTTTTCGTGTAGGCCTAAAGGTATGATTCCTGTGGTTGAGATTCCCATTGTGTACATTAGGGGCAGCTATGTCTATAATAAATGTTGTTTTCTTTTTCTTATCTAGAAAAGTGATATCCGGTACGTTGGAATGCACAGTTCTATCGGTTACTTTTGTATGGTCGTAATATAGTTTGACATCTGCAGATTCCAATACTGTTTCAGGGAATATTTGTAGTACGGCACCCCTTCTGCTAGAAGATTGTTGCTGTTTGCCAATTTTTGGTGGATTATGTTTGCTACTTGGTTGTGACGGTGAAGAAAGTCAGTATGTGAGAGTTTGCTGCATGCTCCCACTATGTGCTGGATGATCTCAGGCTTTTCATGGCATTTTCTACAACAACCATCTGTTATTTGGGTATTTCCAATGACGTGCCTCTGGCAGTTTCTGGTATCGATTACCTTGTCCTGGACCATTTCCTATTCCTGATGTTCGGCACTATTAAGATGACAAGATTATTTCGCATGTTACGAAGGCCGCTAATATATTGTACGCGGGTGGTTTTCTGTGCTCCAAACGAGTAGGTCAAGGCAGGTATTGCCTTTATGATATTCTTACTGTCAAAGTCAGATTCGCTTATACTATCAAGTCTGGAGTCAAATTTTTCCATTGGTGTTTCCTTTATAACTGCGTGTTCCACTCTTCTGGATTGTGACATTCCAAGATATTTATACATGTCCTTTTCTACCATCGGCTCAATTTCTTGTTTCTCTGCAGTGGTGAACTCAATCATTTCTAATGTGGATCCCCTCTTTATATTGATCAATATCATGTCGAGAATTTTTCTACTAGTTGGACCAGGATGGTGACGGGGCATATAGTTTATAACTTTATATATAATAACTTTAAGTACAAGCCTCAGAAGTCAATAGGCAATTTTTAGGACACCCTCCAAGGATCAAACTTTTATTGCGTTTGTATTGAAAAACCCCTGACTTAATTAATAACTAAAATTATTGGGATGGCGGTTTTTTAAATTATTTTTAAACATCATCAGAAACTATATCAAAACGTATACTTAGAATGCGCAGGTCCCAAAATCGAGAAGACTTGGAGAGGTATGTAAATGCTCACCATTATTGATTTGATGACAATTCATGGCGTTAAGCTTTGGGTATATAGCTACTAGAGATATAGAAGCTCTGTCTATGGCGATAGTGCAGGAACTTATGAAGCAACTATGTTTTTTTTAAGAAGGTTCGTTCAACATGCGCGTGCGCGAGATTTAAAATGTCGCTTGTAACCAATAAGTTTTCATGCTGCATTTTTACCGCAGTATTTTCTCAAAATATGCCTAGATCTAGTGAAATCTTCGGGAACAATGAGTAAAGTGTTTGGAAATCGCTGTTTAGAACAAAAATGGCGCAAAGTGCAGGTTAGTGGGTGAATCGTAGAGGCATGCGCGGAAAATGATTCGCTTCTCTACGAAAAAATCGATGCCGCCTGCTGCGCATCAACTTTTACCATAGTACGGCCACTGTATTATCTAATAGCTATATGGATATAACAAATGCTATTAAAATCAAATACCTATTTGAGTAGTTTTGGTTATATACAGGGTGTCCAACGACATGACTGCCACAGTTTCGGGGTGTGTTGCTGGGGTGATTTCAAGTTAAAAATTTCAAATGAACGGATTGCTATTCCAACCGCTTTATTGAATTGGTTGCTTCAATATTACGTTCGGCTGTTAATAATATTATTAAAAAGTCCAGGTGGCTGTGAAACTTATCTATTGAGACAGTAAACGTCAATTAATAGTAGATTATGTAACAAGTGCGTTAATACGGCATTTGACCCACGAGTTTATTTGACACGAGCGGAGCGAGTGGTTACCGAACGTGTTGTGTTGCATACTATACTTTTTCTACGACCGTTAGTTTTTGGGTACATTTTCGCAAAACAACACTGATATGGCCGTCAGAATTGACAAACGTCAAAATTCAAAGCGTGGGAAATATCTCCGAAAACATCCGATTGCTCCCAAACCCGTGCGGTAAAGTCCCGGAAATGTCCGAAGTGGTCCGGATTCGTGGGAAACGAAACGGACGTCGTAAAGTGACGCTTCCCGCACGCTAGATCGGTGTGTAATTAGGTATTTTACAGACGCAAGTAGAAAAATATAATTGTTATCCGTTTGGTTAACAAGAATGTCAATATTATTTAATTTGGCGTGTTTATTTTCGTATGTTACATTAAAATACTCTTCAGAGTACAATGTTTACTTTTTCACTTTGATTATCGATTTAGTAATGGAAACGGACGAGAGGCAATTGATGAATATAATCGACGATTTCACACTCGTAGAATGCCTTGTTAGCTGTACAATCTTTAAAACCTGCCGACTTCGTTCCAAGATTTGAATTTAGTCGCTGGATATTGAGAAATCAAAGGGTTCACCCAAAAGGGTATCAATGACGCCAGGAATTCAAATTGTTTGACACTTCAATTTCAATTTCAAGATAGAATTTTGGTGAATATTTGTTGGTGTCTTTTAAACAGTCTTTAAAATTTTAAATGCTTGTAAGCTATGGCAGTTGTGGGACACCATGCATGTATATACGTTTCAACAAAAACACAATTAAGTTAAATAAATTTAGCACTTTTGGAGCAACATATATAACACTCCATATTTTAAAAACGAAATTTTTTGAATTTTGACCGCAACATTGCCCGTGAACTAGACAATATAAGATCGATGTTATTTTCACCTGTTGCTTCAAAATATCCATTCCACGATAAATTAAGATCAACTATGCTTTTGTTGTTGATTATAATTTTCGACAATGCTTCAGAGGAATCCTCTGTAAGGTTGTTGTGACTAAGGTCTAATGTTTTTAATGACGAGTTACTGCATAATCCATCTTGAAGCATTAAAAGTCCCTCGTCCCCTATATCGTTGAAACTTAAATTTAGCGACCGTAAAGACTGTAGGCTGGACAAAACCTCTCCCAACTTTTCAGCACCTGTAAGAAATTTGATTTTTTTAAATTACCGAAATACGGTGTCCCACCAGGAACTTGGTCGATCTCTTATGAGAACACTGTAAATATTTTGAAGATGGCGGCATCAACTTTCTTATTTTAAACGAAACGCTCTATGTATTATTGCTTTTTGGATTCCCCGGAAAATTGTAGATATATTTTATGTTTAATATCCTATACTTAAATTTCACCGTTTCTGAGACGCTCATCATTTTTTTGTTAAAAATAGGTCATGTTTCAAATTCATTTTAATGGTTATTTTGTCATCAACCTGTATTAGGTTTTGTCGAAATCACTAACTAAATTTGCACAACCGACCGTTTTCGACGGGGTAAAAAAATAAATATCTCAAAAACGGTGATATTAAGGTATAGGATATTATTCCTTATATATGTGTAGAATTTACCGCACAATACAAAAAAGCAATAATATACAGGGTGTTTCATTAAAAATAAGCATATCCGGATGTGCCGCCATCTTGAAATTTCAGCCAGAATCGGCCAACCAACATTCCAAATTTTCAAATGTTTGCTGCTTATATAGTTTTTTCATAACATATCGACCAAATCTGTGGCTCTTAAGACCTCTACAACGGGACGTTGATGTCCGCAAAAATATAATTCTCAAATTCTCCTTTTGACCAAGAAATTTCATGATTTTTGTAATCCCCCCATTATGCGTTTATTTACCAGATTTTCCTATATTGCATTTCTGTAAGGAAAGATAGTTTAAAGTTGTATTTTCTATCATGAGTTCTCCAATCATTGACACCATCTCAGGCATAAGCAAATTTTCTTCTAATATTAAATTGGTCACATGGGAATTCACCTTCAACGTTTCAGTTACGGATTTTAATTGTTTTAACGTTAATCCGTAAAACTAAAAAATAAAATCGATGAATGAATTTGTAAAAATGGCGAAATCGAATTAATTAAAACTCACCAAATTACTCTATACCTATTTAGTCAGTTTACCAATTTTGTTTCTGCAAAAGTTTACTTACTTTTAAGTCCAGAGTATCTGTTTCTAATGCCTTAGTTACCGCTGATAATGAAACACATTTCAACTCTTCACAAATTTGAAGATATTTTTCTACTCCTATCTGGTCATTTTTAATGACAGGCTCTGCAATGATTATTGAAAGAAATAATGTAGGACAAAAAATGTTTAAAATACTATTTTATCATAGACCGTGTTTAACTAATATGCACATTGGTATCAAGCAGTACAAACGCCTTCACTTACCGATGAAATTAAATGCCACGCTAATTCCTGGATCTTGTAAAGGCGGGAATAAAAACAGTCTGTTCTTTGCGAGAGAGCTGCTTGACAAAAGATGCTGCGTTAAACATCTAAACGATTCTGTATTTCTGTGTAATAATTGTTCGCTATCACATTTATTTACTTGCACATTTTGCGTTTCTTCTGATAATGCTGTAAGCGTTTGCAGTAAAACATTTTTTGTTTCGTGGGCATATTTTTTAACTAATTTGTTTTCCATTTTTAACCATGCGATTTATTTTGTTAATTTGCAATAGCTACAGACCCTGTGACAAAGGCAGTTATTTGCTGCCTGTGACAAAGGCAGTTATTCGCTCCAAATCGCTTTTTTTTAATGGTTTAAAACAAGTGATAAATTGCTTCAAAATTCAAATTGAATGAGGGAAAACAGTGACGTATTCGAATATTCGGGAATTTACCTTTCAATCCGACAACCGTGCTTATTCTCAGTCATTCTCTGTTATTTCTTTAAACTATTGAGCAAATTGCCATTTCATTCGGTCACTTTTCTCTGAGAAATGTGAATTTCATCCAATGCTCTCTGTTTAGAAAAGCAGTGTCATATCTTCTTCATTTCCTTCGAAACTAACCTTAGTATTCTATGATTTTAAGCGTGGCTATGTTCGTGTGTGATTTCGTGTCATGAAGTTTTTGCCGTATTTTTAGCCAAATAGACAAAATTATTGGAAAATGAATATTAGGAGTAGCTTTCTCATTTTCATTACGTTATTTTTAAGCGCGAATTCCATAATGTGGCATCTCGAACCAAATGCGCGGAAGTGTTTAAGAGAAGAATTGCAGGGAAATATTCCTGTTATTGGCGAATTCGATGTTTCAGAAATTCCTGGACAAATTGTAGATTATATTGTAAGATCGTACCAATACTAGTAATAATTCAAGGCATTCATTTGTTTTTTTAGGTTACTGATTCTAAGGGTCACATACTCGCCCAGAGAGCAGATATTTCAAAAGGAAAATTTTCATTTACAACTGAGAGTTACGATATGTACGAAATTTGTTTTATATCACGAGTGCCTCAGCGTAAGTGACAGATTAAGTGCCGTATATAAGATTTGTGATTGTGTATGTGATTTTTAGATCAAAGGGGAATGGCACATATGGTTTCATTAATTACAAAGCATGGCATTGAAACAAAAAATTATGATTCGGTAAGATAACATTTTTCAGCCAGGGAGCATAAGAATAGAAATGCCAATAATCCAATTATTTACAGTTAATGGAGGCAGCACAACTTAAACCAATTGAATTAGAATTAAAGCGATTAGAAGATTTATCAAATGCCATAGTCCAGGACTTTGCATTTATGAGAAAACGAGAAGAGGAAATGAGGGACACTAATGGTAATGCGGACAGCAGCTGAATGTAAATTACTACTTCACCAAGTTGGTTCATAAAGTATATAAACTGAAAAACTTTGGTGTATGAATTTATTATTATCAGTTGAAGTTTCAACCACTTTATCATCATGGAAAAGGGTCACCTTCTGTCGAAAAATATCAATCCATATGAAGGAGATCTACTTCATGAAACGCCTCTGTCACTTTGGTTTTATTATTATTCAATTGCTAAGTGGAGTTAAAGTGTAAATGTGACATAATTTATTTTGTTTTCAGAATCAACAAACAGTAGAGTACTATATTTCTCTGTGTTCTCGATGTGTTGTCTACTCGGCCTCGCGACATGGCAAGTACTATATTTAAGAAGATACTTCAAAGCAAAGAAATTAATAGAATAAAATTGGAGTTTTGCAGTTATAAATTTGTACAAATTTGTATCTCATTATTTAAATTGAATGTCATCCTTACTTGTAAACTAGCTGGATTGGATTCCCTTTATGTTAATTTCTGTAAACAAATAAATTATTTTGTTTATGAAGGTCTTTATATATAAACATTGTTTTTAGCACTTTTGGTTACCCCAAGAAATTAACTCTAGTAATGTTCATTTCTTTCGGCTGTTTTTTCAAACAGCAATTTAAAAATTACTATAATTAATAACAGTGTGGTCTAATTAAATTATTTATTACTTACATTAACAAAGGTATAAAACTTATGCATATTAAAAAATTATCACAAATGAAAATTTTAACTATTCCAGACTCAAAGTGGCTTGTCGCCATCAATTTGTCTTTCCTTTCCATTATTAAGTGTAAATTCCCGCTTTATCTGAGCAAATACAATATCGGTAATTAAAAAGCAAATAAATTATTTCGTTTATGAAGTTCTTTTCATTTAATATAAACATTGTTTTTAGCACTTTTTGTTACCCCAGGAAATTAACTCTAGTAATGTTTATTTCTGTGGGCTCTTTTTTCAAACAGCAATTTAAAAGTTACTATAATTAATAACAGAGTGGTCTAATTAAATTATTTATTACTTACATTAACAAAGGTACAAAACTTATGCATATTAAAAAATTATCACAAATGAAAATTTTAACTATTCCAGACTCAAAATGGCTTCGTCGCCATCAATTTTTCTTTCCTTTCCATTGTTAAGTGTAAATTCCCGCTTTATCTGAGCAAATAGAATATCGGTAATTAAAAAAATCTGAGCAATGGCAAAAGCTAAAGTAACTCCAAAGTAAAAATTTGCATTGGCAGAATTGCAATATATCCAGAGGTACCAGAGAATCGGAGCTAACGTTGTTGTAATCAAGAAAATAACACCAACCAAAAATCCTTGCTGGCAAAATGGGAATAAGTGCAAAAAGTTTGGTAACACACTTAAAACAAATCCTAAATCACTAACACAAGGATATGATTTAAATATGGATATTAAAAACAACAATGAAACTACTAATAAAAATGGTTGATTACGGAATTTTAAAGATAAGGGAACTAAGTATAAAATGGTAGCATTGATTTGAAATGAGTATATAAATAAATCACGAAAGTGGTCAAACATTTCAGTAAAAAAATACCAAAACAAACCAATATTCGGCTGCAAATCTGGAACAGTTAAAATACAGCCATAGACATTTTTAACAAAACTATAATCTGTACCCCAATTGGAATTACACATGGTGATCAAAGCTAAAAATACAACATAAAACAGCAAAACCAAAGATGCTTTGATTTTATGTTTGTGAACAGTAATAAAAGAAATACAATATGGTACTATCAAAATGAAAGGATAAAATGATACTGAGGTACAAATTGCTAATGCTGCAGGTCCTAATATTAACTCTCCATAAACCAAACTACATAAAAATATTGAGAGGAAAAAATTGTGAATTTGAATGGTTGAATATCCAATACAGCCAATCAATGTAAATGGGTTAAACAACACAGCCATTAAAACATACAAAGGTATTTTACGATATTCATCATCTGTAAGTAAACAGTATTCAATATCTTTAGCAAATTTGTTGGTATCCTTGTGTTCTTTTTTCAAATAAATCAGAAACCTTCTAGCTGATACATACAGAAACAATCCTGTGCACAAATCAGCAATAATAAACATGTACTTAATGTCTTTTAATAAGTCCAAAGCAATCTTATAAAACCAAAGTGACAGAGGCGTTTCATGAAGTAGATCTCCTTCATATGGATTGATATTTTTTGACAGAAGAAGAATACCTTCGGAGACCCTTTTCCATGATGATAGAGGCGTTGAAACTTCAATATGATTGGATATTACCGTTTGATATTTAGAAGTCATTAAAATGTACCGTAATGTTCCAGCCAGTACAAATAACAAAACAACTTTGCTGTAATTGAAACTTTCTTCCAATTTGTTCGCAAATTGACTTGATTTTCTGGACATGATGGATTTTTTGTAAATATAAAATCGGCTTTTAAATTCTAAGTTATAGTGTTGTTTATTCGGAAATTCCGTTTACGGTTGTGTTGACAAATTTGCTATGGCCATGATTATCAGGATCATTCGACAAATTGATTCAAGTTTATTCGTCCTCCAGCCGGTGGCCGTTTTGCTAAATATTTTATTACATAAGAATGAAAGGTGAGTAATAAGAATCATTCATTTCTTTTAACTGAAATGGAATTCAGGAAATTTGACTGTTACTTCCCATGAAGTGACCAACATATACATTAGCAACTTACTTACGAGACTCACTCACTATATATTCTTCTGTGTCTGCTCAATATCTTGTAAACCGCGATTATGTCAGACCTAAAATATAAAGTAAAAGTGAAAAACGGTCGATAAGGGCGGACGCCCTTAGCTAAATGTACCTTGAATACCTTGTATTCGGTATAAATTGGAATAGGCCAGAATTATGATGGATATATCGGTTTATTCTGCGATTCACATCGGTATAGAACTCGAACGGACCCGGATGGTCTGCGGCGGAAATGAGGGGAAGGCTTGTTTTTGTTATCAGTCTGAAGTATATGTAAATACTAAAAATTTTAGAGATGTCAGCGTTCAATGTTAGTTTAGTTACCAATAAAATATAATCCCCCTCAGTGTATCCACAATGGGCGAGTGCCCCTAGTAATTCCCACATTGTGAAGTAAATACAAGAAAGAAAGGTGTATTTTTGTAACTGGATGACGATTTTTAATTTTTATTAAAGATGCATTGAATGATTTTTTATTGTCCGCGTCGTAATTTTTTTAAATAATGGGTCAAGACAAAAAATCACTTCTTCAAGAATTTAAACTTGATTCAGATAATGAATTACGTTTTGAGGTTGAATCAAAAAATGAAAAAGTTTATCTTACATTGAAGAGTGGTCTGGCTGAAGTTTTCGGCACGGAATTGGTCAAGGGAAAAACTTACGAATTTACTTCAGGTGCTAAAGTTGCTGTCTATACGTGGCAAGGTTGTACAATTGAGGTGAAGGGAAAGACTGATGTAATTTATACAGCTAAAGAAACTCCAATGGTGATTTACTCAAATTGTCACGCAGCTTTGGAGTTAATGAGAATTGAGGCAGAAAAAGATAACAAACGAGGACCCATTGCGATGGTCGTAGGCCCTGGAGATGTTGGCAAATCCACAGTTTGTAGAATTCTTTTAAACTATGCAGTTAGGATGGGACGTAGGCCCATTTATGTCGATCTGGATGTTGGCCAAGGATCTATTTCTATTCCAGGGACAGTAGGTAATTTTTTTTTCATGTGATTCTGTGAATCTGCTTTATATGAACATTTATTGCATCCTAGCCTAATTATATGTATTTTGAGTATTGAGTAGTTTTTGTTTTATTGGTAAAGCAGATTGAGTGGTTTAAGACCTTCCAAAGGTAATATTTACAAGGGTGCAACTAACCACTGTATCTAAAATTATGAATGTACGTTATACCATGCATGTTTTCTTAGTTAACAGCTTTTTCTACAGTTTTTATAATGTATTTTATGTTTAGGTGCCTTGGTGATAGAAAGGCCAGCAGGTATTGATGAAGGTTTTTCACAGGAAGCACCTTTGGTTTATAATTTTGGACATAAAAGTCCAGGGCATAATTCCAAATTGTTCAAAATGATTACAGAACAATTGGCAATGATTGTAAAAGAAAGGCTAGAGGTTAATAAAAAAAGTATGTAATATATTACCTATATACAAATGTAATTTAGTGTGTGCTTGAGGATTTAACTTTAAAATTATCTTAGCCCGGCAATCTGGAGTTATAATTAATACTTGTGGATGGATCAAGGGTGAGGGTTACAAGCAGATACTGCAGTCAGGCAAGTGTTTTGAAGTAGACCTTATAATGGTTTTAGATCAAGAACGTTTATATAATGAATTAGTAAGGGATATGCCAAATTATGTGAAAATAGTTTTTCTCCAAAAAAGTGGTGGCGTGAGTAGTTGTCCAATCAATACTTATCTAATTGGTTGACCGGTTGCTTAATTTTAGGTTGTGGAACGTTCAAAACATGTAAGAACTGAAGCTAGGGATCAAAGAATAAGGGAATACTTCTATGGAACTCCAAAAAATTCTCTATACCCTCATTCATTTGATGTAAAGTTTTCAGAAATAAAAATTTTTAAAATTGGGGCACCTGCATTACCAGATTCCTGTCTACCTTTAGGTATGAAGGCCGAGGATCATTTAACAAAAGTTGTTCCAATTACACCTAATCCCGGGATACTGCATCACATATTGGGTGTAAGCTTCGCAGAAAAAGAGGAAGATGATATTATATTGTCTCACGTAGCTGGTTTTGTATGTGTGTAAGAAAGTCATAATTACCTTTATATATTGCACCAATTTATGCATAACTTTTTTTGTAGGTCAAATGTCGACCTCGAAAGGCAAACTATCACATTGCTGTCTCCTCAACCCAAGCCTTTACCGAACAACATCTTGGTACTCTCAGAAATTCAGTTTATGGATAGTCATTAGTTAGTGTCCGAGTTGTATTGCAAATACTTATTTTTGAGAATATATTTTCATAAAATTTGATTTTCCTTCCTATACTTCCCCCCAATGCAGTAAGCACAATTTTTGATTTAAGACTTTATTAAAAATAAATATGGAAACATTTTCAAATCACAGAGTCAATAATTTTTAAGATGCATGAAAAAAAAATTGAAAATATTTTAATCCAAAGTAAAAATTCTAGCCGCGATATCATTAATGAGCCAATCAATACCTGCTAACAAGTTTTCACTAGTAACTGCACTACAAGAAACAATCTTCCAATGATGAGTTTTAATTTTTTCCAATTCAAGAATCTAAAATAAAAGTTAAACAGTACATTAAGCAACTATATTTTTGAGTTTTTTTAGAAACAAAAATCAAACCAGTACACAAATGAACATCAATATCACTTGTTTTACTAATATTACCTCTTTAAGTTCATCCATACTGCAGGCCCCAGGCAAGTCCTGTTTGTTTGCAAAAACAAGTAAGGTTGCACCAGCTAATCTCTAAAACCAAATATTACTCTAATGTAATAGAAATGTCTGCAAATATAATTTGATTGCAAAAAGCAATCACTTAAAATAACAAATATTATTATAAATTTAGCACACCTCCTCTTGAAGTAGTACATGCAGTTCTTTCCTGCAGTCCTCTAATCGTCGTTTGTCTGCACTGTCAACAACCCATATCAGACCATCTGTGCATTCGAAATAGTTCCTCCAATAAGATCTTAATGATTTTTGGCCCCCGACATCCCACATATTTAGTTTAAAGCTAAAACAAATCAGTTGCTCCCAGGTAAAATTGTAACCAATATCTTTAAGAATTTTACAGGTACCTTCTATGTTCCAAAGTTTTGATATTAAACCCTAATGTTGGTGAAATTGTGTCAATGGGTTCACCATTAAATCTTTTAAGAATCGTAGTCTTTCCTGCATTGTCTAAACCCCTAGAAATATAGTCAAGGAATAGTGATGAGAAAAAATTGAAAGAAGAAAAGTAATTTCCCAATACTCGAATTGAATTAAGGATACAGTATTAAAATTCTCATTTCTTTCTCTTTTTGTTTCATTTTTTTCAAAACTGTTAAGAATCCCATTGTTCTTTATTCTTTTAATCTGCTTATAAAGTAAGACTTTAATTTTAATTCTATCAAAACAAATATTATGGTTACTTTGTTTTCTTCTTCTTGTTTCACAGATCACAGATGTTCTTGGTATTATTATTTTTCTATACTCTCGATTGTATGGGTTGTGAGTAGAAGCGTAATTCGTGGCGGAAGTTGCTCCTGCGCGCTTTTAATCTTGCTTTTAAGTTTAAGCGGCGGTTGATAGGCATGGATGTTGCGTAGAAGCAGGAGGAAAATTTACTCCAAATTTTTGTTTTACTGGAGGAATTTTTTAGTTTTTATATTGCATTTGTATTGCATTATGTTAAGAATTTGCTTTTATTGCGCTTTACCATTATCAAAAAACAAGTAGCTTTCGTTTGTGGTGCGGCTGCCAGGACCTTGGTAAATATTTGTTATTGTTATTCGTCTATCAATTATTTTAATATCTTTAGACGTCAATACAGATTTTTCATATAATTGAAAGTATAGGCATTTATGTGCGGCAAGTGGTGGCATTTCTTTCTTTCAATTATTTTTGAACTTTACATTCAATGTTTGAATCCATCTTCTTCGTGTTCCATACATTTTTGGGCATACTTTAAAACGCTACTTGCTGTGCTGTGAAATGGCCGTCCATGGATATTATATGTTATATGCTTGTTGCGTAAATAAATTGTTATAATACTTAATATCGAAAATCTTCAGCTGGTTTATATCTTAAGTTTCGTTTTAATTTATATGAGAGTAAAGGACAGGATCCTACTTATTACTACAAATAAAACTCCCAAACTTTCAACCGATTTAAAAAGGAACCTTGACACCCTGTATTTTGAAATCAACGATTGAGTAATGTAGTAGTGTCAAATAGTATGTGCTCCAAGATAGAGGCTTAAAAAGAGTACACTCTGAAAATATTTAGGCGCTTCACAAAAAAGTAAGTCGTAAGTAAGTGGAAATGTAAGATATGTGTAAAATATGGAATAATTTTATATAATAGCATTAAATTATTCGAATTCAACGATAAAATTTAATATTTAACGTCGTCGTAAATTTTCTGGGAAATTGATTTACTTTATTTATTATGTGCCTTGGTTGTTTGCATTTTTGCCGTTTTTTTTTTTGTCAAAAAAGCCCCTCATTGGAAAATTTGTGTTTGCGGTCAAAAGTGTAAGGGGCATACACGGGGTAAGTGTTGCTTTAGGTACAAGTTGATTTAAAAGATCCAAAGGTGGTTTATATAGGATTCCCACTCACAAAGTTGTATAATTTCTTCTTTCAATACTTTGCCCTTTCAAGAAATGACAGGATTTTTTCAGCAAGGTTTTCCATGCCTTAACTTCTTTTTATCTGATTTGGAGATATTTGGAGAAATTACTACCGTAAAAATGCCCCATCCAATCTTATTGACGATTTATCAGGGGACATGTTTATTCTTCAATGCCGCACGATCTTGTTGTTGGAAAGCCAGAATTTGCAATACCAGGTGTCATTGGTTAAAAACGAGATTTTAAATCTTGCGCACGCGCATGTTGACTTGAACTCAACATTATTTTCATAGTTGCTTTATAAGTTCCAGTATATCTCTAGTAGCTGTGTGGGAATTACCGAATTATCAACTAATTATTATTCTACCAATCAAAATATTGCGAGTGTCATTTGCGCCAATGTCAAACAGAATTTGTGTCTGCGGCAGAAAACGCGGAAAGGAACCCATAACAATTACAGTAACAACATGCAAAAATAAGCATGATCTTCAAAAATCCGCAGACGATAAAAATTCATCGCAAAATGTCACCATTCGTGCCAATCCAGAAAATGCGACGCAATTTAAGAATTTAGAAAAAGCAAATAATAAACCAAACTCTGAAGAACCTAACGCTATTGAGAACGCTTATAACACACCACTGCCGATTACTGAAATGAATCAAACTAATGAAACAATCCAGCAAAGTGTCAAAGTTACTACCGATGACAGAAAAGAGGAGGAACCTGAACTTAATATTGAGGAAAGTACTTATATCTAACACAAAATGGCTGACCTATGCAATGTTTTAATAATAATAAAATCTCACGAATCAATCAATCACCTGTTTGTTGCTTTATATCTGTATTATAATGGGTATTTTCAAAAATATGGACCTACTTTTGGTCGGAGAGGCTGTTAAAAAAGTACACAAACACACTAAAATAGTCTAAATAATTATAATTGTTTGTACATTAGCATTACATTTTGAAGCAACTTGATATAAGTCACTATCCTTATACCGTGAAATTGTAGCAGTTGTAGTTGAACAACGTATATGTTTTATTTTTTTACTTCTTAATTAACTTGAGCTTTAAAAGAAACGGTTCAATCAGTACGATAAATGCCAGTTCCATGATTTTCAAATCCTTAAAGGTTTTAAATTAAAATTTGGCATTCTAGCACAAAGAAACTGGGCGATGTATACAACAAATTGTCTTTGTTAAGGCTGAGGCGCAAAAGATAGGAAAATTTAGAGCAGATTTCAAAAATGTTTGATTTAAAAAAAGGTGACGATCAAATCTGAATACACTGCTTTTTCATCAACGATAATACTAATCCCAAATTGAATTGGTGTTCAATAGAAGAGAAAAAATACACAAAGATCTCCAGTGTATATTTTTATATTTAAATAAAATGGTCTTTCCAATTAAATAAAGGGAGTGGCAAGAACAATTTCATTCCTAAATAAACTTTTTATAACGATAGGACATTTACTGGAACAATAAAATAGTGTATTACATATTTTTTAAAATTTTTGATTACGTTCTGCCATTTTGTGTCATATCCAGGACAAAAATATACACTTTTGGTGTATATTTTTGCTAATATCCTGTTCACATCAATCGATATAGCTGGTAATTTGTAGAAAAATGGTTACATAGTTAGCGTCAAAGATATATATTCGGTAACCGAAACTGCAGTAAATACGCTGCCATTTTTTGAATCGATGTATTGGGGAAAGTATAATGCAAACAGGATCTATAGGCAATTTTGTATCGAGGATGCGAACATAGAGAAATGTGCGATAGAAATCTATGTTTTCGAAAAGCATTTCAGCGACTGCAAGTATTAATGCAATTTAGACAAGTTGCATAAATATGCCTGGTATATACCCTTTTTTTAGGAACAAAATGGAGAACGGAAATAACAGTATGTGCGGAATTTCGGAGGAAACGCAAAATCTAAAAATGATCGGCAAAGCTGCGTTTCCAACTTGCTGCGATGAACATATTATGCAGCAAATGGTAAAAGCCGATCAAGTTTTCAAAATATGTGATTATTTAAACGACAACGAGGGAGCGTCAAATGTTGCGAAGAGAACTCGAAGATTATGTGCCACAACGCTGCAAATTATAAACGAATGTTTAACGAATCAGAAAATTTTAGAAAGTTTTGTCAAGGGCTCCTTTCAAAACGCCTTGGATCTGCACTTGGCGGTTTTGGATAACACTTATGACCGTACGACTGAAAAATCGATCGACATAAGACCTTCTAGCCGTTCCGTCGACATTCAGAAGAATTTTCGAAGGAAGAAATGGTACGACATATTCCTGACATGCTTAGGACTTAAAGAGGAATTTGAAGAAGAACTATTTATTCACAGGAACGTAATTTCAACTGAGCTAAGCGATATTTCAAAATATTTGAGGATATAATGGTCAATAAATGGTGACAGCGGCTTGAAAGTCTTGTCAGATATTTCGTAAAACAGCAAACGTCAAAATTAAGTTCATGAAAAGAGCTTTTAGATAAGCTCCCCCTAGTTGAGGTTGTTTGTTCTTGGCACAAAGTTAATTCAGACCTCCATTTTTACTTCTCCTTTTGATTGTTTTTACAGTCCAATACCTACGAGAAAAATGAGAGTTAATTTCTGACTACACTAAAATTCCTTTCTTAAAATCAGTATTAATTACGTTCATGACGTCTCAATAGATTCTTATTAACATTCTTATCACTAATTCCATAGAAGAGCACTTTCATTTTATAACTTAAGAATCACTGGGCATTAAATAAAAATGACGAATTCCAATATAATTACTCCAAATCAAAAATTACGTCGTAGTTTTAGTTACTATCTGCACTATTACCAGTAACAGCGATCAAATTCCTTATATTAATGCCAATGAAGCACATTACAGATCGGAACAAATGGAGTTTGATCACTAGTGTAAATATTACATTACACATCACTCATGATCAATTTCTGACCCATTTATTCTCCATTACGATTACCGTCCTTCTTTTTACTCCCCCTCGTCGGCGGCTTTATGTCACAATTTATCTTGGTGCGAAGTGTGATTTTTTTTTTTTTTGAAAAAAATCGTGGATTTAGAGTTAAATTCAAATCATTATTGCAAAAGAAACGAACTGGGAAATAAATTGAAGGGTTGGGTAGAAATTGAGAAATAGTTGAAAGAAAAGTTAATAAGAAAATCTTGTTTTTCTTATCTTAAATTTTGTGTTACATTTGAAAGTAAAAAAAAACGAACTTATACCCAATCATAAGACATTTAATATATTTTTCTACTCCCGTCGGTAAAATACCTAGTTACCCACCGATCTAGCGTGCAGGAAGCGCCACTTTACCACGTCAGTTTCCTTTCCCACGAAACCGAGCCACTTCGAATATTTCCGAGCTCCCACAATTTTCTCATAGTCAAAAACGTTTGCAAAATGTACATGTTTTATAGTCAATAACTATTTCAAAATAAAAGCTTGAACAAATAAAACGTTTGAGATTGAGAAACACAATTGTGACGTTTGATTATAACGAAGAAAATAATTGTTTGGATGAAGCCATATTTAAAATCAAGACCACTTTAAGAAACAATGGTTCATCACATTACAAAAGATGTAAAGTAAAAAATTAACTTTCAAAAAGGTTAAATTAAATTAGAACAAGAAATATTCAGATTTTCACAGTTATTTATTATTTTGTGACAGCTGTGGTAATAGATTCTTAATTACCGGTGTAGGGTTATAAATTTAAATTTAACAACGGCTACGCATTTAAATCCAATTTGTCATTGGTCACCATTTTGTTCGTGCAAGGATAGCGAACTTAATAGTGGACTGTATGAAAGTTGTTGCACTAACAAACTTGAATCCTTCGATTAGATAACAGCGTTACCATTAGTACTTAAGCACATAATATGAATTGAAATTTGCTGCTTTAAACTTAGGATGTCGTTATGTATTGGGGGTAATTTAGCTTTTGACCTAGTCTTTTTTTTAATTTTATCTTTTAGTTAGTGCGATATTTACGTTATCGACTTAGTTATAAGTTATGCCAAGCGCAGCAGGTAATTTTACAATTTGTCATATAAATATCGGATCATTTACGGCACATTTCAATAAATTTAAAGATTACATTAGGGGCGAAAATTATGAAATGATTAGTATCAGTGAGACATGCCTTAAACCGCATATATTTAGTGATTTAGTGCATATAGAAAATTGCAAAATGTATAGAACTGATAGGTTGGTGGATAGGCGTGGCAGTTTACATAAAAACAAACATTCCTTGCGAAACACTAGCATATTATGATACTTTAGAATGTTTATGGCTTAAAACTAAAGTCAATAAGGAAATTATCTCTATCGGCTGTGTTTTTAAACCTCCTAAATTTCATTCAATCACATTTCTTAATGAATTTGAGAATATATTAATCGATGTCTTACCACAAACAGATAAACTGATCTGTATTGGAGATTTTAATTTAGATCTTTTCAATCCAAACAACCCCGTCGTTTCAGCAAACAACAGTATTTTGGAGATTTTCGGTTTGGTTCAAGTTATTGACGTGCCTACGCGTATTTCTAATACAACACTCACACTAATTGATCATATAATTCTTTCAGAACACTGCTCCGTTGTGGGAACGGTGCAGTGTCGATTGATATATCGGATCACGAACTCGTTTTTGCTGAGTTAACTTTACAATCACAGCATCTGCAAGCTCCACCCCGTACATTTAGGGATCTAAAGAATGTTAATCTCACTCTCTTGTATGACCAATTACAGTCGCTTCCGTGGCGAAACATATATGATATTGATAATATTGACGATAAGTTAACCTTTTCCAATGATAATATTAACACAATACAAAAGTCTCAGAAATTTTACAAGTATGACAATTAAAAAGGAAAAAAGGCCTATATGCTACATGTGTTAAATTGTAGCTCGAAAAAAGTGTGGAAATCTTTAAAAAATCTTAATATTATTAGCACAAAGGAAAAATCAAATATTCTACCTCAACTCCGTAAGGTTAATGATATCAATAAGTACTTCATTAATATAATATCGGAATATTATCATAACCCAATTGGCTTGACTGGTTCGAAGCAGAAATTTTGTCCTATCACAGAGACTGATGTGTCGAAATTTTTATGCAACATTAAGTCCAGAGCAGTCGGAGCAGATGGTTTACATGTGAACTTTCTAATCTTTTGTTGTCCATTTATTCTTAAATATATCTGCCACATCGTTAATTTTTGTATCAATAATTCAGTTTTTCCTTCCGCGTGGAAGATATCATATATTGTGCCTCTTTCTAAAACAAAGTCCCACAAGTTATAGTGAATTATGCCCTATTAACATTTTGTCTGTAATTTCCAAAATTCGGGAAAATGTTATTAAAACGCAATTTTTCGATCATTTGGAGAAAAATCGTATCGGGCCGCGAAAGCCTTAACCAATTTATTAAAAATCGTATTCTTCCTGAAACTCAGTCTGGCTTCAGGAAGGGTCACAGTGGTGCAACTGCTCTCCTAAACGTCACTGATAATTTATTCCGCACAATTGACGAAGCCAAATGTACCATCTTGGTCATTTGGATTGGATTACTCTAAGGCATTTGATACTTTGAATCACCATACTTTGCTAACTATTCTAAAATCCATAGGGCTTGATGAGGGTGCTGTCGAATTTATGGGGACCTAGTTACTACACAAAAAGTGGTGTAAATGGACAGCAATCAGACTGCCGTGCTATAATATCTGGGATGCCTCAAGGCTCCATTCTGGGGCCAATTTTATACTGTATATATACGTCCGCGTTTCCTAGCTTTATACAGAATTGCAAAACCCAAATGTATGCAGATGATACACAACTTTATTACTCATTTTCGCGAGATAAAACTTTGGAAAGCTATCAAATCATAAATAATGATCTAGAAATCACTAACAGGGTGTCCCTAGAACATTCACTCCATCTAAATCCAAGCAATGTTCTTTGGTAGGTCCGTGGATGTTGATGGATTATCGCAACTAGTTGAAATAAAAATATCGAATGTGTGCATTCCTCTGAAAACGGAGGCAAAAAACCTTGGGCTAATGTTGCACGTTGCACAATCTATTAAAAAATCCATTGCTCACTTAAAATGCTTATATGGTTCTAAAAATATTTTAAATCAATAAAAAAAGGTCCTGTGTGATTCGATAGTTTTATCTTCTTTCAACCACTGTGATGTGGTCTATGGCCCATGCCTGACAGCGGCTGCCTCAGAACGGATTCAAAAAATCCAAAAATACTGTCTAAGATTCATTTTTGGGATTCAACGCGGCAGGCCTGTTAGTCATAAACTGATGGAAGTCCGATGGCTTAATATGAAAAATCGACGATATCTTCATAAATGTAATCTTTATAACAAAACTATAAGATTGAAGTCTCCACGTTATCTTTTCAAAAAAATCGGCTTTCACACAGACGTTCACAATTTAAATTTAAGCTTTAAAGGCCTGCTCACCCCTCGATGTCACACCTCTGGAATTTTTGAAAGATCCTTTACATATCTAAAACATATAATGTATTGGATCAGTCTTTTAAATTGCTAAACAATAGCAATATTTAACTAATGTCTACTGTAAACTATTTCCAAAGTGTAAGTCCCTCTATTTGCACAGATCGTATTTATTTTTTTATGTGTATTTTTCCTGCCTAGCGTTGCTACCTTCTTCTTAGGATAGGTTTAAAAACGGAGGCACGAAATATGTTATTTTGTATATCCGAACCAAGTCTTTTTCATTGTATATCAATACGTGAATAAAATTATTATTATTATTATTAAGTGATAGATTCGAATATCTCATTTTATTAATCTCCATAGTTTCCAACAAATTTAGTTTTTTGCTTTTTGTTTCATTATATAAAATATCAAAATTATCGCCAAACTTGTGTATTTCTGTATTTAAATGAATGCCATGGTTAGAATCCGAACTTTTATTTTTATATGCTCTTTTATATTCGTTAATGCGTTCCTTAAATGTTCCACCTGTATGTCCGATATAAATTTTGGCATATGATCCACATTTCAGCTTGTAGGCTCCGTGCTTATGAGTTTTTCGTGATTTAGTTTTATTCTTTTTAAAATATTTTCCACTGGTGTTTTCAGTTTTAAAAGCATCTTAAGACCAAATTTATATAGATGTTTCGAAATTTTCTTGCTAGGTTCTCCTATGTATTTTATACTTTTATAAATTTTGGGATCGGTACTTAATATTGGATAGAGTTCTGAGTTATTTGAAACTGTTTTTTAGTTATAATCTTATCTATCAAAGAGGGTTCGTAATCATTGTTTAATGCTGTTGGTTTTATAATATTTATATAATTCTTTTTCAAAAATTTCTGTGGAAAGTGATATATTATGTGGTCTGTGGATCGAAGAATAAAAGGCAGCCATTTTGTGTGTGTGAGGGTGATTTGAGTTATTCTGACTTACTGCGTCCGTGTGTCAGGGTTAGTTTCCATTCTATGATAAATTTTATACGGTTGTGTATAGAGTTAACATTTACTACGAACATATGCCCAATGTCAAGACATATATATGATATAAAAAGGACTGCAGTTGTCTTTCCGTTCCAGTGAAATAAGCAAAGATACGTATCTATATCACCAAAGAAATCTTTTCCTCCCAGGATATTTTCCACATGAAATTTTCAGCAAGTAGTGGACTAAGTGGGTTTCCCATAATTAATGCTTCTTTGAGAATATAAAATTGACTGTCTCAGCATATCTACCAGCAGAAACCTAATGATGATAATGAACTTTATAGAAAATATTTAATCTTCCAATCAAAGTGTCGAAATAGATAAAATTACTATTCATATTCAAGTTGTCAATATTATCAGAGGACAGAGAGGACCCAAATAAAAACCAAGGACAATTTAAGTTGTCCAAGTCTTATATTAACAGCTCTTACTTTTCACAAAACCAATATTTTAGCAAACGAATGAGTACAAAAAATGGAAGGATATTTGGGTATGATTTAACAAAAAAATTATGCCAGAAACTAAAGTATATCGAATATGGTTTTACACTAAAACACGGAGGGATTACTCGATATTCATATTAAATTTATTTACGTTGAAAATTTTCACACTGTAATATATTTTTTGAAAGAGAAAGAGACTAAAATTTATCTTTATAAAATTGGTAACAGTTTTGGTGTAATTAATAGTATGTCAGGTTGCTATGCTACTTCATCGTATTGTAAGAAATGAGATTAGCCTGATCAAAATAAGGAAAATCATGGCGAGAAAAAATAGGAAAAACAACGTTTGAATAATGTGTGTAATTGATAAGTTAGACAAAAATAAAATATACCGCAAGGAATTCAACAGATATAGTTATAGAAACAATTTCTTGAAAATCATAAACGCTTTTGAGGGTTTCTTGGAAATCTACAATGAAATGGAATTTAAACCGCCAAGAAATATCCAAATTTTACCACTTGACTTTCAAAAAGTCGCTATTCTCACCAAAAATAAGTAAAGGTAGAAGTAATACAAAAAACACGTGAAATCGAAACAATTCCTCCACATTGGCGTGAGCGTTTATGCGAGGGCATATTAAAAAAGACATTTCTTACAAACCTTAAAGCTGTTGTTAAAAAAGGAACTATTCGTTATTGTATGGGTAATGTTTAATGTATAGTCGGTAGTCTTGGAGACGAGTAAATAACGTAAACGTCTCTTAAAAACAAAAAATTGTACCATAACATCGTAATGGCGTCACGCGTCATCATCCTCGTCTAAACATAACCTGACACTAATACCAACTTAAAACTCTATGGTCCTTTTTCGTATTTTAAAACGTAAAAATTGGGCATATAAATGAAATATTAGTGAGACAATTTTTTAACGAATATTGTTTTAAGTTTCTAATTAACCTATGCTTCTGCTTTTACATAAAAATATTTTTTTGGGTATACTGCCGTCATAAGCCAAACCCCCGTATAACTAACAAAAATGAAATATTTTACTTTATTCGGCCTTTCAATCTACCATGCTTTTAACGTAAAAATAAGCTAAAATACAAAGTTACGGTGATTTTGCATAGTAAGTTGATGCAATTTTTACGTGTGTCACTTTGTTTTTACACTATAGTTGTTATTTTGGTGCATTCTGAAGTGAAAGAATTGACAATAGTTTAGTAAATAATTGACAGGTAAGTGAATGATTATAATAACTAATAATAATAATGAGCGGCAAAGTACTTTGTCGCTCGCTCCTCACAAAAGTGCCACACTGTGCTCTCGTAAAATGCCCTGGAAAAGGATGGTGCAACTTTACATTCAAAACAGTAAATTAGAAAATGGAAAAAATAATACATCGGCAAGCCAAATCCCTTCTAAATCACCCGAGACCCGAAAAGAAATTGAATCAAATTTTCAAATGCAATAATCATCTTATAGCTTTGAAATTCCGGTATTTCCAAGTAAATATTCTTAGGAGAACATTATTTACAAAGAAGATATGATACGTGAAATATTTCCTATAATTGTAGTTGCGGCGGAAGAACCTGTACAAACTACAAGGATAAAGCGTGTGGCAAATAATTTAAAGAAATAATCATTATTTGAATTTGAATTTGAATAATGAAAACCTTAAAACACCTGAATTAGTTCAAAACCGAGGGGATACAACGAACAATAGAAAAGTTTCTTCTTCACACGATGACTATGTACCAGGTCCGACCAAACAACTTCAGGTATAAATTTATCAAAAATGACTTTTGGTTGGTTGATAATTTTAGACAAGTCTTTTTATTGATATTCAAGAAAATAGTGCGGAATATATTGAGTTCTATTATTTCGAACCTGGTCATACATTTGTAAGTGCCGATGACTACCACCATCAAATAGAACTCTCTATGAGGGGAAATATATATGATTTAACTTTGCTCATGCCATTAAAAATGTTAATAATGGTAAATCTGAAGTAACGCAAATGAATGGCAATAAGTTTTTATATAAAATGAACAAGCTTATACCTAGACTGTTGCTGCATGACATGGTTCAGCTAAAGGAGCAGAAGGACAGTCAGTTTCTAAAGGTAAGAAATTAATGCTATCCCGATGTTTCTTTAATGATGAGTTTATAGGATTGGATTTCTAACACCAAAAATCTATAAATTGGCCAAATTAAAACCAAATCGGGATTCTTCCCATGAAAAATTTACTCGTTTTTAAAATTTTTATCTATTTTGTTTATATAATACATTTAGAAAATAACATCGAAACAATTCCATCGCTCTTGATTATATAGCCTATGGTATAAAAAGATAACATTTCCTTAATTTTATTGTTTTTTGCTTGTATAAACCGTTAAGTCTGGATTAATTTAGAGCAACTCTTGATGAACCAGTCCTTACTCGTATAGACTGACATTTCCAGCTTTTATTACGCATGCATTTGCTAAATATTTTCTGTTAATTTTTTAATGTCAATTATATACTTTAACGATCCTACATGTGAGTTCGAACCCTGCAAACTTGCGAGTTTATAGTTTCTTGGAATACCGTCGTTTAAGTTAAATCGATTTCTGAATCTTTAACGAGTCAATTAATGGCTGTCACGTATTGCAGACGGCCAATGAAATTCGCGAAACTTCAATTAATAAATTAAAAATTATTAAGCACTCAGCGCCCGTTAAAAATAGCCTATATATTCTTGCGTCGTAATAATACCTTCGAGTGAAAATCGAGGGCATGCGTACCAGACGGAATTTCCAACTTCGGAAAATTCGAATCCTGCGGCCAGTTTACGCGAGCATCCCGGCCGAGGAAGTTAGGATTAAGCGCCGAGCGGAAAAACTAGCTTACGAAAATACGCGGCACTTGACTGATAAAATTGTTCGGAAAAGTTTTCCGTCGGAAATTGTCTAGGCCGAGGGGATTTATTTACGTCGCAGTTCGACGCCGGTTAACTAAGTGGTTGGGTGACATGAGTGATGTTTGGTGATTGTTTTCCTTTTTTTCTTTTTTGTACAAATTTATTGTGTGCGATTGGAACTTTAACTATAAGTCCGGAAGGTAAGTAAACTTACGCGATGTCTTGTGAAATTAACGACCCATCGTCGCTACGCCGATTCAGGATGGTGCGCAGTATTTTGCCTCCAATCTTTGTGATTGCTAAAACATCATGGTTTCTTTTCACAATGATGTTACCTTTCGTTTCAGTTTTGTTTGATAAGTGTTTCCCAAGGGCCAACACAAGCAACGATGCGAGAGGATTATCGGAATAATAACGCAATTACATGATTCCTTCAGAGTATCTATTTAGTAATAATGTTTTCGAAAAACACTGAAAAAAATTGAAAATTGTTGATACGCGTCGGACGAGTTCGAGATGACTGAATTGAAATATTTTTCCTTACAAGAAAACAAGACTTCACTTTGATTCTCACCTAACCTATGTACTTGCCACCTATTCCTACGTAACATGAAGATTTAGAAAAGTATTTTCCATAGGTCTCGTCCGTTTATGTTTGCATTTGCTCCTTGATGCCTGAACTATAGTGTTGGGTGTCGGGGTAACTCATATATTAATTTATTTAAATTGCAAATACAAATCCTTAAAATAATATTTTTGTAATATAATACAGCTAAATATTAAATATATAATATAATATATATATATATATATATATATATATATATATATATATATATATATATATATATATATATATATATATATATATATATATATATATATATATATATATATATATATATATATATATATATATATATATATGTTCGAACAGTGTTCGAAGTGTTTTCGGAGCGCGAGCATTGAAGATGCCAAGTGAGATTTTGGCGAAACGTCTGCAGGATTCCAGTCGGATGCAAGATTTGCAGGATTCCAGTCGGATGCAGGATTCCAGTCGGAGTTAAACGAGCGAACGGATGATATCCCGGAATATAGTGTCATCACATTTTTCCATCCGTGAATCAATACGTGAGAATATATATATATATATATATATATATATATATATATATATATATATATATATATATATATATATATATATATATATATATATATATATATATATATATATATATATATATATATATATATATATATATATATATATATATATATATATATATATATATATATATATATAATATTTAGCTGTCTAATAGGTTAACTACTAATAGATGTGAGCTACTTTGTTACTAAGACTCAATTTTGAAAAACAAAAGGTTTATCTTGACTATGAAACGTCGCAATTTGCGCATTGTTTAATGAAAGAGTTTTAAATAAATAATAAATTTATTGAAAACTGGAATTGTATTTATTTATACTTAGTTAAACACTTGTTATTATCTTTTTCAATTAATTTCCGAAGAAATTTACAAATGTCATATAACTCTTATACCACTCATAAAAATTCATTGGGCAAAAAAAATAATAATATTGTCTGAGAATGCAATGAACGAATAAAATTCGGTAATTCCTCAAAATCCTAGTTATCTTTAAAATTTTTCCAAAATGATATAGGGGGTAGCCCCCACCGTTATCCGCTTTGTTTTTTAGTTCAATTTATTTCAAAGGATACAATTTGTGAGTGCAATAGTGCACATGCGTTAAACACAACCAACCACTACTGCACGCCAAGTTAGCCTTGTATCATTTATTTTGGTATCGTTCGATTTTAGGTGCTGGCATTGGCATAGTATTTTTTCAAGTTTGTGTCATTTTTTTAATGTTTGTAGTTCATAATTCAGGTTTATTTAAATTCATCTTTGACGATTTCCTACAATTGTTATGTTTTAACAGGCGGTCAATAAAAATCTTAAATCTTATTATTATATTATTTAAATAGATCCAGCAGAAGAAACGAGATGCGATAAAGAATTTTTTAAATTCCAATAATGAAGTTTAGATTCTAAAAAATGATAACTTGTTGTTTAATGGCTTGAGTGAAAACTAAAACTGTCAGCTGCATAAAAAGCTTACTAAGACACTCGTCAAACCGATGGACAATTTTAAAGAATATGCTACAAATTTATTTTTGAATTCGAAATAGTTCGTGAATAGTTCATGATTTTTCCCTGTATGATAAGCTGTAAAATATCATATTTTGCATTATTAATGTTTTGATTTTATCGATGTTTATGTTAATCCCATAGTTATTGCCACTTTGTCTACCAGTGTGTGCAGAACGTTGACGTCGGTCTACCATCGACGACTCGAAATTTTGCTGACTCCATCTGTTTGCAAAATATCGAAGTCATATAAAACAGTAATTTAATATATAGGAACGTCGAGACCTTCATTACCAAAAAAATCGCAGTTCCGCTGCAACCACTGCAGTTTCAATTTCCAGACTAAATCTCAAGGATTCCCTTTCCTCTAAAATACTTGGCGCCGCAAACAAAATTAAAAGAAACGAGATACATTGCAATGCTGGATACGCTTCCTGCGAATATATGCTTTACGGTCAGCGCTCTCCTAAACTCGGACCTAAATGGCATGTTATCTGGATTTATTATCTCGCATTGTCCATTAAATTCCCATTCTTTGCCTACTGGCCGGTGCGCCGATCCGATTTCGGCTTTATTTTCTTGTAATTACTCAGATTTTTTTTTGTTACAATTGCGTATTAGCATTTCTGTTTTTAATTTGAATCGTACCATTTCGGTTTCGCTTGAAAATTTAGCCAGTCAAGTTCTTATTTTACACAAATTACTTGGTAAAGTGAAGGGAAACATTTTATCTTTAAAAAAAAGTAGATCTTGTGTAGAATACGCAGCAACCACCTTTAAATCAGAGTAGCACTTCTTTTTTTATTTGGATAGAGTGGAATGGAAAATGATTTTTTTCAACTGCCCAATTTTGGAGCGGTTGGTGGCAAATTGGATTCGCATCATCAAACGAACACTTCTGAAAGGCTTTGGAAGAGCTTCCCAGGACTATGAAAAACTTGAAAGGATTCGTTGCGATTGCCAAGCTTTGACCAATTCGCCAACGTTGACATATGTTTCTGAAGATATCTCAAATATATATCTGTTGTCACCCAAAATGTTTTTCTAAGACGAGGAAATCGGTGTAGTAGATTTAGATAATATTGAAGCAACAAATATTCAGAAAAAATATTAATACAATTAATACATGGGATAATTGATTTTGAGCCAAAGGAAGAAAATGTCAAAAACTGGCATGGTGAGTAGAAGGTATTCCTCGTAAAGATGGAAAACCCATAGTTGTAATCTTCCGTTCATTTAAAACCTCTCATCCAAAAGTTGTAGCTTAATAAGTTTGCCAAAATCGAAGATAAAAAGGCAATGACCGGATCCAAACAGTTTTCTGGTTCCTATTTCTTTATGCAGTACGCGCGATTTTGTTAATAGCATATCTATTTTAGAATATCAGAAATTTTGACAGATGCGAAAATGGTTAAGTCGGTAAAATTTTACTAGCCACACCAGATTTTTGAGATGATTTGAATACACAGGAGAGGGGCATTTTCTGTAAAGCCTTGTCCTTTTTAAATTTATTCAAAGACTTTTATACGATCATGGTGAAAGCATCACTTCGAGCAAACTTTAGGAAATATAGTGGTTGAAATATAGAAGTTGAATCAGATTATTATTTAGGATTAGTTGGCATTCTTGTGGTTACTACATTAAATATTTTTACATTGATTTTGTAAAATTTTATAGTTTTTGGCCCTAAACTTAAATCAAAAACATGAAAGGTCAATGTGCCGTTAGTGTTTTTGAGATTCCAATACAAGCATTATCCAAGTCCTAGCTCGAAGAACTAGCTTACAATATTCGATAGTTTCAAATATTTTTTTTGGTTCACCTATTAAAGTCACACAGGAATTAAAAACCATACGAAGTACTTATTCAAGCAAATAATATTGTCAAGTCTAGTAGCCACAGAGTAATAAAATTTTAACAATTTAACCCTCCGATAACGACAATTTAGTTTTGTACAGAGAATCACAAGGTAAATTGTTTTTACACTATCCTTAATGCAATTTAATGAGAATACAGTTGTTTATTCAAATCTACAAATATGGATTATTGAGAGTATGATTAACGTGGCAATTACGGTTACTTTATATTTCTTAAACCATTTTAATTAGCTACTCTTCTGGGGTGACTATACAGCTATAGGTTCCGTTAATCAGAATTATATGGTGAATTATACATTTTAATTTTTTGGCTGTTTTTCAGTGCGTATAAATTGTACTTCTCGATTATCCGAGATATAATTCTTCGATACGGCGTTTATTGTCGATCAGTCCGGAATGGCCATTGTAACAGCAAAATTTAATATCGACGGAATTCCTTGAAAAGAATTTCCGCTACAGATTTATCAAGTGCCGGACTAGTGATTGAAATATTTGGAATTCTTTTTCGAGAATCCGTGATGTACATCTCAAAGTCAAAATAACGGTCGTTCCAAACTCGAGGCGTTGCAACGAGTGCAAAATCTCTTCTGCATGGTTTCCTGTAAATTACACACAGGATATACTGACTAAGTTTAATCTCGAAGTTTTATATATTTATTTATTAAAATTTATATATTAAAAAGTATTACATTTATGAGTTTTCGATGACTTAACTTTAAATGGTATTGTATGATTGCCAACTTTTTTGACCCAAGAAAAAATAAAGCAAATGTATAACTGCATTTTCGTAAAGTGTACTCGTATCGGACTGCATAATTTGCACATTTTCTTGATTAAAAATATGTTTATTGTAAATTTTTTGTAAATTAGTCTGCGTGTTTAATTTAAATTTTAATACTGATTTTCGTTTTATGCAACATTATCACAAACATGGTTTTGTTCTACTATATAAAAAATAATACTCTCGTCTACTCTTGTTCAGGATTTGACTTTCGCTAAATTCAAAAATATTTCCATGTGCCTTCGTTTCCGATTTGAATGGTAAAAAAATGTTTGTAGTTATTGAACATATTCAAAGGGTAAATGCATTCCAACTGCAGATGATACTTTCATTTTAGATCATTTCGCTAAAATCTATAACATCGAATAATG